ATAGCTTCTAAAGCAGCTTTAGAAGACTTCTATATTGATGATTGTCTGGAACCAATTCAATCACTAAGTCTATCCAAGAACTACAAACACAGTTGACGCAAATGTTGTCAAAAACTATATTCCACTTGAAATGGGCTTAAAGCTCTTAGAAATTTATGAATAAATAGACCCTGAATTGCATTTGTCAAACACTTTTTTGAGCAGGGAAAATGATGATAACATAATAGAAACTTTAAGTATTCTGTGGCATCCAGACACAGATGTATTCTTCTTTAAAATTGATCAACCATCCCTTGAGAATCCCTTTACTCATCCATAACAAATTACATTTGATCCACTTGGATGGTTATCTCCTATTACATTTCAGTTCAAACTAATTACGCAAATATTATGGAAGCCTCAGTTGCAGTGAGATGATAATGTTCAAACAGACACTGCAGATGAATGAATCAACTTACGAATGATCTTTTATTTGCTAAGGACATCAAAAAATTTTAATTCTTAGTCAGACCAGCTGGAATAAACTATTGACTTTAAGCATGTCGATGACAGTCAAAGATATGTTTGGGAGTGGCTTGATGAAGCTGGCATTAAGGACATTGGGAAAAGGTTCTCACTCTACCAGAAAATTTTAGATAATTCAGGCAACCGCTAGCGAGGTGCAATAGGCAAGTTTGGATAGACCTGTCTCCCGAAAAGGAAAGAGAGAATCCTGGTTCAGTCACCATGTACCAGTTGTTGGTGAGGGGGGCAGTAGTTAGTCTTTTTTAACAGCAGATTTTTTGATAGAATAAAGTTTCATAAACGTTAGTTTGGTGATATTAGAAGTCAGTTGACAGCAACCTTCCTTGGTAAGTTTGACTGCAATTTCATTACTATAAATATCCACATGTCATAGCACCCAATGTAGATGTATTTCATGATGCAGCAAAATGGCTTTTAGTTTACTAAAGATGGAAATCCTTGAGCAGTCACCAATAGTTAAATAGTCTTTAAGAAGCTGGAGTGCACTGCAACTATTCCTCAACACTCATATGTCTTTAACATTGTTCTCTTCAGTGATCCCCTCAAGTCCAACTTAAATTGCATGGAGGATGAAATTACTTCTAAAGACAGAGGAACAGAGGTGCAATTACTTATAAAGACAGAGGGTTACGTTGTAAAAGAGAAATTTTGCATTGAGGTGTTTCTATGTAAATTCCACTCCCTGCTGAGTCTTCAATTTTACTGCCATTATTGTAGATCTTAATATCTGTTTTAGGAATGTTATTAATGACTTCCAAAGCCAATTGCTTGAGATGATCTGGAATGAAGTCTCTTTTATTTACAAGATCTGCAAAATTTTAGATAGAAGTGGGCACCAAAAAGTTCTTCCAAAGGACTTGTGCAGAATTGGAGATAATGAGGTTCTACAAAGTTGTTTAGAAGTGATTTGACTGAAAGGACTGTTTTTCTCTAGTCTTTGGTTGTACTTAAATGAATTTCAAAAGTACTTTGATGTGTTATTAAGCTTACCATAGCCAGAGAGCTTGCTGTAATATTTGACGAGGTTAGCCTGTCTTCTGAGTTGCAGAGGTTGTAGATTGGCCTTAAAGAAAACAATATCTCATGGACAACTGCGCTTGAATCCAGATATAATGAGGGCAGCGCTTAGCGGGACATAATCTAATTTTTTCAAGTTAGTATCAGAGGGGCAACAGTAGATTGGAAAACCAAATTTGAAAACAGGCCTAATGAGGGTATTTATAAGTAGTTCTGAGTGTAACCGCATCAGTGAGGAAAGGTAATACAGTACAGAACCCGTTATCCGGAAATCAGAAAACCGGAAAACCAAAAAAACCGGAACGAAATTCGATACATTTCCCCGCCATTTTTTTAAAAAAATGTTTTTTTCCTCATAAGATTTTAGGATTTTTCCTTCTGTTTTGAAAGATGTTTACCTTACCATCATTTTGGAAATAATCATTAGTGTATTACTTCATCGTTTTTTCTTCTTTTTAAGATTATTTCCAAATATTTTTTTTTAGTTGGGTTTAACAATAAAAAAACAGCTTTTTGTAGCGATTCAGAAAACCGGAAAAATCAGTTATCCGAAATAGCGATGGTCCCGATCGTTCCGGATAATCGGTTCCCTACTGTACATACAATCAACAACAACAGAGAAACATTCCTTAAACTCTCCTGATATATTTCATAGATACTCATCTCTTTCTAAACTTAAATGAGTAACAGCTTTATGTTTAAGATTTATTCATAACTGCAGAAATTCCACAAACAAGGCAACTGGAATTTTAAAAACTTAATAACTAATTATTAACTAATTCTAAGAATGTTTTAATTACATAAATGAAGTGTATTAAGTTTAATAATGAGATCAAAGAATTTAAAAAAATCAAGTATAATCTTGTAACAGCAAAATTTTATCTTCAAATTCATTGATTAGTGATTCAAGTACTATAATAGTTGGAATATTCTTGCAACATTCAAATCTTGCTTACAGCAAAAAATCCTATTCTACAACCAAGATTGCACATTCTGACTGATCACATTATTCCACAATTTCATATAATTCTCTTAGATGCTGGTCCATAACTTGTGCAATCTTCAATTCAAGTACATTTAATTGTACATAGAATAGCTGTAATAACACAGTTCAGGAATGAGATTAGCCAAAGGGCAAAAAAGCTGAATTTCCACAATAGTAAATTTTATGCAAGCGCAACCCTTTAATAATAAATTCCAGACAGTTTAAGGTAATAAATAATGTGTTGACATACAATTGTGTACTAATCNAAGTTCTTACAGTGCATTTAAATAAAAATAAAACTGATTTTTAAAAAAAAATCATGAGCCCTTATTGAAATGACAGGTGAAACATATCAATAACAGTGAAGTAGAAATATATAGTAACTCCTTAACATACAAAAATTGATATTTTAGTTTGAAAAATTACATGACAATCAGCAACTGTTTAGATAACTGTTTTTTATTTGATAAGAATTTTGCCTTTTATAGCATAAATAACAGCAGTTATAAATAAAATTTTGATGATGAGTTTAATTAACTCTTTTTCCAAAAAAAAAAAAATATTAAATTAAATCCCTTAAGTGATTGCCTTTGTTTGCTATATTTAGTCGTTAGTCCATCTTCAAACATCTTGTGACAAATCCTATTTTTTCTTCTTTGCAAGCACAATGTAAGTTTTGAATATACTCCCTTCCAGTTTCTCTGATGTTGCAACAAATCAATCAAAATCACTAATATTCGTCGTTAGAAAAACAGTCACCTTTATAGTAACTAATTTTTTTAAAAAATTTTACTTCTTACAAGAATCGCGATAATTGATCTTAAAATTGCATGAATATGAATAACAATTATGGATTTTGAAATCACATGAATATGAAACTAGATATACGATTTTGAAAATGAGGAAATACAAACTGGGATATAGAGTTTTTAAAACGCGTAAATACAAATCACAATTCATAATTTTTAGATTGCGTAAATACGAATCATGATGCGTAATTTTTAGATTGCATAAATAAGAATTATGATGCATAATTTTTAGAATGCATGAATGTGAATCCCAATGCCTTATTTTAAAAATACATATAAATACGAAAATCAATGTTTGATATTATAAACCGCATGAGTAAATCAAGACATTAATTTTAAACTTGCGTGAATACGAACCACTACATAGGTTTTTAAAAAGGCATAAATACGAATCACAATATCGGAATTTTAAATCTTGCGAATAAGAATCGCAACGTACAATATTCAAATCGCGTGAATAAGAATCGTAACACGCAAATATGAAAAGCTTTGTTTGATATTAAAATCGTGTGAATAAGAATCGAGATATTAGCAGATTCCAGGCTTAGGACCTCTAAAAGGCTTGTCAGAAGCAGCATCGTTTGAACTACAAAAATCGGATCTATCTGGATGGCGGGTAAAAAATTTGGAAAATCTTATCTGCTGCGAATAAAAGGGGAGAAAATAGCTATAATAAGTAAAAATGAGAAAGGATTGGTAACTATGTAGTTTGAATTTTCTGTTTCTTCCTGAAAATCGATAAATTTTCTGAAAAAGCAGAATACTTATAAAAAAAAGTGAAATTTTTAGAAAAATCTGAATTTTTGATTAAAAAAAACTGAAATTCAAGAGATAAAAGTGAAAAAAGCGGAAATCCGCTAAAAAGCAGAAAAATTTCATCCCTGACAGTTATTCAGAAATTGTGTAAAATATTTTAAATTTAGAGCTTCTATTACTAATAAAATGAGGATTGATTTGTCCTCTTCTCATATTTCTCCTGAACCTACATTTTGCAATGAGGAGTAGATTATGCCCCTTTCCAAATTAAATCAGTAAAAGAAAGAGGTTCTAAATCATTTAAATCATATGTAGTTCTTTTTTATTTATTTCACTACAATAGCTATATTTTATTATAAAAGTATTCTCTTTTACATCCTCTTACTGAGTTTAGGATAGTTAAAACATTTATACTTGTTTAATAAGCACATTGTTGTTGAAAAGACAACAGTTAAAAAAAAAATATAAAATAAACTATGAAGCTGAATATTAATAATGGTTGAAAGGTTACCTGGACCCTGGTCTCAGCTAATGAATTGCCATACCTGGGCACTGAGTATCTATACCCTATTCTCATTAGTAAGTGATGCAGTACTTTTAATTTACATTCACCTTTATTGACTATTAAAGGAACTAATAAATGTCAGTAAATTATAAAATCTCATGAAATTCCTAATTTTTTTTCAATAAGTAACAACAGAGTGTAACAAAAAACAAGCTGTTTAACAGCAAAATGGTGCCAAGTATTTTTTTATTACTTTACTTTTTTAAAACTTTAAAGCTTACTTAATGATCAATAAAGCCTATTTTTATACATTTAACAAATTTTTGAAAGGATTGGAGCACATTTGAGTACTGAACAAACTTATATTTCAATTTTTTTAGCAAAAAATATAAAATTTAAATACCTTTTTGATTCTTTATATTTTTCAGCTCAATATACACCTGATCAACAAGTTCTTCAACATCATCAACCTTTAAAAGAAATTTTTAAATTACCAATAAAACTAAAATAAAGTTAGATATGTGAAGAATTATAGTATAGTGATCTTTAGAGCTAACTTATTTTACTAAATCAACCTTGATGCCATTCCATTTTATAGTATGATATTCTACATAAATAAGATTTTCACATAGAACTTAAAAATGCTTTCTTACAATAATTGTTCAAAAATTGGTCTCTGTCTCTCTCTTTTTGAAGAAGTATATGCTAATATCTCTTGATTAAAATATATTGAGACAGAACAATATCAAAGGGTAAACATTTTAATTTGTTTTTATTAGAACTAACATTGTATTTAAACTCATAGAAAAATTAAGGTCATTACAAAATGAGAATAAGAGAAATTAAATGCAATGTTTGAGACCTCGTTTGGCAATTATCTTAAACTTATAATTAATAATACATTTAATATTGGTCAAACAAGAAATTAGAATTTCTTGTTCAAAAATTTTTTAAATTTTGTTGTTTTCATTTCTTGATTTCAAAAGTTCATACAATTTTAAAAAACAGTTAGAATAGCTCGAAAGAAAAAATCTATTGCATTAAATTTCAAAATAAAAAGTTGCAAATTCAAGGCATCCAATTACATCAGAGTTTTTTTTCTAAATCAAGTTTTAAAATAAATGAAATTGCGTTTCATATCTATTTAATTAGTTATTATATAAAAAATAGGTACTTACTCATGTAGAACAATGAACTTTATTAAATTAAAATAAATATCTTATTACATCTAATTTTTTTATAATAATTAAGTTTCTCTGGGCTAAAATATATTTATTGAGACAGAACAATAACAAACTGTAGATATGTTTATTATTTTTTTTAATTAATAGCACTATCATTGTATTTAATCTCATTGAAAAAATAAGGTCATTACAAAATGAGGATGAAGGAAATTAAATGCAATGTTTGAGACCTAGCATGGCAATTACCTTAAACTTATAATCAATAAATTTAATAATGGTCAACAAGTAATTAAACATTTCTAGTTTCAAAATTTTCCTAAAATTTTGTTGATTTCATTTATTGATTTTAAAAGTTCATACAATTTTAAAAAACAGTTAGAATAGCTTGGAAGCTAAAATCTAATGCTCTAAATCACACAAAAAAGTTGTAAAATCAAGCCATCAAATTACATCAGCTTTTTTTCTAAAACCAATTTGATAAATTAAAAAAAATAATAATAAAAAAACTTTGTTTCAGATCTGTTTGATTAGTACTTCTCATACAATAGAACAGGGATGAGTAACACGCGGTCCAAGGGCCGCTTGCGGCCCTCCAAGCATTTCCAAAATTAGAATTTATTTTATCGACTTTCTCCCATCGTATTGTTACAAAATTAGTTATAATAAAATGGTAGTACAGACTAAAGTTTAATACTTCAAAGCAAGTTTAGTAGGAACTTGAAGGCAAAGGACAGTTTATTCACAATTTGTATGATAAAATTCAGGGCTTTGAGCGCAAATTAAAATTGTGGAAACAGCATCTTTTGCAGAATAGTGTGTCTCACTTTCCAAATTTAGAAAAAGAAAACGTTACTACTTCTCAAAAATACTCACAATATATAGACATTTTAATCAACGAATTACAATTACGATTCCAAATGTTCACAGCTGAGAAGACAGCGGTTTCCATGAAAATGTTTTCCTCGCCATTTAATATCGATGTGGATACAGTTCCCGAAGACTTTCAAATGGAAGTGATTGACATGCAGAATAATACCGATTTAAAAAATGCATAAACTTACTCAGTAAACATCGAAAAATTTTATAAATCGTATGTGAGCCCTGAGAAATTTCCGCTTTTGACTAAATTTGCAAGGTAAATGATGTCTCTGTTCGGAAGTACATATGTTTGCGAACAATTATTTTCAACCATGAAATTAAACAAAAATGACCACCGATCAAGACTGAGTGATGCACGATTAGAAAGCTGCGTACGTTACCTTATCAATTCCGGCTGATATTGATCAGCTTGTATTGAAAAACCAGTGTCAAATTTCTCATTAAAAATTTCAAGTAAATTAGTTTTCTTGCTCTTTTCTTGCTTGCTTTTATTTTGCATTAAAATTTGCATATAAAATCTTTACTTTTTTTAAATATTTTTTTATTCTAATGTTTATTATAAATAAAGTTTTGTAAATTATTAATAAGTGTTACTTTATGTGCGGCCACCCAAAAAATTATAAAATTTTAATTGGCCCGTTGATTAAAAAGGTTGCTCACCCCTGCAATAGAACAATGATATTTATTATATTTAAATAAATTGCTTGTTTCATCTAATTAAAATGCATATGACTACATTGTTGACTGGTGACTAGTTAACTTGGCATGGCACTTGCAATTTTGAATTTATTCGTCATCAGTCAACAACATTGAGGAACATCAATATTTTTAAGGCTTTACTTTACTTTCACGTTCAATTACAAAATAACAATGACATGACATACAATGACATCAAATAATTTCCTTGAAAAATTGGTCAAAAAAAGTGTTAAGTAATGTTTAGATACATGATAATCATATTGAAAAAAAGGCAAATTACAATTTATTCGTTAACAATATAGCTTTTATCAATCTTTTCCGATAAAAAACTAAATTTATAACTGCTAGATATAGATCAAATACTAGTTTTATATATTGAATAGTTGAGAACATAAAAACTAAATAATAAACATTCAGAAAAAAGAAAATGCTTTGGTGTTCAAGTAAGAAACAAAACCTTAACTTTCACTCTATATTTTAGGATCTTAATTATCTTAATAGATCAACAGCAATCTTAATTATGTTCAAATTGACATATGGACAAACGCTCAAAAAATGTGAATAATCCATTTCAATAAATAAAAGCAACTGATAAATGCAGACTGTTCAATAAATAAATCAACTTATAGTTACATAAGCATATTATCTTACATCATGATACGTTGATTGTAAGCATTCAACAGCAGCATTTCTTTTCAGCCTCTCAACATCTAAGCATTTTTTATTGCAATGTAGACAAGAATGCATAAACATCATTTGCTTGGCTGATTTCTTGAATTTTTGGTGTTTTAATTTTGAAAACGGAAAAGAATTTTTCAGTATACAGCACTATAAAAAAATAAAATTACATTCAATGAGTAAAAAATGTTGAAAAAATAAAAAAAATAGCCTTTTATAAGCATTGAATGTGTTAAAAATAAATAAGCAAGAGAGAAATGAGGTTGTAAGTTAATATTATACTATAAAAGGGAGAGATTTTACTAAGTACAACATGACTTTAACATTATCTGAAGCACATGTGATAATTATCATTTACCTAAGTAATGCATGTTCTTATCACATATTTTATAGACAATAAAAAAAAACACTTATATTTCTTAAATGTTTTACAAACACTTATTCTTTTCCTAATATAATCTCATGTATACATATTTATTCCAAAATGAATTTAAAAAAATAAACATTTTTTTGAAAACAATTATGTTTCTCAAACATATCTTAGAAATGAGAAACACAAGATCTGAAATTTAGTTTATTTAAGAAACATAGGCAAAATGTTTTCATACTTAAATCTTAAGTAGAAGAGAAAGTCATTTTCCTTAGTTAATACATATAAACTTTAAAAACTGCTGAAAATTCTGTTTATCTCATGTATTATCTTCACTAAAGATGAGTATGTATTATTGCATATTTAAAAAAGATAATGTGAGAAATGCTAGCAGTTTATCAATTTTAATCTCTTTAAAATTTGTTTTTGTTTTTTTATATTTTAACATTATTTTTATATGAAGAAATGTATTGAATTATGAGCTAATGTTTGCTCTACTTTTGTTCACCCACAATATAGGTAATTCTCCCACATTATAGCATCCATTTTTATTTGGATAACTTTCACATCGAGCCTTAAGTATACATATTGATGCTTCTTTTGTACCCATCATGTTTGGGGTCCTGTGCCCAATATATGAATAGATAATTAACTTATAAAAAATAGTAAATTTTTAAGCAATTATATTTAGTTTAGTTCAAAATTTTTTCAAAAAAGTTAACAAATATGAATTTACTATAAAGAAAATGTTTAATGGCAAAAAGTTCTTCTTATTCACAAAATTATTCAAGAAAACTAAGGATGAATAGAATATTTACGAAAAAAAATGGAAAATGTCAATTTTGAAGAGAAAAAAAAGTTGACTGAGCCAGTTATGAAATCAAATGCATGATGAATAGCCTATAAAATCAAGTGTAACAAAGAAACTTTTAGCTAAAAAAAAAATACATTAATTTCACAAGAAATTAACGCCATTAATAAGACATAAGACAAATTATTCCAATTTTAAAAAAATAATTCCAAAAATAATATTTCGAAATAATTAAATATACAATTATAGCCAACTAATAAAAAAGCTCAAATTACCAAAATTTTCAGAATTTTATAAAAAATTAATTTAAAAAACTTGTACAACTGTACAAAATTCAGTAGGAACTTCCAATTTTTTTTTCTCTTAGTAACGGCTGATTTACCAGAATACATAAAAACCAAGAAATTGCCTGAGTCAACACTCCCCTGCAATTCATTCAACAAGCAATTAACATTGCAACAGCTTCCACCCTCATCATTAAACCAAGATAGGTCAAGTTCTAACTTGACCGAAGGAACAGCTGCCTAATTGTCACATTCTAAGAGAATGAGAAATTTTCATAACTTCTATATGAGGAGGAGAGGAAATAGAAGCAAAATAACTAGCTCACAGGCCTTTATGTCGTTTTAGTTTACACCAAATATTATTCTTTCTTCACAGAGTTTTTCAATTCAGTTTAAGAATTTTGAATAAATAAATGTATAGGGTAGTAAAGTAATTCACACTAAATCTGCACAATAGATTATTGGTGATGACAGTCAGGAAAATGTCCCTATGGATGATCAGAAGACATGCCATCACAATTTTGAACCTCTGCAGAAGGAATAGCTACTCTGCTTTGATAGTCGGAAAATTTGCATGCGAAATCAGGCACTTAATTGTAGTACAGTTTAACGAGGACCGATACTATACACCTTCGGTTCCTTTGCAGTTTGATCAAAGTGGTCACCACTGTGGTTCCATAAATACTTAGAAATGTTTTTAAAACAGTCTTAAAACACATTAAAGAAATTAAAAGCAATAAAAAATTATTTAAAATAGGATTAACTTGCAGACGATTATGTTAAATTTTTATGAAATAAAATAAAAAGATAAAATAAGAAAAGTCTTTTATGGTGTTTTGCGGCCAAATTAAATTTTTTTAAAATTATGGTACCAAAATTTCTGATAGAAATATAAAATGATGCCACCGATACCTGGCAGAAAAATAAAGCAATAACATAAATGATACAAAGTAGACTGGTTTAAATTTTGAGCTATTCTTTTCTTTCACTTGGCTATAGTCTTTTCTTTTTAATATTTATTTTTATTATTTGTTTTTATAGTGTATAGCAATCATTCAGTTTTTTATTTGCTATTAATTTTTTTTTTATAGGAAGAAAACTAGAATATTTTTCCCTTCAATTTTTAATTATTTGCAATTAGAGCAATTCTGATATGCTTTTGTTCTTTCTTTATTATGGAAGTGATATTTTATAATGATTAGAAGATATTTTAGTTAGTATATTTAATATTTTTTTAGTGTTGTAGTTCATTTACGTTGCATTAGAGCTGCACAATGGGCTATTGGCGACGGTCTAGGAGACATCCCTGAGAATGATCCGAAGACATGCCATCACAATTTTGATCCTCTGCAGAGCCTCTGCACAATTTTGATACCCCCACTTCGGTAGCCCAACGACCTGTGCACGAAGTCAAGCACTTTACAGTAGAACAGTTCAACGAGGACCAATACCGCACACCCTCGGTCCCTACGCAGACTAATCCAAGTGGTCACCCACCCGCACACTGGCCAGTGATGCTTGACTTCGGTGATCTGCTGGGAACAGTGTCTAAATGATCAGTCCACTGTGGGACTAATATTTTTCCCTTTTAGTATTTTTCCAATGAGAGTTCATATTCTGTTTTCTTTTCTTCTTTTTTTTCAACGTTTTTATTAAGGTGTAGGTACCGTTTCTGAAAAATGCAATGACATATAAAATTTGGGTTTTTGACATTAAAGAATTGAAAGAGATAATAAAAAATTTAAAAAATAGTTTCTCCAGCTTTTTTTCCACTTAGTAATTTCATTCTGTAACTTTAATATAACTATCACAATTTATTTTCCGTTTATCTTTACTATTTTAATCTATGCAACAATTTTAAGAAACGTCTGTTGTTGCTGTTTTAGAATTTTTTTAGAACACAACTTTTTTTTTAGTACAGTAATATGGAAAACCTGAAATTTAAGTATTAGATAATAAAAACAAATGACAATCAAGTCATACTTTGGAACTAAAAATTACTTTAATTCTGCTTCTCCCTTGCATTTTTTCCCCATTTTGCAATTTTAACTTTTCAATTTATTTTCAACAAGGATGGACCGGAAATAGACTGAAAGGTTGGTGGATACAATTTCTAGAAGGCGTTGAAAAAGCATTTGAAAGTCATCATTTATTTTAAACTCTTTTACAAAAATAGAAAATGATGTAATATATATATAGCTGGCTCAGTGGAAAGAGCCTGAAACAGCTCCCAATAACAACACAAGTTTGCATTCCCAACAATGGGTGGGCGATATGAATTCTGCTCCTGCCCCGCTGACTACAGTGCTAATGTGAAAGATCCTCAGATTAACACTGGATTAGCAAAGAAAGATAGATTTCTTTCAAGTCCCAATTCCCACTAGAATTCGTTTTTATGATGCAGCAGTTTTACTATAAAATAATTTAGAAGACTGAACATGTGAGCAAAATTTTTGCCTACTACGAATTTGCCAAGAGTCAAATTTTTACTTTATTTAGAACAAAAAAAATTTTTATTTTTGTACTCACTTTTTGAAATCCTTTTAATTGGTAAAACCTGTTATGGCAACATTCACTTGGTTCTACATCTGCACAATCCTGTTGAAGAAGACTTACAATATACCGTGCATATACCGTATCTATGTCCCGTTTTTCTAATTCTTCTGTTAACCATTGTAGAAGAGATGACGGGGTGGTATTTGAAACAAGACTCTGGCTCAGTCTGTTCATTATGAGTTTACCTAAAGTAGAAGTTGTTAGTGTTTAAATTTCTCTCATTAATATAAAAAGGAAGTAATAATACATAGCCAATCACAGAAGAAATGCAGAAGCTTATACTTATCACATCAGAAATAAGAACAAATATGCATTTAAGATAAGTATTAGTTTATAAAGGCTGCTTACTTAAATGTTATGATTAAACCAACATCACTATCTTGCTAAAACTTTAGTTTTTTAACCAAACATAGCTTTAGAACTAATGTTGTAGCTTGTATACTAACTGTGTGGCATAGTTTTGTTTTCAAGTAATGAACTTTTAACTTCCAGTATTTTGCAAACCTGCATTTCTAAACACATCAGAAAGATTTATATGATAAAAAGAATAGGAAGTTTTTTGTTTGTTTTTTTTTTAAATTTAAGAAAATTAATTAATATGATACCTTCCTTTGAACAAAAAACTTTTTTTTTTCTTTGAAAAGCAGTGTTTAGAAAAACTACATAATACATCAAAACATACCTTATTGCATTATTTGCAGCATAAAAATTTCTGCAAAAGTGAAAATTAAAATAGTTTAACTTAGTGATCATGAATGATATTTTCTACACAAGCATGCACTGCCAGCTCTTTACTGCCTATACTTCTAGGTTACTGTTTCCAGTGTATTTTGAAGCCATTTAGCTTACAATGTGATCGCGTTTTGAGACTTTCTTGAGTAGTATTTCTAGTATATGTGTATTTGTTATCTGATTTATTATTTGTGTTTAAAAAAAATAATCGTTGTAAGAATCGTCATTTAAAGACTTGTCATTTTAAGAAGTAAGAATCGCCATTTGAAAAAAAGAATCGTTATAAAAAATTTATTACCTTGCCAAAGATATATCAACTTAGAAACTTAAGGGTAAATGATAATTTGTAAAATGAACTTAATGTCGTTGCTCGAACAGTATGTTAACACTAACTAACGATAGTGCACAGAACAAAGAGGCCAAATCAAGACTGCCAAAAAAAAATAAGCTCTTTCTAAATCTAGCAACCATGTCACCTTTTCTATCAATACATCTACAAATAACTAAAACAAATTTTCACATGCAAGAACATTTTAACAAAATGATAATGAAAACAAATGTAGCATTGCTTAAAAGTCTATTTCAAACAAGATTTATAACTTTTGGGGAAAATTGCATCATACTATTTCAATTGGAAAAAAAATTTAACATGAAAAAAATATATAAGAGTATGTGTAAATTTTCTAATGTGGTAGAAAATAACCATTATTCAAGGCTAAGTTTACATCAATGTAATAAAAATGAATTCTATGAATATGATGGACGAATGTAGAATCCAAAACAAGCAGCAGCTGAGCTAAATCACACACAAAGATCTTTACATTTTCAATGTAACATTACAAAACAGTGTCACAAAGTCTGATAGAAAAATAAAAGGAAAATTTAATAAAATGAAAAGAAAAGATCATCTTAAATTAACATAATACCTAGAACATAATATTAAGATTAAAAAAGTAATAAAATAAATTTTCCTAAAGATAATTCAATGAATAAGAGTACATTAAAGCAAATATATTTATAATTATCTAAATCATCAAATGTTAAAAATTCTACACCAAATTTGTTTAATAAAAGACAAATATACATACCCAAATCCATTTGTTAAGTTTACTGTTAGTAAGTAGATATAATTTGCTTAACAGCCCACGAACAATGAAACCAAATTTCAAAAAAATAAACAAATATTGAGAGTTAAAAATTTCACCGAATTTTTTGGTGTGTAATCCACAGCGATGCGGAAAACACGCTGCAGTCTATAATCTACACCCTTTATTTTCAAAAGGGTGGGAAAGACATGGGCCTATAACTGGCACAGAATTAACTTTGACATCAGTGCAAAATCGAAACAATGCATAATTTTTATTATAATAAATAAAATTGCAAATATAAAACAAAATTAATAAAATTAAATACAATTATTAACTACGCTATATATATGAATACAATAAAAATAATCAGGTTAATAGGCAAGAAAGAAAAATACCTACAGCAGAAATGAAAAATAGCATTTATAATAAACAGAAAAGTAATTTGAAAGCATTGAAAATCCTTCAAAATCAGATGTATCTCTGAATCATAACTAGACAATTCTAAAATATTTGCATCAAAAATATTTGCATCAGTGTCTCGATCGTGATCAGTATTGCTGTCATCAAAATATGTTATAGCATTGTTTCTCAGTTCCTCAGCACCTAAACAGTGGAGGATAATCCAGGTTTTCTTTAAACCGTTATTTATCTCTTAGCGGATACATCTTTCAAACCTTTCATTCACAAACCTCCTTATAAGAGGCACATTGAATTTTTTTTATTAGAACTGAACATGTCAGCCATCCATTCCTCCCGATAATGTCTAACTTTAGACTTGAATGATTTGTTAATTCCCACATCCAGGGGCTAAAGTTTCTTAGTCAAGCCACCTGGTATGATGGATGAAAACACAGAGAAATTTTTGCATTGATTTTCAGTTACTTCACTTATGTGCGCCTGCATAGAATTCATGACCAAGAACTCATTTGGTTTAAAAAAGGCTCCCTTCCTTTTTCGCTAAATGGATGGAAAAAACGAAGTATTGACTTTGTGGTTCATCCACCTTTTTCTTTAGGTAAAATTTTCCCCTTAAAAATTATATAGGAAGGCAGCTTTTCACGAGCTTCTGAACAGGATAATACCACAGTGAAAGAAGTCTGATCATACATCGTAGTTATTATAGCAGCCGAATTCCTCCTGCAGCTTCTACAATTTGGTTCAGTGGATAATCAAAACTCATTGGAGTGTCATCCATGTTTATAATCTCACTAGCTGTGAATTTATTCAGTTTGATAAGCTTTCTGGTGAATTCCAGAAACTGCAAGCCTTTTTTTCTCCAGTTTTCAGGCAAACTTTGCGAGACGGTAGTGCAATCTCTCATTTGTAGGTTGTACCACCACATGAAGCGGTAGCACCAGGATGGCTCACCATTAAATTTTTCTATATTTTTTTATTTTGCCAACACTCGAGCATGCAGCCGTATTTTTAATGTTGATACGGGAAGTCCCCCTTTTTCCTTGCCGCAGTATCCATCGAACCAAGTCTTTTTTTAGGTTTGGCCATGAGGGTTTCCCCCTTCTCTTGCACTGTCTTTTTTTTTGTAGGAAGCTTGAAATTTTTCCTTATTCTTCTACCAAATCAAAATATTGGATTTGTTGATAAAAAAATCTACCCGCAGTACGATTACCATCTTTATTTGCTTTTTCTGTCACTTTCAATTTAAACTCAGCTGCGTAACTAGCACGCTTTTTACTCATCATTTCTTTATCAGACTCAAAAAAAAAAAAACACTCTCCGATTTTAAAAAGGGTAAGATGAAAAACATCCGAAACTTAAAATCTGGCACCATACCAGCGTTTTGGGTGAAGCGGAGTCTCTCTACTGACGAGTGCACAATGTTATCCTTTGGGATTTGGGAAAAGGAAAGAATTACAATGAGATTGGTTGGTTAAGTTGAATAAATATTTGCTAAAAATAAAGTTTAATGCTACATAATTTAAATTTTAAAAAAATAAGTGAAGATGTAACCTGTTACCAGGCAAGGTCAACACTTTTGCTGCCCTCACTCTCCCGATCATTACATCCCATTGATTATCTGTGTGAACTCAAATCCAACCCAAACACCATACCGGCAGCACATTCTATTGATATTACTTTAAAAACATTTTAAATTTTTCTTACCAGGTTTTAAGATGGGAGATGAATTACATTTCACAAGTTGTTATAACAGCAGCGTTTTTAAGATTCATTATGATCAACTCCATTTTAGGGAGATTTACACAGAACAGTAAAAAATTTTGCATATCTTCTGTAAGACTTTTTTCTAAATCTAAAGAAAAAAAAACAGAAATATAAAATAAATAATTTATATAACTAATACATACTCTGGCCTCATACTGTGCCAGAGAAAAAGTCAGTAAAACATTTTTCAAAAAAAAAAAATCTGAAGTTTAAGTATGTATAAACACTTGTATAAACACTTCTTTTTCTATAGAATCTGTCCCACATTGTGTTTAATGACATTTTAAGTTAAAAATTCAGACAAAAAACAAATTTTCTGAGATCAAACAAACTATTTTTCCAACAAATTTGGATTTTTAATCCTCAAGATATGAGGAATATCTGGAGTCTAATATAGTATTTAGGAGTAAGTAATATAGGAGAAAATATAGTCACAATAGTTTGTATATAGGAGATATAGATAGTTTGCACTCATTAATGTGAATTTTCCTTATTGCGTATTTTGCCATAGCTTGAAAACATTTTGATTAAGTAAGAAGTTTTTATAAATGATATCAGTCATACCCATATAAAATATATACCAATCATAATCAACAAAAAATACAATTTTGCAAAATCTTTTGAAAAACAGTTCTTTTAAAACCTTTTTCCTTTATTTCCTTCAATAATAATGCTCGGATTTCTTAAAGTTTTATGCAAAATTAAATAAGATTTGTGATTACTATTCCAGTTATATTCTAGAGTTGAGTGTCTACATAATCAAAAAATAATAAACAAAATAAAATGTCAAAAGATACGAAAGGAACCATAAAAATATCACTACAGTCGAGCCCTGCTATAGTGAACCTGGGATAAAGTGAATACTCGGATGTAGTGAACTTTTTTAGTGGCCCCATCTGTACTCCTATTTAAATAATGTCATTTTTAACGCTTACAGTGAACAGCTGAGAACTTGGAAATTGTGTTAAAGTGGACTCAAATTTCATTCCTCTAAATATCTTTTTCAGTCCTCCATCTTTGAAATTGCAGGTGTTGGGACCGAAAATGAATGCATTCCTATATAATGTGTCATATTTCACTTCTTTATGCTTATCACTTTTAACTATACTGTAATAAATGTTAAACAAAACATTTATCTTATACTCCCCCCTCTCTGACAAGCCTCTCTTTGTCCCTTTTCCCCCAAGCTTGCTCCACAGCTAGTTAACTTGGTCACCTGCTGAATTTTTGGAATTATCTTATCTGTTCAAACCATATTCTTTACAAATTACGCCTTGACAATCAAGAATGGGAACAATTTAACTCGTTCTACAGCTGCTCTCTTCATATTCTTACAGTATCTATTTCAAACAAGACTTTTATTTCTAAAGCAGTGAAAATGGCTAATTCTCTAAAGAGAAAAGCATTTTCGATCGATTACAAAGTTAAAATTGTAAAATGTATTGAAGATGGAACCAATGAATCGGCACAGAGTAAGGAATTTTCCTTGACAAAATCTACAATTTCAAACATTTGGAAAAATCGAAGTGCAATTCTTGCTGCATACAACAAAAATATGGTTCCGTCGAAAAAACTATGTCAAGCTGAAAGAGAAAACGTAGAAGAAGATTTGTTAAAATGGTTCACTACTCAGAAGCATAGAAATTTTTCTGTGACTGGACCTATGCATCAAATCAAAGCGAATGAGTTTGCTGAAAAATTAGAGGAAAAGGATTTTGTGTGCTCCAATGGATGGCAGCATAGATTCAAAGAACAGAATAATATTTCTTCAGGAAAGATTATTGGAGAAGCGAGTGTTGATGCAACGGATGTGGAAAACTGAAGTGAGGCCGAGTATTATTCTTACGGAATTATGAAGAGAAAGACATTTTAAATGATAGCTGGGCTATTTTACAAACTGATTCCCAATCAGATGTTAAAATTTAAAGGAGAAAAATACACTAATGGAAAACTCTCCAAAGTGAGAATAACAGTTCTTGTTTGTGCAAACATGAACAGCTCGGAAAAGCGAAAACTGTCATAGGTAAATCTCAAAAACCGAGGTGCTAGAACTTCGACAGTGGGACAGAGATTTATTAAAAGTAAGTCGTAAAATCGTTCTTCTCGTAGACAATTGCACAGCTCACCCTTATTAAGAAAGTCTAAAGTGTATTACGCTCGCATTTATACCACCAAATACGACTACTGTGTTGCAACCCATGGACCAGAATGTTATTCGCAGTCTCACTATAGGAGACAATTTTGTTATGCCTATTTTAGATAACTATGAAAAAAACAATATGGACTTAGAATGCAACATCTCACTTCTAGAAGCAATAGTTTTGCTCGAAAAATCATGGAGGCAAGTAACATCAGCTACAATCCACAACTGTTTCCAACATGCAGATCTTTCATACGATTTAGAAGAAAAAGATTCCAATGTAGAGGAAGATGATGAAGAAAATTTACCTATATCTCTATGGCTAAAAAACATGGGATGGACATTTTTCCTAAGGACATTATTGAGCAATTTGAATGTTGTGATGATGAAGTATGCACTTCTGGTACTCCTACCGATGATGACATTGTCACTGAAATAAAACAAACAAACGAAGGTAGAGAAGACTTATTAGAAGAAAATGTTGAAGAAAATGAACTTTCGGCACCATCTATAGCTGAAGTAAAATTAGCCATAAATGTCCGTAATGTTTTTTTCTACAGAAAATGCAGATCAAAAAATCTTGCATCCTTTGCACATTGCAGATAAGAAAATTGATGAACTCTATTTAAAATCAAATTGTGTTCAATCAAAATCACAAATTTTTTTCATAAAAAGTTAAATCACAATTAATTTTTTGCTATGTACGTATTATTTTCAATAATTTTCGCTTTATAAATTGTTAATTAGTTAATAATATTTTAAATAACTTATGTAAAATTGCAAATCCAATTTTCGATCATTCAACTGCCTCATGCAAAAAATATTTTTTGAAAAAATTGGATATAGTGAACCATTGTTTATGGTGGACACATTACTCAGTCTGCAGATGGTTCACTATAGCAGAGTTCGACTGTATTATGTCAATTAAATATCAGTAATTGTAACAGAGAATTTTTACCTGTCACTGTTATTGATAATTACACAGCTTCAGTACAATTAAATTACACTTGAAAAGTATAATGTCGTAAAATGAGGTTGAGTATACCAAGAGAAGGAAGATTTTAAAGTACAGTAGAGCGCCGATTATCCGAACTGCTCAGGACCGAACGTGGTTCGGATAATTGGAAACTTGTTTAAAATCTAGTTTAAATCATTATTACTTATGCACTAACTTCCCTTCACACTTTTTCCATGCAGTTCTATCTAAAATAGCTCTGACATGTTTAAAAGTCTTTTTTTTTCCAATTTTTAAATATATTTTATTTATTTATTTTAATTTTGAATTTTTCTTATCATATTTCAGCCTTTTATTTTTTTCTCTCAATTACTGATTTTACCACATTTTTCTTTATTTTCCATTGCAAAAGAAATCCAGCAAAGACTTTTGTTTCAAAGAAGATGCTCTTTTTTGAGCAGCCATATCCCTTATTCTTTTTATATAAATCAACTGAACTGGATCAACATCATTTTGACATTCTAGCCAATTCATTGCAATAACTAACAAATTGCATGCATCTATATGAAAAGGTACACTATCTTGAACTTGATAGCCTACTTCTTCCTCTTTGTCTGTGGAGTTGCGATTTTCATTCAAAATTTCAGCAACAGTTTCCTTATCATTTAAAATCCTGGGTCGTTTTGTTAAAGTTGTAAATCAAATATGGTCTTCAGATGTAGTGGATATTATTTATACTTCTAAATTTAGAAAAATTGTCGATAAGTTAAATAGTATTCAAAGCTTTCGGACAGTTCGGATAATTGAACGTTCAGATAATAAGGGTTCGGATAATCGGCGTTCTACTGTAATTCTTTAAAGGCATATCATCTCATCTTTGCATTCAAAATTGAAAACAAAAATGCTGCATCCTTTTTTACTACGAGTTGTATTTTAGAGCACATTAAGATTTTTAAGCATAATATTCCAAAAAAATCCATCTAATGGTTGCATCCGAAATCGAAAATACAACGAAACGAAATCTTTGAAAAGAAGGTAATTTCAAATTGTAGTTTACAAAATAGAATAATTCCTCAAAAGAAAACAATTCAATATAAAACACGATGATTAATTAAAAGAAAACCCTCGTATGTAGAAGGTAAATACAATTACACAATAGTTAGAGACGAAAAAATATAAAATAACATAAAAAATCAGATCATTTAACAAAATAGACCGAAACAACAAATGGTAATAGAACCCCAATTAAATTTGATATCATTTTAAATTTGGCTTTTGAATTCATATTAAAGTTGGAGAAAAAATTTATTGTTTCATTAGTTAAGAATAAATCACTAACTTGAAAGCATTGGATTTATTAAGTATTCAAACTTAATTATTGCACAGATCTAAAAGCTTGACTATAAACAACAGTACTTATACATTACAAATAAAATTATAATCCGCACCTTGTACCAGTAATCTTTTAAATTTTGACAATCACGACCTGTTATGATGACACATGACCTCACAAGTTGAGTTCTGTTCTGATATCTTTTTTAACAATATCTGTTAAGAGTTTTTAAGCCATATTATACGCTTTACCTAACCTTTTTATTACCTAAGGTTAGATATTTGGAAATAGAAATGGAACCTTGAAGTGGGCAGAAATATACACTAAAAACGTAAACATTAGCGTAGGTTTACATTCTGCATTAAATGTAATAAATATTGTGGTCCTCTCTATCGTCTTTTTTGACAGTATTTGATCAAATAGAATTTTCTTGTAAAGCTTGCGAATCAATTCATATTAAGCGATTTAAACATGGCTTATAAAAGGTAAGTGAGTGTAATAAATATCAACAGTGGCGACACTGAATCTTACAGGACTAACACGACGTATTAATGAATTATATTTTCATAAGTACTTGGGATCACAATACTTGATTTTTTAGGGTCTCGGAAAATAAACACTGATTTTCTATGGTCCCGGGAATACAATTGGAAAGTATACGTTTTAAAATGTTTATATTTTCTAATTAAAAAAATTTAACCTACATGAAGTGCTTGCTACTAGACACCGGGTTTAATATTGACGGATGTTGTGTCCTAGAAAGACTTTTAAATACTGGAAATTCTGCATTTTATAATTGAAAGTCAACGTATATCAATTATGGTGCATTAGAGCAGCAGAATTTAAAGTGCTCAACAACATTGAATCAAATTTGTTTGGTTATGTTGAGCTATAATGAAACCAGATTTGAGAAAAATAAGCGAATATTCAAGTTACTTTTTTGACCAAGGAGTATTTGGCTTCAACTTTGGTTGTGAATTTAATATATTTTCAAGCCTCAAAATTTTATAAATTCAATCGTATATTTTTACCATCAAAACTCCGCAAACATAATGGTGTGAAATTCATATTATAATTCTTTAAAGTTTCCTATAGTTACTTGAGGTACATTGAATTGACTTTTCATGAATTTTAATGTGTGCCTCTGTATAAGTTTATATTTTATTGTAATAAAGGATTGAAAAAGTCAATAAAATAATAATTACAATCTATTTTTTTTCTCTTAGGAAAAGGGGAGAAACAACAGCTCCAAAGAGCAAAGCTAAACCACCACCTAAACCAAGGAGAGGAAATGTTAGAGTAAGTGAAATCCCCAAATTTTCTTATTCATTACAATTTTTTACATGTGATAAATTTAGTTTATAAACATAGTTATTCACTCTTCGATTACTGCTAATTTGATGATTGGTGAGATGAACCATGACCCATCCTAATGTATTTTAATGAAGAAAGTTTAATTTTCTCCAGTAATTTTGCATCATTTTAATTTATTCAAAAAATAGAGTTAAAAAAAATTTAAATTTAATAACTTTNTGTTGAAGGCTCAAATTAAAGATAAACTTGTGAATACTTTTCCTAACGTTCACATTGCATTAAGAATGTATTTTTCGATTCTTGGATCAAATGCAGAAGGAGAAAGATCTCTCCAGATTAAAATTGATTAAAAATTATTTGCATTCAACAATGAATCAAGATCGTTTGGCATCGCTCGCATTTATGTCTATTGAATACGACATTTTGCGTAGTTTGGAATTCGACAGCATAATACAAGATTTCGTTGAATCCAAAAATCGCAAAAAAGTAATATGTTAGATCATAAGGTTCTGCAAAATAATTTATTACCGAAAAATATTATATTTTTATTTGTATCTTCATAATTTTGTGCAAAATACACTTGTTGTTTTCAAAGCTAAATTATTTTTGTCAACAATTTTTTTTCTCTCAAGTTTTTCGTAGGCCCCTGAATTTCGTAGGCCCTAGGCACGTGCCTATAGGTTAATCCGGCCCTGCAGACAAGTACTCAGATTTATGCCTTTCAATTGGGGAAAAAAATCCAAAACACGTTCCATGGGAATTCCGTCGTTCACATATCGGACAGCAATTGTGAGCTAATCTACAGGGGAAATATCTAGTGTTGAATCAATGCTTACTGAAAAATATTTTGCTTTCTTTAATTCTGCAATTATTTTGTTTTATACTTTATATCCCACAATTGATTCAGCTTCGATTAATTATAAATCGAAACTGATTAATAGGATGTATGTCCATTGCCCTCGTTTCCTTAATTTTTTAAGCGAGAAAAGGGTCAAGTTTACTCAATAACTCCAAAATTCCCAAATAATTTCCATTATGCTGCAATCCAATTTTTTTATTGTCGTCACGGAATGCAAACTTCATGATGCTACAATTCTTTTGAATACTTCTTTTCTATAGGTGATTTGGTTGTTCATTTGATTAGTTAAAACTCTATCTATTAAGCAGGGCTGCCATTGGCGACTAAAAAGGCTACTAAAGCGACTATTTTCAAGCAATAGCAACTAGGGCGACTATTATAGTAGAAATATGAGTAAAAACAACTAATTTGCAATGAGTTGCGTAAAATTAGCGACTTTTTTAAGCCAATTAGCGACTAAAATTAAGAACTTCTTGAGTTTCCCCAGCGCGTTTTCGTTTTATCCAAACTTTATTCTTCCTCACTGATGTCAAAAGCAAGACTGACATGTTTAACCAATCAGACTAATGGAATTCACACTGCGTGAATGCTCCTCCTGCTCATGTAATATCTCTGAGGATTATGTTTCCCCCCCCCCCCTCTTTTAATTTGAAGGAAGTAGCAAAATAAAAAAAAATTTTTTCTTTAATTACACAAAATGGGTAGTTAATTTTTTTACAGCTATTTACAATAGAAAAAAGGCAATGGGGATATTCGTTTTGTCGAATTCTGATCGTAATTTTTTTAATAAGCTTTAAATTTGGAAATGCATCAGTTAGGAAAAGTAAACAAAATAAAAACTTGATATATGAATTAAATTGTTAAAAATTTCTTTTATCTAAATTNGAGGGTATAACATGAATTCTTATTAGTACGTCAGCTTCTGTGCCTGCTTGCCAATTCATGTTTATCTCATGAAGCTGCTGAAAAATTATGAGTAACAGAGAGAGAACATGAAATTGAATCAGTTAGAATTGATAAACTTGTTCATAAAAGGAAAACAAATTTAATTGATATCTATACTAAAAGCCCCAAGAAAATGTTAAAAAATTAATAAATTTCACATTTTATACAACATTGTGTGTTTTTTTTCCCACTTCATTTTCAATCATAAAATTCTTAATTTTAATTTATTTGTACCTATATAATAATTTTCCTTTCATATTATTGTTGAAAATTATTTAAGTATTTTTAGAATGCAGATTTTGTTTATTATGTACCAGGGTTGGAGTTTTTGCCAGCAAAAAGGGTTTNTTAATTTATTTGTACCTATATAATAATTTTCCTTTCATATTATTGTTTAAAATTATATAAGTACTTTTAGAATGCAGATTTTGTTTATTATGTACCAGCGTTGGAGTTTTTGCCGGCAAAAAAGGTTTTTTGCCAGGACAGTGGCAAACACCTGGTAAAAACCGGCAAAAACCAAATTATCTAAATTGCTGATTAAATATTATTACAAAATACTTGAAATAAATTTGAATCAATCATAAGGAATAATAATTTTGATACATTACATGAAAAAATTATTTTTAACATATGTATGAATAATTAATATAAAGGCAATAATTTTTAAAACATTANGCACAAATAATTTAAATTATGTGAGAGGAGGATATGATGTTGGCACCTATTTTATATATCTTGGAGACTATTTAGGAGACTTTTTTTCGTATATGATGCAACTAAAGCTACTATTATTCTTGTTTTAATCCAATGGCAGCCCTGATTAAGCATTCTCTTTCTTGACTAGTAAATCATAGTGGCGTGTCTGTGCCCAAACATATTTTCATGTCCTAAAATGGAGACATTGAAATGTTACCAATCATTTAAGCAACTTTCAAAACTAAGAATGTTGCTGATAGTTGTAAAAAGGCATGCGCCATCAAACACATTACAAAACTTAAAGAGTGGCAATTTTTTGAGTCTTAAAACACACACAGTTGTAAAAGTACTATTAGTGTTTTGCAATTTTTAGAAAGATAACTAATTTCGTGATTGAAAATTGATATTTTTTTATATAGTTTTTAACAAATGTTTTAAAATTTGTTCTAAAATCACTCTTAAGCTTTTGCCTGACATAAAAGCTTTTACCAAACAAAAAAATAAATAAATAAATAAAAAATAATAATAATTAAAAGATCGAAAAGAAAAGAAAAAATATTTAAGAAAAAAAATTCTAATTAAAATTGCTTACTACTCTCTAAAGGAAAACTTATTTTAGTGGTAAAAATTTAAATCATTTGATCATATTTTATGCCATTTTAGTTTGTAATTTCAACAATAATCAATAAATATGCATAATAAGCTTATACTCTCAATCAGAACTTGTTAGGTGAAATCACAATAAAACTGATATAGGTGATATGTTTTGATTTTCACACTCATCTGAGCACATGTCCAAACTAAGTGTTAATGCTGTTTAAAACAGCATTAACAATCGAAACACAGAAAACAAACCAGTCAACATAAAGCAGGAAGGTGCATGGTAACAGAATTCGAGAAATATTACAGACATAAAACATTGTTCCTTTGTTGTTGACTGGCATTCAAAACTCACATTTCCCAAAACTGTATAGCATGTCCAGTTCTTTCTGTTCTTATCACCTTTTCTGTTCTTGTTCTACAAGAACGTATATGCAGATGATGGAATAGCCATGTATTATTCCATCATCTGCAGCATCTGTCATGGTTAATGAGATGTATGGCTAATTTTTTTCTTTTAATGTTATATCTCAAACACTCTCACTTGCAAACCTTTTTTTTTAACAAATTAGTTGAATAAAAAGAAAAATGTGATTGAGACTTAGGACTTTTGAGAAAGCCAAAAAAATCCTGTAAAAAAATCTTGACAAATTGAGTTGCCTTATAATTAAAATTTTTGAACGCTTCATAAAATTACATTTTTGCAAAAATGTTAAGATAAATTTTTTCATTTTTTAAATTTTTTTTATTTATTTCTAGTAAGTCTACTTTCAAAATGTCTTAGGGTGTAGATTTTGTTTCGAATTTTGCAAAATTTAAAACACTTAAAAGATGATTAAATTGACTAATTCATTGTTGAGGTTTGGGTATGTAAATTTAAGTTTTATGTATGTAACCAAAATAAAATTTTAGCAAATTTTAAATAAATTTTAGTAAAATTTGTTTCTTTACATTTCTCTACCTTATTTTAGGCTGCAGCAGCTAAAGCTAGTGGACAACTGTTGCTAGATACTGAGAATAGCCCACATTTAAATGGCCAAGGACCTTATGGAAATGACAGTGATCAGCTTCAACTTCCTGAAACTCCTACAGTGAGTTTTTAATTGTCATTACTAACTACCAGGGGTGCCAAAAATTCTCAGTCTAATATTTTCGCATAACTTTTTTTTAAAAACATTTTTACAAATAAAGCTACATATGTTAACAGTTAAAGTTATATATATTAACATATGTTTTATTAAAACAGAGTGGACTTCTAAAAAAAACTATCTTTTTCAGAAAAAAAAAGTTTTTTTTTAAGGGATGGCGGCTTATTTTTGCAAAGAGGAAGGGGTGGACTGCTTCTCTGAAAAGACTTAAGGAGAACACTGACATTTATTATTACATTTAGATATGGAATATATGGTTACATAATTATTAGCACATTTTAGTAAAAAAAAAAAATAGTGACAATTTTTTATTATTTTCATTCAGATCAAAAATTTCATCAGGGGCTGCCTGAATTTGCAATCAAACATATTCTGCACCCCTGCTAACTATTTAATTTTAAGTTAAACCGTTTATTCTTTTTAACTGAAAGGCAATTTATGTTATTTGCATGACATCTTATATGTGTAAACTTTCTTGTGTGAAATGATTAAAATTAAGAGTTAGTTCTTTATTCACTTTGGTTGTACAGTACAGAACCCGTTATCCGGAAATCAGAAAACCAAAAAACCGGAACAAAATTCGATAAATTTTCCCGCAATTTAAAAAAAAAATTTTTTTTTCCTCATAAGATTTTAGGATTTTTCTTTCTTTTTTGAAAGATGTTTACCTTACCATCATTTCAGAAATAATCATTAGTGTATTACCTCATCGTTTTTTCTTATTTTTAAGATTATTTCCAAATAATTTTTTTTCTTTTTAGTTGGGTTTAACACTGAAAAAACGGCTTTTTGTAGCGATTCAGAAAACCGGAAAAATCAGTTATCCGGAATAGCGATAGTCCCGATCGTTCCGGATAATCGGTTCTCTACTGTATCTCTAAAAGAATTCTTGAAAATTGTTCTATGATTTTTACTAACCGTACTCTGTATGAAATTTTTAATCTTATTTTTGTGCAGTAAATAAATTTTTTCTTTACGGAAAATAATAATAAAAATAAAAGATTAAATTTATATTTTCATATATACTCAATGTATACACCACTATATATCGCATATAAAATGTAGAATTACAAATAGCATATATTACAGATTTTTATAATCAAATACTGTTCAGTATAAATGAAATACTCACTGACTTTTAAGTAATTTAGTGTACAGATTTTAAAATTCTATATTAAGGTTATAGTTATTCTTAAAAGCATTTGTGAAACTTTTTCCATTCCAGTACAATATTAAATTTAAACTATTCTTATACGTGTTGCCAAACAAATGTGTTTATCAATTTTATTGGCCAGTGCCCTTGCAGAAATAAGTTTAAAATACCAATCCTGGTTTTATTTTCATTAAATATACAGTGTATTATTTAACCAAGCAGATGTAAATGCTATTTCAGTTGAATGAATGATTACCTTAATAGGATATATACCAAGGATATCTACTGTGTATATATATCAGGGATCTGTCTAGGCTTTTCTAAGAGGTACCTATTCTGTGAAAATTTAAACGTAATTTGTTAAATATTAAAAAATCAACACAAAAATATGGATTTATTGTTTCGTAAGGGATAAAAAAATAAAATTTTAAGAAAAAGTATTTTGTGAAACTACCGTTTTTCATAAAGTTGAATTTGTGAAGATACCCGGTAGTAAATTCGACCTGTACAGACAGACCCCTGTATATATATATTCTCAAACTTATTGATTCAATCACATCATACTAATTTAAAAGACTTTATAATTATAAAGTACTTTTAAATTTTATTTTATTTTAATTTACAATAAACTGAAAATTTTTTATAACATTTTGAAAATAAGATTACTTTTCTATAAAAACTTAAATTTAACATTGTCACTTTGAAAAGCTAATTATTACTACATTTTTTTAATTATTTGTAGCAGCTTTCTATTTCACATTTTAAATTACACTAGTTCATTAAAAGTTGAGCTTTGAATTTGGTAATAAAAACATACCCAGATCTTGTTTAAAATTAGCCTGTTGAAAACTGCATATTTCCCTAGTAAACTAAGCTAAAAGTGAAGCATGTGCAAGAGAAAAATATTTATATTTGTAACCAGTATTTCTATCTATTTACTCTCAACCAATTAACAAAACAAGCTTTATAAATTACCAATTTTAAAAACCTTAACATCTAATAAAATGTGTGTCTGTATAACAATGAATGAAAAACTTCTCCATAAAATTAAGAATAAGTGTATAGTGAAGGTGTGTGTAATTTATTTCAAAAAGTATCATTACATTTAAAAATCAGATTTCACAGTTAATGTGTTTGCTCTTGTCTCAAACTAACTATGTAATTTGTTGATAATTAATTACCTTCAAATAGTTATGACTTTGTCAGTATCAAGTAGATCCAGTTGATATTACAGGACAAAATTTTGTCATTAAAAAAAAAGAGAGATTATTTTAAACTGTAGATATGTGTTTAACCACTTAAAGACTAAACCATCTTTTAATTCTGTTTTCTATAATCAGAACAATGATTACCATTTGTTTATTGTTATTAATTTTGATTCAATTATATTATAGGGGTTTCAACAAAATGATTACATGCCTAATCAGCTAAAAAATCATAATCAAACACCTACACCTAATGCAGCTAATTTATTTGATTTGAATTCTACTTATTCAAGTTTTCCACCACAGCCGCAACATTTATTACCCTTCAGTAACCAGATAACTCCTGTTGAACCCATTAAAATAGATCATCAAGGTTTGCTCTCAGATCAACATACTACGGGAGAATATAGTAGTTCGGGAATACATCCTGTTACTAATGTCCGCTTGAAGAATCTTATTCTTAATAGACAAAATCAGAAAGAACAGCTTCAAAACTTTGCAGCAGCAGCCGCAGCTCAAAATGTGGGTAATATATATTCTGATACACCTGTGAGTCCCATTCCAGTACATCCTCAGTCAGGTGAAAACGATAGATATGCGCAACAAACTCCCCCTACTCCAACTTCATTGCATAATAGAGTTGGCAATAATCCGTCTGACAATGGAATTCCAGCTGAGGATACTAGTTATTTAGGACAGAGCCTGACCTATGAGCCTTTAAGAAATCTTGCTTTACCATCTCCTGATTCAGAGATGTCTTGGAGAAAAAATGATTCTCCAGCTAACTTAGACGAAGATAGTGTGTTAAAAAATGGCCAAGCTTCTATAAATAATTCCGCAAATCATACTGATGGAATAAGTTATTCAGGAACAGATCAAGGTTCAATCAATGGATATGGTTACCAAAATTTCTTCGACTCTAGTAATTCACATGATGTTAACGGCTCTGACTCATCAAATAGAGATGATTTTCCCGCCTCCAACAATACTTCACCACAAAAATATTCAACTCAAAATGCACAGTCAGTTTATACTAACCAATATTTTCAGTCACCAAATGATATGAATTCTTATTCATCAAATACAAATGAAGTGGTTGTTTCTCAAGGTTCTTATCCCACTACAACGTCTGCTCAAACCAATCATTCATCTCCTTACTCCCAGCATCTGTCTTCCTCTCCTGATCCTAGAGAACCATTGCCAAGTCCATACAACCAAAATCAGTCCTATGAGCACCAAACTAATGGAAAATCTTCTGAAACTCCAACTTCAAAATCTGAGAGCAATTCTGAAACTACTACTAGCACAATGACTGATGGGACAGATCGAAATTCTTCTAATCAATCTTCAGAACAAGGCAATTTTTTATTACTTACGACAGCATCTTTGAATACATACACAAACACTATCAACACATATAACACTTCAACTTTCCCATCATCGAAAAATTCGACCAGCCTACCTGCTATAGGTTCCATATTCAATTCTGGACATACTGTGATATCAAATTCATCAGATTTGGCTACACAACTGAAGGTGACTTATTCGGGGAGTGTACCTACTAGTCATTGGATTAGTGGTGGTCAACTTCCACCTATGGTAGATAATGGTCGTAATGATGATTTCTGTGGTCTTGACCCAGTTTCTTTGGGGGGCATATTTTCTTCTCTTATCCCTGCTCCTTCTTCAAATCTTATACTCACAACAAATGACAATAGTAAGAATTTAGTTACGAGTCAGCAAGAATCCAATTGGTGGGAGCAGATGAAAAGTACTGTAAAGATAGAAGTGCCTCCTGCATCACCAGACTGTGAGGTTCTGGAAAATCAGCCTTCAAGTCCATCCACTGCTGCGCTACCTACGTCATTGTAGTTTGCATTCCGTTCCTTGGGTCTTGAGGAAAACAAAAGCAGTTTTTTAAAAATATTTTTTAATAGCTACTTACAAGATATTTTTTACAAAAAGTACAAACTATTTATTTTAAAATACTTTAGCCTTCAAATCTCTTATAGAATATTTTTCAAATGTCAGACTATCGATGCCATACCATTTAATGTCTTTTTTTTTGTATTATGTGAAAGTGAAATTATTTATGTTTTCCATAGGGCAATCATTTTTAGATACTCATGTAAATGTACATTCTACCTCAGTCTAATTTTTTTAAAGAGAAAAAAAAATAAATAATAATGATGAACTCAAATTGTGATGCTTATTTGACATGGTGATTAGTTTTCTGGTCATTAAATCTATACTTTTTTAATACAGAAATCATTTTTAAACAATTAAGGCCTTGATACTTAATTTTTGTTTTTATGTCGTACAATGTTTTGAAAATGCAATGTATATATTTTCTTTTATTTTAATTTTAGTTTGTGCTTAACTATGAATTTGTTTTAAATTATAAAATATTATTTAAGTCATTCTCATAGTTTTTTAAATATATGTGAGTGTCAAATCCCTTTTTATCTCATTGCTTATGTAACTAATGTAGTGTAACAATTTGGTAGTTTAAAACATCTTAAATGCTCGTAAATTAGTATTATTTTTAACTGACAGTAGTAATTATTTTTGGTATTTTAGTTTTGAGGACAATTCTAATAAATAATGTACGACGATAATTTATTCAGATAAACATATTTTTTATAAAAATATTTTTGTAGTGATTTGAGCTATATTGAGAGATGGAATGAAATTGCTGCCTTTTGAGAGAAAGTGTATAAAATGATACATAGTATTAATAATTGAAGGTATTTTTTTTAAATCCTCTTCTCTTAATTTTTTGATGCAACATTGTTCTTCCTATTCATGTTCTGTGTATTAAATGATACATAATATTAATAGTTAAAAGTATTTTTAAAAAAAATTCTTTTCTCTTAAATTTTTGATGCAATATTGTTCTTCATATTCTAGAATTCATTTTATTTCTGAATTGGCCATAGGCAGCTCATTAATATGCATAGAATTTTTTTTCTTATCAGTATTAGTTTTTGTGTGCACTCTCATAGTTTTTCGTTAGTCACTTTACTGTATTTTGTATGTAGTCCTAATTTATTAATTTAACTTAATGTTATTTAACCTTTGTGATTGTTTATTTTTCAACTAGGACAATTAGAAATAATTCATTGACTTTTTCAATGCTCCAAAATACTAATTGGTCAATTTACTGGGGCCAATTGTCACTAGTGAGCGCATTAAATTAAAGACAATTGACAAAAAAAGAACCAAAGATTGCCTATTTTGCCCTAAGCTTTTGACAGCCTTGCCAATAAAAAAATCGTTTATTTTAAAAATGATAAGAAGAATTTAAGAAACGTAGTGCTTTAGTTCATCAATAACGTGAAATTTTTCTACCTTGGGCGTTTAAATACTTCCTAATTTTAAAAACTATTTTCTTTAGTGTACGAGGTTTTTTTTAAAAAAAACTTCATTCTAAAGACTTATTTGTTTTTAGTGCTCGGATGCTACTCTGAATATCAACTTGCCTAAACAAAGAGAATTTGCTCTTAAATTTCGCTGTGTTAATAAGGTCCCTAAAACCATTATTTGCATAATCTAAAACATAAACAAGGCTTGAAACAATAAAATATGGCAAAAAATAAAATTTAGAAAGAAGGATAAAAAAAATGTTTTTTTATTTTTTATTCAATATCAGTATGCCTAACTTCTTATTCACTTAGAGCTTTAAATATTCTTCGTACGTCGTTTCTAGTCATGTTAGTTTTTGGATTTTTTAGCAATCCATTAAAACGTATAAATTAAACTACATTTAAGCTTCTAACTTTTTTTTTTATCTTTATAAAGTGATATTTTTTGTGGATGCTGTTTGTGTGATAGTATTTGTTTCAGCTATATTAGTATTGAAAAGCCTACTTAATATTTTTTTTTTTGCTTTGTTCATAGCTATTAGACCATTATTTTTGAATTTGTATGTTTGCTATATTTCTAAGTAATTAATTTTTCAATTATTTAAAAGAATATTATTTTATTCTAGAATTACTTACTTTAATTGATTTTATTTGATTATTTGCATAAGTAACTATTGAATCTCAGACTTGATGTTTTTAAAAAAAAATTTATGCAACATTTTTGTGTCAATTACTTAAATAGTTTGTTTATTTATTACTCGTGTAATTAGTCATTGTGGATTGTATTAGCAAATGCAAATTTTGTATTTTAACAGGTGAAGCTATATTTTTAGACTTCTAAAGTTTTAATGACTTTTACTATATTTTGTACTATTAGTCACCAAATACATATGTATCATATTAGAATATACAAAACTTACAATTATAGCAATAATTGTTACTTAGCAGTGTTCATTAAAATGTGCCTAACTGTTAACTACTTTTTTTATGTGTGATATTTATTTTTTGTAAATTGATCAGTCCCATGTAATGCGTCAATAATGAGACTTATCTGTAAGATGTCACAACATATTGCTAATGTTTAACTTTTTTAAAACAGTTTTTAAAAATGCGGAGTCACACGAGGTTGTGGCGCATTAGAGTACAAATTTACGTACTAGTCTCATTTAATCAGATTGTTTTCTAAAACGAAGATGCATTATGAAAATTAATTTCTATTACAAGCATATTTATGAATTTTTTTTAATCGAAAATACTAGAATTTCTAATTAATGTATAATACATAATTATTATTCTTTATTTAATTTTTTTGTAAAATCTTTTAATAGTTTATATGTACTTAATTTTTTTACAGGAAAATATAGTAGATAGGAACTAATATACATATATATTTAAAAAGATAATTCTTATGATACATTAAAGTACAAACTTACCCACTAGTCTTTAATTTTAATTTTTGTTTAGAAGGAATGCAGTTTTTCTATTAAGATGTGTTGTAGAATTTCAAATTGATGTATAGTGCCTAATTATTATTTTTTCGTTTAAAATTTTTTCTCTGTTTAAATAAAAATGCATTCATATTTAATTATTTAGTCTTTTAATGTCTTTATGAAAGATTTTATTATAATTTTTTGATGTCTTTATGAAAGAATAGTATATCAAAACTGTATGTATAGATAATTTTTAAAAAAATAATTATTTATTTTTTATAAGGTTTCTTTAAAAAAAATTAATAGTGTTGTAATTAAACAAATTAAATAATTTATAAATTGTGACAATAATTTATATCTTTACACCATAATTTTAAATCTTGATTAAAAAAAAAAAGAGGAAAATGTAAAGAAAGATATTTACTTTTTAAAAACGAGGATTATATCCTTTTATGTGTTGAATATTTTTTTATATAATTGCTATGGCTGAGTTTTACTTTGTGTTTAAGATTGTTTGAAAATAACTGTGCCTTTATAAACCTTTTATGTTCTTAATTTTAATCCTATTTTACATTTTTTTTTTAAAAAAAAGCTCTATTCCTACTATTAGAATAAAATAACCAGTAGTATTAAAATTTTAAACACAGAGAAAGTTTTTTATAACTCTAAATATTAAAATGTCTTATTAATTCTTCTTATTAAATTAGAAAAACTTATTGAATTAAAATCGTGAATTTTCTCATTTATATATTTATTTTGTCCTGTGAAACAAGTGACCTTAATACATTAATAATATTAAAAGTTTTGTTTTTTTGCAAGGTAGTATATATTTTATTTCATTTTAAATTCATTTTTATAAAATAAAACCATATATTTATCATCATAAAAACAAGTGGACTTAGCCGATACTTAATGTATGGAAACTTATGTAAGTATCACAAAATGATACTTTGGGTATCCCACCTTTTTTTAAAAAACAAGAAATGAGGAGATGTAATTGTAAAGTACTGTAGTAAAAATTTTGCAGTAATGTGTGTATTGTGTGTTGTAATCGAAATATTATATTTAAAAAATTGAGTCAATGGACAAATGCCAAATATATATTTTAGCTTTAGTTTCACCAGTTGTGAGATTTGAATGCCATTTCATAGTCATTTATTTTGAGCTTCTGTATTCTATAGTGATTCACGACTACTATCAATTCGTGCATGTACTGAAAGTTTTTATAGTTATGAATCACTTTAAAATAATTCGAAGCTCTGAATAAATTGTCATTTATTTTGAGCTTCTGTTTTTTTTTTTATTGTGATTCACAACTATTCTCAATTAGTGAATGTGTCAAACAGGCAATTTTATGATGGTTGGTTGTAAGATAACAGTTCAAAAATCAAAACAGAAAATACTCTCTTCGTAATATATATTTATATACTGAATAAAGTATTTTCTGTAAGTCATTAGTGCGATTCCAAAGAAAAAATTAATCTCCACATAATGAAATTAATTTGAAATATTCATGAATTTAACTAAAATCTTTCAAATTTTTTTTTGAATTAGGTTGCTACAAATGTTTTCTATGAATACTTAATTTTTCTTTTTATTTTCTTAATCCTTTTTTAAGCTTAAGCAATATGCTTTCTTGTCAAAATTTTTTAATTAAAATTTTTTTTTCTCTTTAAAAGATTTTTATCAGACTTACAGCTTTAGTTATTGGTATTAGTCATTAAAAGCAGTACACAATGGTTAAGTCAGCACTTCACCATCATGCTGTTGGTTTTGAAACTGTGGTGTCTTAATCTTTTAGACTATCTTAGCCAACAAACAGAAGTGCGAGATTACTTTTTTTTATTAAATGCAGGAAAAGTATTAAGAATTCACATTTAATAACTGTGTATTGTGTGATTGTTCAAAAATTGTTAATTTGCCCTGCAAAAATTTTATTTTATGAACATTGAACTAATGCTTTCACCTAATTTATTGTGTATATTACCCAAGAAATAATTTGATTGTTTTATAATTATCTATATTTAAAACAATGAGATTATAACTTATTAAATAAAACAAATATTTTATGGAATCTACGCCCTGTAATAAGTGATATTTTTTAAATCGTTTGTTATTCTCACATAAAGCAAGTTATGTGGAGACTATCTTGTATATATTATACATATTTATATATTAGCTTTATTATTCACACCCCAAAATTATGTAAACCAATGAAACAAAAATATAAATTTTAAAGCTTGGGCTTTATTTGTGAATCACTAATTTTAGTTTATAGCTTTAATTTTCTTGTGAAAGCTTTTTTCCCGTATTTAAACAATGTCTGGTGTGAATTATTTAAAGTCACAAGTACATATTTTATGTATTTTTATTTGTCACTAATAAATTTGAGAAATGATGTGCACCATGACATATTGTAGCTTTACCAAACATGTGCCATATTTTAACAATCATTTCCTCCCTTTATATATATTAAAATTGTGTTTATGTGATTGTGTATATCATTAAAGCATTTTTGAGAATTTAAGAGCTTGTATGTACTTTATATAATTTAAGACACAGTAGTACTCAATAAATTTTTGTATTATTCTTGGGAATAAATCAGTTCTAAATAAATAGAAAAAACAAATTGAATTATTTAAACTTAGGCGGACGACTTGCCATAAATTGAATCCGATTATGGCGTTGAAAAACTTTGACTTATCTAAAGTTCGACTTACAGTTGATTTTGGTCTTCTATGTATAGAATAAATATTTTTATCAGTGAGTTAATAGATTTATATCATTAAAATATAGCTGCTAATAAGAAAAGATCTTGTAGATTTTATGAAATATAAATTTCATGCTGAACTGTAGCATAATACTGTGTGTCCCACTTAAATGGAGCCATTTTCATTTTGTGCTTTAACTGTACTCAAAGAAAACCAATGCAATCCAAATGTATATATATATATGTATTAAAGTTCAACAAAACGCATGTACAAGGAGTATTTCACTTCCTGCTCCACCTGTACAAGAAAAAAAAAAAAAATCCAATGAGTAAAAACCACTTCTGATTATAGCATATATATTCGCCATGTTTATATGTGAATTGAAATATATAATGTTGCCGACCAATTATAGGATATGACCCTATAAGACATAATATCAATAATTATCCCAGGTTTCAATAATAAGAACTTTCAATTTGCCCAAAACCAGTACTATTGGCGTATTGAGCCCAGCTCCCATGTTTTTCTTGGTGATATAGGTCAAGTAAAAGGGTAAACCATTCACCCTATTATCCAAAAACCAACACTGCGTAAACAGAGTTTTGCTACTTAAAACAATGTCTGGTGTGAATTATTTAAAGTCACTAGTACATATTTTATGTAATTATATTTGTCACTAATAAATTTGATAAATATAAATACTAATAAATTTGTCCTGCTGTAAAATCTGAATTGGATCACCAATTCTCTCAGTCAATGGATTTCTAAAATCTTTTGATAGGCAGCCTAAACAGAGGTTATGTTTACCACCATAACTAAGACTTTCCTACGTAATTGATGAGTCTCCACCCTGCTGTATAATGGGGAAGAAATTCTATTTTCATGCTAATTGAATTAGCCAGGGGTGATAGTGAGCCCAAGTTAAAATTCTGGAAAAATTTCTTGAGTTAGAAAAAAAAACAAGTTTTTTTTTCCCTTTTTCTCAATATTTCTTAGTTTACTTAAAATATATTTAAAATTACACATACCTATGAGGACCAGGAGAAGTAATTAAAATTTACAAATATGTCTTTCTTTCTTGAGTTTCTGATTATAATAACTAGTTACTGACATAAAATGAATATTAATCATGAATATAAGCTTATTAAGTATCTCCCTTGCAAACAAATAAAATAAACTGTGTTTTTAAGTTCCATTTTTGAAAATTTGAATTCCGGAAACTTCTGTGATCAATGATTTTTTTAAACGTCTGGACCTTCGATCTCCTGATCATTGTTAGCGAAAAATCCGGATTTTTTCCGGAGCACAATCATCTCTGTATATATTAGGTTCTGATAGCTTTCGTGTATAGTTATGGCACAAAATCATGGTCGCTTTATTTAAGTGAGGCACTATTGAAAATAAACCATCACAACCACAAGGAAGTTTTGGGACATTTATTGTCAAAATAAATATAACTAAATTCACTGTGAATATTATAGATATAATAAAAATAACTAAAACAGGAACTATAATTTTAAATTCACTGTTTTTTTCCCCTTCATTTATGATTGACATCAAATGGAAACAAAAATGTTTTTATTATGTTTATATTTGAATTCATTTTAGATAGTTCTGAATAAAAAAACAAAAAGAATATTAATAAAAAAACAAACAAACTTCTAACTTAGAAATATGATTGAAGTTTACTTCATTATTTAGCAGGAAACCTCTATTAAAACTCAAGCAAGCAATAAACTTGATGAAAAATCTACTTAAGGACTTGGTAAAAAAAAAATGCTAAAACCAGAATTTTTGATTACTTCAGGTGACAAGGTTAAACTGGCAAAATCTTGTAGTCTACTGGAAAATCCAAATTGAGTTGGCAACTATGAATTATAAGATATTTACCATCATTAAAGATTATTTCTCAATAATTTGGTCAAAAGTGTTTTGAGAAATTCCATACTTAAACACTGAATTATTTTTCATGATTGGATTTCTATCTACAACATATAAAATTATTATATATCCCAAGGTAAGAGTTCATAACTTTCGCACTAACAGCAAAAAGTTCATTTCAAATTTTTAGGGTTTGAAGAAAGTTAGAGAAATACTAACAAGTCTTTCATTTCCAAACACCAATGTATTACAGTACAGAGTTTCTGCTGAAATTGTCTACTAAAATAATCACTATATGACAAAAAAAAAAGTTTGCTAATTTCTGACAGTTTAATACAAGTTTGTTTTGTGCTAATAGGAATTGTTACCTCCTTAGTTGTCCTAGTTAATATTTTTGCTTTTTTTTGTTTATGAATTATTGAGCTATCTTTTTAAGAATATAAATAAAATAGAAAATAATTTACATTAAAATGAAAGGGTTGGAAAATAGTTATGGCAATATTCCAGTTAAACTGATTTATATTGACATTTCGAAAATAACTTTGCCATAAGTAATGCTGTTTTCTCTGAAATGCCAAATCTTAAGGAAGTTCTTTGTTATTATTTTTCACCTCTTCTAATTCCTATTTAAATAAAATTTAACTGATCCCTGCAAGATGAAAAGTTATGTTTATGATTTTTGGAAACTTCACAGAAAGATTTTAATTTTTTTTAAAAATTGCAATTGGAAAATTTTTTTTTATTCCATTTAACATTCATTAATATTTTATTCAATTTATGAGTAGGATTATGAAATCTAATCCCATTTGAAGTTTTCATTCTGAATATTTAAACTTAGAATAGTGCAGTAGAAGCTAGATTCTTTCTAGACTTCTTTCATTCAAATACCTCTGTTAACCAATGAATAAATTTTTTCTCTCCCGTTTTTAATAATATAGATGTCACAACATGCTATTCACGAAACCTTTAAAATAAAAAACTCTTTGTACTGCACAACTACATTAAATTTATTCATTTTAACTTAGTAACAAATGAACCTTTTTGTTAGTTGGTTGTTTTAGTTTTGTTAAAGAAAGCAATTTTGTTCTTTTATTCAATATTATTAGTGTAGTTTATTTTCCCTATCATGACTTGTGTTTAGCTTAAAAGAAGTGTATTATGTTATCAATGCAAGAAAAGTATGTAAATGCGAATAAAATCCAGAGGAAGCCTTGAAAAAGTTAGAATCAATGAAATCATTTAAAGATTGAAAACTAAATGCTGCTTTGGAGTGATGGTTTATTTATTTATTTTTAAAAAAGGAGCGAATGCATACTTTTCTGTTTTAATAGTGGAAGTGAATTTTAAAATAATTTTATATCTATGAGACAAACTTTTATTGAATAGTCATATTAAAACTAAATAGTATAGAGCACTATTAAAAATTAAAAAAAAACAGCTTCAATTTCAGCTTTCCCATTTTAGGAGTTTGTTGGATTATCTAAAGTAGGCCTAGTCCTAATTACATCAGATAATCATTATTTCAGAAGTAATGGTATAAAATGCTCATTTTCTAACTAAACAGTGATAGTTAATTATATCTAAGGATGTTGTACACAGAATTTCCAAAAAATCAGTATATTTGAAGAAAAAAAAAATCATTAATTACTTATAGCATTTTATCTCATATTTTTGAAAAATACATGTTACTATATTTTTTTTTTAAAACTAATGAATGTTGTATTTATTCAAAATGTAATTAGATAAGAGAATTTTCCCCTTTTTTTATTCCTATTGTGCTTGTAGAATACAATTTTTTTTTAATATCATCATTTGTAAATAATAGCTTTTAACTCATAACAAATGCTACTGTAATAACTTTATTTATGTAACGCTAAAGCTGTACAATGGATTGTTGACGTTATTCTGGGAACCACCACCGAGGATGATCTGAAGATATGCCATCATAATTTGGATCTGGGGAAGGGATGACACCCCTGCTTTGGTAGCTCAACTACCTGTTCATAAAACTGAGCATTTTACGGTAGAACAGTTTAGCAAGGACAGATACCATACACTCTTAATCCCTTTGCAGGCTACTCAAAAGTGGTCACCCACTTGCTCACTGACCACCGCTTGACTTCTTTACTACTACTATTGGGAACCATGTCTTTCAATGAGTTTACTGCAGGACTATAACAAATACAGTGACCTCTCACTTATGCACCATTTTCATTTATGCAACGATTTTTATAGGTCCCAGTACATTGGGTAGGAACATAATGATAATCATCCTTCGTTTATGCGGCACTCTAAAAATAAAATTTTCAATAATGCGCCGAAATTTTAGGCTAACATTTTAATTTTTTTTCTTTAAATAGTTTAAAAAAAAGAAGAAAAGGTTTTAGATTAAAAATTGAAGCAAATAAACAATCCTTGTTACAGATAAAAAGAAATATGTTGTCAGATCCTATTTAATTGTTCACTTTTCTTCCCCCTGTGACCTTCTCATTTTTGCTATAGACATTCTTTCTGCAATTTTGAATAGGGTGTCTTATCTGTTACACCAAAAACAATGAAAGCCCAGTCATCTTTAAGAAAATAGCCATTCCTTTTGGTCAGAGGTTAGTTTTACTCCCAGGCTGTTTCCTAGAAGAAGAAAAAAGAACACATGGAATATGAAAGAGACCGCAATCACTTTTTTGCAGTCAGATGGACATCTTGGGTAAATAAAAGGAGGTAGTTTGTTTAGTGACAGTAGTAATTGAACAACCTATTGTGCAGCATATTATGACATCAAATACTTTCCTTAAAAATTACAATTTAATTCTGCTTTTGAAACTCCCTCATCCCATTTATATGAACTGGAAAAAACTGTTTTTGAAATACGTCGGCAGAAACAAATACAAACGTGTATTAAGGATTATTTTGTAAGAAAATAAATTGTCATTAGGTACGTTGAATTTTCTCTTTGTATAATTATAGTCAGGGATCCGTCTAGGTTTTTTTTAGAGATAACTATTTTGTGAAATTTAAAGATTATATTAAAAAATCAACACAAAAATATGGTAAAATAAGTAAATATTTTCAAAAATATTTAAATATTTTTCGAAAATATATTAAAAATATTTTGTGAAACTACCGTTTTTCTTAAAGTTGAATTTGTGAAACCGCCGTTTTTCCTAAACTTGAATTTGTGAAAATACCGCTTAACGGCAGTAAATTTGCCCTGGACAGACCCCTGATAGTAGATACCAAAACAGTATAAATATTAACATTCAATCTTGAAAAACATATTTATTCATATTGTCACTGCAATTTACGTTGCGTTTTAGGATTTTGAAGTTTTTCACTTATGCGCTTTTTTCTGTTGGCCCCTTACACCGTTGCATAAGTGAGAGTTCACTGTATTATAAAAGCTGTTTCAAAGTTACAAGAAGAAATATTTTATCAATGTACAATCCTAGAGTATTTAAACAAACCTATTGTACCTAACTTTTTTTACCAAGTTTTTTTCCCCCCCATTATAATTACAATTTCAATATTTCTGTATGGTTTAGGAATAGTCATTAGAGTATAAATGTAAAAAAAACATGGAGAAAGAATTACAGCTTTAAATGAACTTTAAAAATAAATTTTAATACCATATACATGATCAACATCATACACATGATTTGATGATTAAACTTATTGAATTATTTACATACACAATGACATTGTTCCTATTTATGATCGTGATTCATCAAATTGTGTTTCTTGTACATGTTGTTTTACCAGTTCTAGTTTCTGCTGATAAAAGTCATACACAAACTGTGCCATTTGGGGCATATCATTAATAATATATGGTTCTCCAGATGGTTTGTCTTCCCACTTTCTGTTGCATGGATATACTTCATGAGGATACAGGTGAAGTTGCTGAGGCCGCCTCATCAGTATTTTAAAAGCAGGTGACAATTCATAACAATTTTGAAACAAAGATACTCTAGCAAACACATATAAGCCAAGACGTGCACGAGACATAGCTACAACTAATCTTCTAACATCTCGTAAATGACCAACAGCATTCGTTCGAACTAAAGATAAGAGAATATAGTCATTTTGCTGTCCCTGATATTTGTCAACAGTTGTCACTTTATGTGGACGTCCAAATAAGGGATTGTTAGCACATCGTTTATTGACAACATCTCTAATTAGATGTTTTTGTCCATTGTATGTTGTAAGAATGGAGATTCTCTCAGCTGGATAACCAAGAATTCTCATGTACATATACACACCAACAGCATATTCTGCTTCTGCTAAATTCTGTATAAGAAAATTTCTATAAGCAATTCATAATTTAACTATAAAAAAACAATTTACAACAATTATATACTATAAAATTGCTATAGTGCAGTCTCTTTCACTAAAAGTTATTAAAGAAATATATTGCAACTTTTTCAAATTAAAAAGAAACAAAAATTAAAGTTATAAATTTTAAAAATAAATAAATATCAGTGAAAACAAATACTTTTTACTTTTGCTTGCAATACTAATTATAACTTTGTAAGGGACATGCTAATCACTTATCTATTATATAAGGGTGATTTTCTCAAAACATTAACTTTAGCCAAAGACAATTAAAAAAAAAATTATCTCCTAATTAGCTTGATGTTGATAATTATTATATTGCATGATAATTTACATTTAATATACCAACACTCTACAATACAACATAAAATTACTGATCTTTTGACTGGCTACGGCATGTTTAGTGTTAAGTGTACGAAAAGTGAAATTACTTAAAAAAAAATATTGATTATTTTAAATTGTAATCTTGTGGAAAAATATAATTACTGTCCCCTCATTTAAATGTTTTAAAAACACATGAATAAAATCATTTTTTCTATTATTTAAAAATTAACATTTCTTAAGAAAATAGATTATATCTAGAAATTTGAAGAAATATTAAACATTTTCATAAGAATTTTTACCTTTTCATTGCTAAAACATCTTCATATCACTTTTATTTTTATATCATTATTAGCTTAAGTAAGACCACATTTTGTAAGCTAACGCATAATAGTTTAAAACCAGAACTTGTTTGTATTTTTAAAATGTGTTTTTGTGTTTGGAGACAGTAATTACAAAATGACAGTAATGACCACTTTAAAACAAAATGTATACATTCAATCTAAATTGTTCATAGTTGAGAAAATGCCCTTTGTGGCAATTCTTATGATACATAATTTCATTTTTTGTAAATCTTGCGGCTGCGACAATTTTTTTTAATTTTTTTTTTTTTTTAAAATTCAAACAGACTAGTAAAATTTCAGTTAACTTTTTAGTCAAGTAGAATTTTATTCTTGATCTTCTTTTTATCATCTATATTTATAGAAATTATCTAAAATTAAGAAACGCAAACAAACAATTAAAAGTGCAAATTTCTATAATACTTATCTTTTTTAAAATTTTATTTTTAAGATACCAACCTACTTATAATTTTTTAAATAAAAATTGTCCAAAAAAAGGAAGAAAATAACGAAATTCAGATATTAATGTTTTTAAAGATATTCTGTGCAGATTCTATTCAATTCTTAATAAGAGTGAAAAAAGAACACAAAAATGCTAAGTCAACTTCAAATTAAAAATTTCAATAGTAAATAAATAAAGATGTTTGAATTTCTTTTTTCACTATTCAGTTTTACTTTACAAAATTAATATTTTGATTATCTTAAAACTATAATTGAGAAACAAAACAGAATATATTAATAACTATCTTAACACTTATAATTAGACTATTTTAACAACTTTCTCTCAATAACAATAATAACAGTCATAAATTTAACTTTTTAGTCAAGTAGAATTTTAATCTTGATCTTCTTTCTATCATCTATATTTATAAAATTTATCTAAAATTAAGAAACACAAACGAACAATTAAAATTTTAGAATTTTGTATTCTTATGCAAAAAATTTTTTAAAGTGATATTTTGTGTTCGGAGAAAGTTTTTCATTTTATCAGGATTCATACAGAGATCAGAAGAAGGAATCCAAGGAGTCCAAAATTTAAAAACTTTGCGTAAAGGATAACTAGACAGTTTTTTTTTAAAAATCAAAAAGCACTAGCACTCTAAAGAACTAGCAAAAATGTATATTTTGCATAAGATATTTTTTCCAGCTCTTTTTAAATAAATTTAGACTTTGTCAAACTTCATCAAGAAAAATAAATAAAATTATCACTTTAACACATAAATACATTTTCCAGCTTCAAATATTTTAATAAATCTTGTTAAAGTACATAGTACAGATGTTAAAGATTAACATAAAATCCTACCAATCTTATATTTTTAAATTTAAAAATAAAGTCTAAGGCATNAAAAAAAAAAAAAAAAAAAAAAAAAAAAAAAAAGCCCCACAGTAAATCATTAAGTTTGTTTGTAACATGTACAATTATTTGCTGTTATTTTTTCTTCTAACTCTTGCAATTCAATTTTTTTTCTTTTAAAGTTCACTTCTTAAACTATTAGATTTTGACAGCTAAGTCACATCATTTCGTTCCCCTGCTTGGACAGCAAATTCATCAGCGGACTTAGTAAGTTCATCTATGCAACACAATAATGTAAGGAGTTTTTAAAGACTAATTTGGAAATCTAAGTATGGACAAGTACTAGTTACAAGTACTCCTCTTTTTATTTCCAAGGAGTATAAGGAGTCTGTATGAGCCCTGTTTTATCTAAGTCTGTATTCATACTTTTAATCAAAAAAATAAAAAAAAATTATGGAAAAATAATGCTTTAAAAATAACCAAATACAAATAATAAATTTCAAAATTAACTAAATATAAGTACCCTACACTTAAAAAATGGAAAATAAAAATTACCTGATAAAAGTAAGGGTTAGGTTCAGATTCTCCAACACCATTAAAATCTTCCACATTGATGAGCTGATAATCAAACCAAAATCCAGCATTGGCTGTTTTGTACTCTGGAAGATTCAGGACGTGTGGAAGATTACCTAAATTCTTATATCTCCACCTATAAAGTTCACACATGCTAGATCTGGATCGGCCTTGAGCATCCAAGTCAATAGTTGGCACTCCTAATCTGACAAACCTTAAAGAAATTTAATTAAATATTAATAACTGATAAGAAAAAATACACACTTTTTTTAAATTTAAGAATCATAATCTTTTAAAATTCTCATTTTAACAATTCTACAATGAGAGAAAAATCACTTTAGAATTTTAAATTATGTATAATTAAAATACAGAAATCGATATGATGATGATCGATTAGAATAAAAAATTTTCAAGTTATACTTCCATTTATATTTATCATTGTTCTATACAATATTTATGCAGTAAAATGATTAGATATTTTTAACAGTACTTTGTAACTATCCTGTAGAATCGTAAAATTTAAATTTCTTTCAAATGTTCCTAATTAGTAAATTTTATCGAAATGATTTTATAGATAGATAAAATGACAGAAATGGCAACCTTTAATTTAGTCCTCCCAAAAAATAAATAAAAATAATTAATTAATAAAGATTTTAAATTGTAAAGCATTGTGAGGAATAAATTTTTATTTAAAGAATTTGAATACTGGTTTAATTAGGATAAATAATGATCCTAGAAGGTTATGAAACAATAAATAGAGGCTCTAAGTTAGCTTTATGAGCAGTAAAAGCTGCATAAAACTTTTGGTAATCAAAAAATATTTGATGCTGCTATAAAAAAAAGGGGCAATTTTTATTTAATTTAAAAATATAAAAGCATTTAAACATTTCAAGCCTTTTTATGAAAATTAACAAATGTTTCTTATTGGTCAAGAACAAATTATCTATTTATTAGAATTAAATGAAATTTTTTTAAAAATACAATTAAACTCAAAAACCCAACCCTAGCATATTGTAGCTGAGATTTAACCCACAGCTGACAAAATAAATAAATTAATTAAAGTGATGGTAATAACAACGGATGTGAAAATTCTTAAGCAGAAAGTAAGGATGTAAGTGACAATGTTTTTTGTGTCACGTGACTTATCCAAAGAACAGTAGCACAACAAAGAGACAATAAGATTCAAAGCAAATTAACTAGTAATTTTCCTGCACTATAAAGAAACAAAAATGAATAAAATAAGTACTTTTTTAAAAAAATTTATTAAGTACCTAGTTATGAACTAGACCTATTATGATTTTTTAACAAATTAGTTTTCATATGGACGCCCGGTGGCTGAGCGGTAGCGTTTCGTGCTGTCGTGCCACAGGTCCCTGGTTCGATCCTCGGGCCGGCAAGGCTGGCTCAGCCTATCATCCCTTCAGTGGGTCGATAAATGAGTACCAAGCATGTTTGGGAACTAAACACTGGGGGTTCCGCGTTCGGCTGACCACCTTACCGGAACATCTGCTCCTGCACCCCAGAGCCNCGCCCGGTGGCTGAGCGGCAGCGTTTCGCGCTGCCGTGCCACAGGTCCCTGGTTCGATCCTCGGGCCGGGCAAGGCTGACTCAGCCTTTCATCCCTTCAGTGGGTCGATAAATGAGTANGGGAAGGCTATTTCTTCTTTTATCTTAAAAAAGATTTAAAAACAGAGTTATAAAACCATTGATCACCCTCTTAATTTAAACTAATAAGTTTTAATAGAATAAACAAATTAACCGGAAAGAAAAAACGACAGCTGTAATGAATTATGAATAAAAATAAAATAAAATTGACAAACTTAAAGAGCATTGTCCCAAAAATTATATAGCTATACCTTTAAAGTCAGTTTCAATATTGAAGAATAAAAATCTTTTTAAAACATCATATAAAGTAAAGTAAAACTACATATTTTTAGAAGAATGAGATTTGCAGAGGTCCCCTCACCTGGTACTTAACAGGACTGCCAATTTAAACATTTTTTGCCAAAACATTTTTAGAGTGGTAAACAAAGGTACTTTTCAGTTAACCAAACACAAGCAAAGTCATAAAAAGATTCAGATCCTTTTTAAATACATTAAAATTAAATTACACAAAAAATACTTGAATTTCTTTGCCTGGCTAACTGAAAAGTATCCAATTAAAAATTAAAGCTTTCAGATTTTTAGGTAATTTTTGAAATATATAAAAAGCTTCAACACTAGAGAGCCAGAACAAAGTGGATTTCATATAACGTTTGAATCATTTACATGTAGTGGTGGGAAAAATAATGGTAAACGAAATTTACAAAACAAATAGTAGTACATAGACTTAGCTACCACTGGAAGAAATTTTTCCAAAAAGCGTAGAAAATTTGCAGCCCGCAGTAAGAAATACTTGAACAGCAAAAAGTTTAAATTGACCAGCACTAAAGAACAGTGCTGGATTACCCATTAGGCCAGACTAGGCCCCCTTAAAATGTTTTTTTTTTGAAAATAAATTAAAAAAAAATTAAGAAAAAATCAATTTTAAATATAAGTTAATAAAATACGATAACTTTTTTACATAACATAAAGTGTTACATAATTTAGTGAAAGTGTTAATAAATTTCACACTTTTTCAAAATGTTATGACTATTTTTTAGTTCTAATTTAACAAAATAATGCAAAATTTAATTTATTATCACTTATTTTTATTTTAAATATGCTTTCTTAAATGAAAAGATTTATAAATACTTTTAAGTTTGAATAAATAAAAAATATACGACAAAAAAAATTTAATCTAAGTGCCTTAAAAATTTGAAAGGCCTAGAGCCCCGCGTACGCTTAATCCGACACTGACTAAGAAGTTTGAATAAATATTCACCTTTTCTTACAGTTAATAAATCTATCATGCATATAATGAAAAATTAAGTTTGAAAATTATACCTCGTAAATAACGACTGCTCCATATTACTATATTTTTGAAAAGCCATGTTTTTTATAACCGGTGGTAATTGATGATGATCACCAATCATAATCCAGCGTTTAAGTCTATTGAACCCATCCTTAGGATTCTGCAATAAAAGTGGAATGAAAGTTTCAATTTCTAAAATTTGAGCTGATTCTTCCATCAAGATGTTATCATAGGTAAATCCAAGTTCTACTAATTCTTTTCTTTTTAAAGCTGCATGTGTACATGTCATTGCTATGATTTTAGCCTCTTTAACAAGTAGATACTGAGAACGATCTAAACCACTGCGAAGTAACTCAAAAGCTCTAAATTCCTCTAACTGAGAAAATATCTTCTTTATGTAACGGAAACAGCCTTCTGCAATTTCGATATCTTCTTCATACGTTTTACCCTTAAATAGAGGCTGAGGAGCTTTCTCGAAAAATTTGGAAAAGGGGAAACAATCTGCAACTAAGTTTAGAGCAACTTTTTTACCTCTTCCTGGTTTCACTTTACTTAGAAATTCTTCCCATCTAGCTAACACATGATACATAAAAAAATGTCCAGCAGTTTCACATGTATAAGAAACATCACCTGCCACACCGAGACTTTCTTGAAGTTTTCGTACATGATCCAAAAGTTCGAGGCGTTTGGCTAAGACGTAATTAACTCGACCGTATCGACTGAAGTCCTTCTCGGTTTCTAAAGCTTCTTCACCATGACCTAAACGAAGTAAATGACGTTCATCAATGTCCAAAGCCATGATTTTCTCGAAAAGCTGATTCAATGCTTGATTAGAATGAGTGACAATAAGAGTTCTCTGATTTGGGAAGTTGTGATACAAGTTAGAAATTATTTGAACAGCAACATCAGTTTTTCCGGTACCAGGAGGTCCAACTACCATAGTAAGGCCAAGCTGCATTCCAGATTTAATAGCCTCAACTTGCGTAGGAGTAAACTGAACCATATTCTTTTTAGGATGAGCATATAAATAGGGTCCAGAATTAGGAAGTACATGGGGAGTTACAATAACCTTTTGCTTTTGCACTTCATTTTCTGCGGAATTTTCTTCGATTGGGAAAAATTGAATTTTGAATGGTGGTACTAATTTTTTAGGATCATCAACATTCACCTGAACATCAGTATCAGGAAAGCTATTCCTTAGATGCTCTATACTAAGAAAAGTATCATTAAAGTCAAGTTCGCTAATTTGATTTTCCATTTTGGAATAATGAGCAGCTCCTGGATCTCCATGTCCTAAAATAATATCATGCAACCAATCCGGTACAACACAATCTGTATTCATTAAACTTCTAATGGTTTCCAATACAGCCTTGAAATTATTTTCTTTAGGTTTCCTTCGAATAATGATATTAAATGTTTCATACACATCTTCCCTACCACCTACAGCATTCAGCATGTCCAAACGATACTGATTACAATCCAACCACACTCGGAAAGTTCTTTTATCACCTTCAAACTCAGGTTTAGGTTCAGGGCCTTCTTCAATAACTTTTCCAGTAGGACTTAACATACCTTCAATTTCGCAGCCTCTAATATAAGCCATACCAACTTGAGAAAGAAACGGTTCTTTAGGATTGTAAGCAGTGCCAGGTAAGCATGTTGGCTTAACAGTGACTAAAAAGCAGACGTCATGTTTTCGCAAAGCTTCCCATTCAGACTTAATTTGTGATCTGGTACTTAAAGTTACAGTTACATCTGCTTTGACACATGCTGGTTGCTTTTCTCCAATATTGGGTTTTCCGACTTCAACAATTGAAAATATTGTTATAGGTTGGGCCATGCGAGCCCAGCCCCCAAACATAACATCACCAACTTCTGTCTGCCATGGTCTTAATCTCTTAATTGCATCTTCTATATCTTGTCGTATCTCATACGTAGATTCCAGCCTAAATAAGTTGAAATTTCTGAAAAGATAATCATGTAAGGTAAGAAATTGTAAATTCAACTTTGGCAAAGCAAGACAGCCCTCACCAGAAAAATATTCTGTAGGAACCACATTTTCATCCCAGATAATTTTTTCTGTAGGATAGAGGGGCATTTGATTCAAAGCTTCCAATTGGGAATCTCTTTTTTCTAGCTTAGATATTAACAACTCCAATAAAAACTGATTATCATAAGAATTTTCTTTATCAGTTACAACTGGCAAGAGTTTAACAAATGCAGCCATATCATGTAGTGTTGAATTTTCTAATGACAAAAACACTCTAGAAAGATTTTCACGAGTATCTATGCTGTTGACATTTGACAAATAAAATTGTTTTAATTCAGGAATCTTTTTTTTAAAAGCTGCACTTTGAACACTTTTAAATAAAGCGTAATGAATAAGCATCATATCATTGTCAGTTAAAGGTTCGCCAGTGAACTCATTAACTTCAAACCGGGAATAAAATTTCAAAATATCTAACAGTTGAGAGAAAAGTCGGCCTTCAACACGTTTAGGTAAATTTGACAATTGACATTTAACGACAACGTGACAGTCGTCAATTAAGACATTACAGAATCGTCTAGTTAAAGGTAGAGCCTCTAAATCAATTAAAAGTTCAGTGAATCTTTCACAATAATGAACACTTTCAATCAACTCTTTGTCTAATTCTGGACTCTTTTCCACGTTAGGAATAGCATATAAAATGTCAAAAAAATTATTTATCAAATTAAATATGAATTTCCTTTCAAAATTTACATTTTCTAAATCTTCTTCACTCAGACTTTTATCCTTCTTCTTAATTTTATTCCAGTACCTGAGTAGAAATGAACTCTTTTTGAATTCCTGATTTCTCCTTTCTGGAAGAATATTAATCCAGATCGCCAGTGATACAATCTTTTTAATACTTTCTCTAATCAATTCGACTTCACAGCTATTGAAAGAATGTATCAGGAAAACTAGCAAGCAAGTCTTTTCCTTTTTGGAAATTTTTTCATCCATAATACCATGTAAAACTTGCTTAAAAAACTTAGGGAAATGTTCAGGTTTAGATTTAAATGCTTCCCAGGCAGGTACTCTCTCACGAAACTTTTCATTCACCATGATTACTATGGACATCATGTGAGCGTGAGTAACGTTTCCCTGATAATTTGGCCATAAATAATTTTCAAGGTATTGACTGAATTCCAGAAGCATAATGCGTCGAATAGCGAAATTTGAGGAGAGAATTTCTTCGCTGTAAATATCGTTAATAATAGAAGGATCGAATTGAAGACATTCTTTGGAAATGTGACTCGACCAATACTTATTTGCGAGCTGGGTTATCGTATCCGATTTGATCTGAGAAACAGTAGGCAGAGATTCTTTTTTAGACGTTGATGAAGTCATCTTGAGAGTTAGTTGAGTGTAAAATTATTACTATCTAATAGTATTCATGTTTCCATGCAGAAAGAGATTGTTTATATTTCTGTTTTTGCTGATTCTTGCAACTTACTGTTCAACAGCTTAACTCACATAGTTGATAATATCAATGCAATTTAAAATTTGGGTATAAATAGAATTGCGAAATAATAAACCAAGAAATCTCGATATAAACAAAACAATGCAAACCGGAGAGTGCGGTTAAAATGTTTGCAGTTACAGCTATGAGTCTAAACTTTCTCAAAAAAATACTTCCGTTCACTTAATTTTGTTCAGATTAAGAATCATTAAAAANTAAGTCATTAACTAAAGCAATTTAAATTTTGCACCTAAATATTATAAACTATTGTTGATTGAATAGTGGATTTTAAAATATTTTGGTACTTATTAATGAAATTTAAGAGTATAACTTACATTCGAAATTAGTTTAGCTATATTGCAATAGATGGCGCCACTAAGACTATTCTTACTGAGCGAAACTTGGCGCTTGATAGGCGGGAGTGGAATCTCTTTCTTATTCCTCTGTGATATAAACAAAACAATGCAAACCGGAGAGTGCGGTTAAAATGTTTGCAGTTACAGCTATGAGTCTAAACTTTCTCAAAAAAATACTTCCGTTCACTTAATTTTGTTCAGATTAAGAATCATTAAAAAATGCTACATTTTTATTTTATGAACTACTATGAAAGCAACAACCTAATGCTTTCTAGAACTATCTAGTTCATATTTTTTGGTTCCTGTTCATGTTTTTTCATGTCAATGAGTTTCATGTTCAGTTTTGTTAACTTTTAGAATAATCTAGCAATAAGTCTGTTGCGCAATTACTTAAGGTATAAATGATGTTGCTTCCCTTGCTAAATTTAAACGGTTACCAAAATCTCATTGTTAATATTATTCTTGATCTTGATTTACAAGAACCTGGTTGGTAAGACTTTTTTCTTGAATTGACATGCATTAACTTTAAAACTGTATATAATTTTTAGAACTGATGTATTTTAATTAAATTTATTATTTTAGTGTCTTTTTTCTTATTTTCATTCTTATACCCTGTTTTTTTTTCTTATTTTATGCATATTATACAAAGGGCGAGCATTTTGTTGTAGCTCTAAAAACCAGTGATCAGAGTTACAAACTTGCCTTGAGTTAAATTAGCAATTTTTTTCTTCTAAAAATTTCTATGATTTTTTGCGGAAACAGCTTCATTTCACTTAGGATTTAAATTTTAAAAGAAATTAAATTGTATCGAGAAAATCTGCGAAACTTTGAAAAGGAAGAAAAAAATGTATTAGATATTTTTTCTCATTTGAATCTAAGTATAGTGTATTATGTTAGTTTTACAAGTAGTACTTATATTTTTATACAGTTTTTATGAATTTAAAAATATTACTGTTATTATTTATTTTAACTTACGTTTTATTGAATTATCATATTAATTTAAAATAATTTTAATTTTCTACTAGTAACTAATTTTCTTTGTCCCATAGATGTCAGTTTTTCTGTAAATACATTTAACAAATCAGAGCATAATTTTACTTAATATGTTCAGTATTACATTGATTATCCTTATGAAGAACTAATATAAATAAGTATAATGATATTATTAACAGATCGAAGGTCATTATTGTGTATTTTTTGTTGTTACAAATATTTTTGTCAGGAAAGATTTTTTTTTGGCAAAATATTTATTAATTCACTTATTTCAAATGCCTGTATTTTAAAAGTGTTTTTAGAAAGGAGGAATAAGGAATTTACAAATTGATAAATAGTACTATTTACAATAATAGGTATGGGTCAGGTAAACAATGTGTAGGGTATTTATAAATGGGTATATAACGACTAGGCATTTATCTCTACTTTGGGTAAATAACCAAAATCAGGGTATATATATAGTTCTTTGTCATTGTAACCATAATTTGTCTAGCTTATAATTCTAGAAATAATATAAAATCTTTAACTTTCAAAAATAAGCTTAAATAATATATTAATTCTCGAAATTTTTTTCACAAAGCTCTAAATATCCATTGCTTGTTGTATTAAAAAAGTAACATAAAAATATTTGCATTGTATATTATCGCAAAGTAGATATAGTAATTTCAGTGAAGGTTAAGCGTTTTTCAAGAAGAAATCCCCTTTTTTCCGAGACAATTGGTGTAAACTGGGGGTAATAGAAGAAATGAATGAGCACAGAGAATCCTAATTCGTTCATATTAATTTTATAAATTATAAATAAGTGATAAAATTAATACTAGGAATTTCAATAATTTTTTTTTAAAAAATATTCATATAACTCTTTTATTAAAGATAATTAGTTTTTTTTTAATGTAAGTTTAAAATCATTGAATATTTTGTTAAACTGGTTTTTTTTTCTGCACCTTGTTGGAAACAATGCGAATATTTTTTTACTTCTGAAAGTCAGTCATATTTAGCAAAATCTTATAATGTCATATTTTACACCAAAATATTGAATTGCAGTTTAATTTTTGTATTAAAGAATTAGAGACTTATCTGTTTTGCTGGCCCAGGCAATAAAGTCGCCTATGCAGACTTACTGATTGCAAGTAAATTCAACCTTTTTTTAAAAAAAAATAGTGGTGGATTATTTGTATTGAAATATATAGATAAAATAGCCGAAATTACTTTAGCTGGCAAAATTGCTAAGTGCCAAGAATTATTTTGTTTACTATGAGCGAAACACTACTTAATCTTTAAATACTAGAAAATTCAGACAATTCAACAAGAGGTAGTCATTTTTTAAAAATTATCACATACGACTTACTAAAATTTACTTGGATCTTATTTACTGTTTTCAATTTGATTTAAAATTTTGATTATTAATATTGTACCAAATTATTGTTCCATTCTAATATTGTCATACAGCATTAAATTTAATGCAGCATTAAATTTTTGTTAAATATTTCTTCAAATTAAAATATCTCGGGATTTGTAATAAGAATATGGATAATATGAAAATTTTCATAAGCTTTTAGAGATGAGTTTTTTTCTGTAATGTTTATTTATATAAATAATTAAAGAAGATGAACTGTATGAATTCTTAGTCTTCAACCATTATTTCATAGTTATTCCAATTACCAGTCCAGAAAAAGAGATATTTGCAAATAAAATTTGGTTCAGATAAATTAGTACATACATTTGTGCTTTTATTAATCTCACTTTCTAATGTAACGTAGAGTTTATTAAAAACATATTTTTTCTAAATCATATTTTTTTATTTAAATTAGAAAAATAATTTAATAAAAAATTTTTTTTAATTCCTGTAAGAATTATTAAATTTCACTTCTAAAAAATTAGGTATATTAAAACTTATTATATATTTTATTATTTATTATGTTTGACATTATAAAGGAAATATATAAATCTTTGTTTAAGGTTGTTAATGTTTAAGGTTAAACATGCAATTTTAAAGGTAGAAAAAAAAAGTATTTTTTTCTCCTGCCAGAAGTTTTTTTTTCATAGGGGAATAAGTGTAATAGTAACACCATTTAAACTCAACATGCAAAAATATTGGAACATGCAAGCTAGCCTACATTATTTACCCCTTTGAAAATCTTACTAATATTAAGCTCGATATTTTTCAAACAAATAGTAATAACTATATAAAAACTCAAAAATTTATAGCTAATTAAATTAATATTGTTCAGATATCATCACATCTAAATATGGATCTAAGAAAATATTACATATTATTCATATGCAGGATAAGTTTTGTATGATAAACTTTATAAAATAAATTAAGTAGAATCTGAAATTTAGAAATATATTTCTGGTTTAGGTATCTTTTCTAGTTTAGTTAGGTATCTTTTCTAGTTTAGGTGTTAGTTTTGAAACACAAATAGTGAGAATTATGAATAGAAATGTGAATTTAAAAATTATTAAACCATAGCTACTCTCAAATAAAAATTATAATACTATGATTTCAGTAATTTACATGTTCATTAAAAGGAATTTTTCTTGTTAAATATTTAATTAATATGTTAATTTTTAACAATATCAGCAAAATTTAGTTGAAATTAGTTACTCAAATGAAAAGATGGTAATTCAATATTGATTCAATAGTTTCAAAAAATTCCTAAATTCTCAGATATTTATGAATTTTGGGTATTTATTATGTTATAAAAACCTTGGTGTTTTATATCTATATTACAATATGTTAGTAAAATAATGTTGTACTTTTTAATGCTGTGTATGCAAATTAATTACGTGGAAGTCCTTTTACACATTTCTTTTTGAAAAATGTTATGAAAAAGACATATGTTCTTTCAAAAGAAAATTTTAGTTATTATTTTAAATTTTTCGTTTACATTTATCTAGCATTTACGGAGCCCTAAAAAATAGTCTTTTGCAAGTAAATATTTCACTTTTAATTTTACCATGTACAATTTTTAAATAGCATGTGTTAATATTTCAAATTATTAAAGATTTATTTCAAGAAACTTTTTCTGCCAATTGTTATTGTGGACATAATTTTTTGTTCTTAAATAAATCAAAATTGCTTTAAAATTTATTCTTTTGTAATTACTTCCTTTAATTTTTTTATACTTGCAAAAAACTTACTAATGCTTAAAATTAAAAAAACTTTGTATTTTTATCAGGAAAAAAAAACATAATTTTTTTTAAAAAATTAATAAATACTAGCTAAGAATCAGTATTTAATAAAAATTGTAAATTTGATATCATTACCAAGTCTTATTTTTTCCCCTTTTTTTCTCTCCAGAAGTTCGAGCTAATATGTCTTATGAAAAGGAAACCAGCAGTGATATATCTGATTTATCTGATATGGAAGATTTCTTTCACTTTGCAGAAAATGTCTTAGGTGAAAATATTCAGATTTCTGAAGGTGTAAAAGTTTCTCAGGAAAATGAAAATGACCCTCTGGAGAAGTGGAACCCGCAGGATTGTGAAGATGTTTGGTGGTCAGATGATCCTGATTCTGATGATTCAGATATGAGTAATGAATATGAATACATTATAGGAAGGTATGAAGAAGAACTGGCAGATTCTAGTTCAGATACAGATTCAGAAAAAGAATTCATGAATCAATTTGGTCATAGTTCAGATACAGATTTGGAAGAAGAATTTGTGAATCAATCTGATGATTGTAGATAACAGCACTTTACTATAGTTGTATTTGTGATATTAATAATTTAACTTTAAGAAAGCAGTTTGTGAAGAATTTTTCATAGTTCTTCTAGTTATTTGTTCTTATAAAATTATTTAATTATTGTTTTATTTTTTGGAAATGTTTTGTTTTAAATAAAAAGTATTATTTCAACAAATATTGGTGTGCAAGCAAAGAAACTTTTTTCTGCCATATTACTAAATAGCATTTTTTGTTTAAAAACTTGGGCTTTTTTAAAAATGTTTCTATTTTTATTTCCCTTTAAACAATTAANTTATTGTTTTATTTTTTGGAAATGTTTTGTTTTAAATAAAAAGTATTATTTCAACAAATATTGGTGTGCAAGCAAAGAAACTTTTTTCTGCCATATTACTAAATAGCATTTTTTAACAATTAAGAATAAAGAATATCACTCATCAGAGAAAGATAATTTAATTATTGTATTAGAAAGTGGAAATTATTATAACTGTGCTGTGAACAGATTTTCGCTGCCAATTCAATTCTGATTAAGATCTTAGCAAATTAGAAGGGGAGTCAGCATTTTTTAACAGCAGAAAGATAGATGTGCTAAGAAGGAAACAGAATTAAGTATAAGATTCTCTTGATATATATAAAAAGAAATTGTCAATAGATTTTGGAGTGTGTAATATTATTTATTTGTGTGTGTGTGGCCAATCAAAAATATTTAAAATTATTCCTCTCAAGAAGAGGAGAAAAACACATTCATGCTGCATAACACAAATAAAAAATCTTTCAGCCATCTTGATGGCAGATCAGGAAAGAAATTTCTTTTAATTCATGGCGATTATATTCACATACTTGGTTGCTCATAAAAAAAGGAGAGAAAAAATTTTTTATTACACTTACCAGCAATTTGCTGGATTAATTTGGGAAACTGAAGTCAAACAGTAAAAGTATTTAATTCATGATAATTTTGTTTGAACTTTTCCTTTAAAGATGTGAGGTTATTTTGGGAATAAAAACATACATAGGGTAGTTACACTCACGGAGAAGATGGAAAACCTGGAATTCTCAGGGAAATTTATTAGTAACTCTTGAAGTTTTAGAAGTATAAGTAAATAATAATTGTCACACATACTTTCATCACCAATGTGTTAGATTCTGTGTAATAATAGTTATTATAATATGACTTTAGTACTAGTAAGAAATTCAACCAGTTATGTCTTCTAAAAAGGTACTATCTTTTTTTTTCTGTCAATGTTTAGGAATTGATAATTTTATATCTACTATTGATTTAATAAACATTTTTTCAAACTTTTAGAACATTAATAATGCTTATTTTCAAAATCAATGGGTACCTATAAATAAAATGAATTTATTTAAAAAAAAAGTTTTATTTAACATTATGAAACTTATAGGTTAAGTTGGTTTTAAAAAAATAACTTTACTGCACAAAAAAAATAATATGTGTGCCATAAATTAATACACACACAGTAAATTAAAAAAAAATATGTCGAATATCTCCCAAATTTTTATATATTTCTGAGGAAATATGGTTTTGGTTAGAGAGTGACCACCCTGAAACTTCTCTTGCAATTTGATATCTTTTTACAACTATGCTATTTAACTATCGCTGGTATGTAAAGCCTTTTTTAAATTTAAATTGTGATTAACCAGGTTTTGTCAGAAATAATCAGAGTGTTTTGTTGATTAGTTTTAAAATGCTATTGGGACCTCGTATATCTAGCTGTTTTCTTCCCGTTGTACAACACAATATTTTGGGAAGTGGATAACTTCGCATCATGTAGCTTGTATCTATTAACTATCAACATGACAGGACTGAATGTGCTTCGAAAAAAAAATCCAGACTTTTCGCTAACAGTGATCCGGAAGTTTCCGAAGATCGAAGGTCCAGACGTTTCAAAAAATCATTGATCACGGAAGTTTCCGGAAATCAAATTTTCAAAGGTGGAACTTAAAAACACAGTTTATTTTATTTGTTTGTAAGTTGTTATGTTTGAGGGCATAAGCGAGCAGGGAGAGCAGAGCATTCTGATTATAAAAATTATTATATCTTTATCTACTTCATTAGTGTTCTTCCTAAGGGTTTTTAGAAGGGCGGTTAGTAACTGCCCTTTGATCCCTATAAATGCGTTCTTTTTTATAAAAAGCCGCTCATCACTTAAAAACACTGCTTTTTTATTCGTATTCCATTTTTTAAAAAAATTAATTCACTTTAAATAATAATGACACACTGGTAAAACCTGTGTCTATAGGTTTCATTCAGATTACTATTAAAAATATTTACTTTGCTAGGATTATTCTCAACTCGTTAAATTTTATAAGTATATGTTTTTTCTGTGGGGGGGGGGGGGGGNCGTTTTAATTATTAAAATTATTCTTTAAATATAACTTTAAAAAAAAAATCCAACTTTTTATGTTCATTTTATCATTATTTTCAGTTTAAACTATAAATTTTTCTCTTATTCTGATAATGAGAGAGAATTATTTTTTGATATATACACGTAAGATAGTGTGAGAGGGTAATTTAAAAATTGATGAAGATCAAATTCAGTTATTACATCTTACACATTTTGAAAATTGTTTGATTTTTAATGAGTGCACTCTCTGACACTTATAGTGCCATTTTTTGAGAGGCAGCACCATGCCCTTTTTTATTCCTAGGGAAAACTCTGCTTTATTATTGTTCACCTTTTAAATTTAATAAATATATGGATTTTAAATGAGGTTCATCAATTTTTTTAAAAATTTATAATAGATTTTTTATTTGAAATTAAATTTTTAGTTTAAAGCAAGATTCACATAATACCTATTATATTTCTATACGGTAATGGATGAGATTTGCTGATTACTAAATTATTTGCAATTCAATACTTTGTGTGATAGTGAAAAATTATATCTTCATCCTATCTGTGAATGAATGAATTTTTTTTTTAATACTACTTATCTGTCAAATGCAAGGTGGCTCCAGACTTTACCCGACAAATTAATTCAAAATATTTAAATTAAAACGCATTTTATATTTAAAGAGTTTTTCTCAAATCATTTTTTTCAAGTGTGCTTCTAAGAAATTAAAATCACAAATTTTGATGCTATAATGTGCAGATTCATTTTAATGTAAATCTCATTTTTTTCTGTTATCGATGTATTTGTACTGTATGGTGCAAATCACACATTGTAAGCCTAAAAATTACTTTTGTAATAAAGTAAAATTGTTGCCAAAGCTCTTTCAGAAAACTTCTACACTTCTTAGTGTTGAGAACTGTAGTAAAACTGTCAAAATGAAAGTATTTTCCAGACTTTTAATTCCGTCCCGATAGGGGGCAATTGCCCCCTAACATTCATTAAACTGTTCATTAATTATGTATTGACTAGAATAAATGTAAAATATTTCCGCAACAGCCCGTTGTTACCCAAGTTTATAACTGACAGTGTTTTCATCTCAGAAAAAAATTGGGTGAGAATTTCTCACCCTTTCTCAAAAACAGGGTGAGATTTCAAAAAGTTAAGTGAGATTTCAAAAATTAAAAAAAAAAAACACAAAGAGACTTGAAAAAAAAATCATTTCTTTAATTATAATGCATTTTTAACATCTTCTAATTTTTAAAGCATTGAATATTTTTGCTGCATCATCATATGGAAAATGTTCTACATGTACTTTTTCATCAGCTATTCTCATTAGGTTGCTCAAATGCGTATTTGTTTCTACCCACATTTGTCCGTTTCGGAGTGGAAGATATTGCCTTTACAAGGTATTTGTCCATCTTACATTAACGAGCCAAAAAATTTGAACGTCTTACATGAAGAAACCTTACCTACGGTAAACACGTGGTTGCAGAGAAATGCGTTCTGAAAGAGGTTCCGTGGTTCGGAAGGATGGTGTTCTGTTGTTCTTAAAGGTTCTGAACAATACTGGTAAATAGGGAGGGCAGATGTTGAAAAAAATAAAAGATCCAGGAAGAAAAGTGAAACGGATTTTATTCTAAATGGCGCAAATGGGAAATTTTTTTCAAAATGCGAGAATATAAAAAAATATGCGAGATTCTCGCGCTGTAGTGAAAACACTGGTATTTTTTATACAAAAATCTGAAACAACTTACTTAGAAGTGAAAGCATAGCTGTGCTTAAATATTGGAAAAATTTCAGAAGCTACAAAAACAAGACATGTATACAAGAATTCTTTTCGATTTTAGTTCCATTTTATTTCTCATATTAATAGAATACTATTTGAATGATACCTTACTCAAATGGTGGAAAATAAAGTCTACAACATATTAGATTAAGAGTAAATGTGTTTGGCCATAGTTAGAAGTATAATAGATTTTTCCTCTTTCACAAAAAAACTTTAAAGCAACAAAGTTGCTCAGTTAATAATTTTGGATTGATAGATTTATATAGTGCTAATCAAATCTCTTTTATTCTGTTCGAATGAGAACCATGACTTTTTACATGTTTTCAAATGTACAGAAGCTCTTCCAACAGTGAAATTGAATCAATGAGTTCGAAAACCAGTCATCTCCAACAAAACTAATTTTACAGGAGAGACAAAAAACTGAAAAGTTAAGTATCATTTTGATACATAAAGAGCTTTTCTCATTGCACAAAATATATTAAACCAAGTAGGTGGACATAAATCTTTTTATAAACTATGTAAGCTAAACTTAAAAATCTCAATCTTGGAAGAAAGAAAAAAAAGAAGATTACTGGNTTGGACAGGACGGTTTAAACCGTGGATTAATCCATTCTGTCCTAAACCTTGCCAACCCTGTTAACCTATACATAGTTTTGGAGAAAAAACAATTAACCATTGAGTAAGTTAAAAGTATACTAGAAGAATTATAGTTCATGTCTCCATAATTTCTAATAATCAAAACATTCAAAATTAAGCAGTCATTAAAAAAACTTTTTATTATTTACAACATGATGAGTTTTTTTGTTTCGTTTTAACAATGCCTCTAACATTACTCATCATCAGAGTCTTTATTGGGATCTACAGTTTGGAACACTTCTTCATAAGGATCTGTATGATAACTCACTTCCGGTCGTCGCATAATCAAATTTTTCTTGGCATCAAACTTATTTTTATAACGATTAACAGCTTCTAGTTTTACTTTTCTCCGATGCTGGAAAAAACAACATTTTATTAGTTCAAAGGACAGTAGCCTCCAAATGTAATAGCAAGTTTCTATAGCTGATAATAGCTTACCATGCTTGGGGTTATATAATGGACATTTGTGTATAATACTGATCCACAGAAGCTTCCATCAAAAACTTTTATTAGATTCAGCACAAACCTTGGTCCTGTAAATAAAAATAATATGAAAATAACTATGCATTTAAGGATTTGCAATCAGCATAAAATAATCTATACACAGAAAAAAATAATAAAGAATTTGTGTGTGTATCTCCATATTAGATTACAGATAGACCATAGACACTAAAAACAAAACATTCAACATGAAGTTTTACAATTGTAAGCAACTACAAAGCCCGATTTTTGATTTTTCAAATACATTTTCAATTCAGAGACATTCAAAAAATGGAATTTTTATCAGTTAGACAGAAACCATTGTTTTAAATTAAAGTATAAGCATTCAGTTTAGTCAAATAATTTTAACATAATATCATTGATGTTTCCTAGCTTTTAGCTTGATTAAAAAAAAATTGTTTACTGCTCTCTCTGAATGATTGACGTGATCGTGGTAACATAGGCAGATTATGCTACCAAATTGGCATTTTTAAAGTTACCTGAAACCACATGTTTATGGTTTTAAAATGTGTTACTGTAATTCCAAATTATTTAAAATCAACAGTAATTGAAATAAAAAAAATAAGTTTTGTGTGAAAGTAAAATTAATGAAAAATAGTACTAATACGTTTGAGAAACCATAAAACATTGGCTAACTACTATTATTCACATCAATGATGCTTAATTAATTTTGGCAATAGACATAAGTTGAAATAAAAAAAAAGCTACGTTGTAAAACGCAAAATTAATTTTGATAACGGTAATGGGGAATAATGCTTAGTTTTGGTAATAGGCACTAAACATACTCATACATTTTATTATTTGCAAAGTATTTCATGAGCAAATTTGGTGCCAAAACAAAATAAGCAATTCACAACAATTCCATAAGAGCACTTTTAAGATAAATAAAATTTTTAACACATAAAAAAATATCAGGAGTTTTCTTGCAGTGAAATAACCTTTTATAGTATAACAGAAAGAAAAAAATAAAACATAACTTAAAACATTTTCTGAATGTTTGCAAGTTAATTTGGTTGAGTTTAATAGATCAATATTTTTTCCAATAAGCATACAAAAAGAAAGAAGAGCTGTTAATGAAAATAGACTGAAATTGTTTTTGAATGATAAAAAGAATTGTTTTAAAATTTATAAATGATTTTTAACCAATGAAATCAAAATTTATCTGACAGACCTAAGATATATTTAAATAGATTTTTTTAACAGCTTACAATGATCTTAAGTAATAGCTATTTTCTAATATTAACTTGGAGCTCCAGTATTATTATGTTTAAATGAATCACTACTAATTTAGTATTATGTTTAAATGAATCAGGGTTGGGTTTTTGACGTCAAAAAGTGGTTTTTGACATGACAAGGGTATAATACTGGTTTAAACCGTCAAAAACCCGTCAAAAATGTCAAAAACTGAAGTTTGCCAAGAAAATATATAAACTTCAAAACTACCAACAGTTGCCATGCATTATATTGAAATTTAATTATACTATAGGTAATCAGCAGGTTTTAAAATATTTTTTAATTAAAATTAAGGTAAAATAACAGATTTAAAATCTCAGAAATTTATATTCAAATGCATGTGCAGAAAAATTTTGCACAAAAATTTTTTAAATATTTATATTTTAAAAAAAAAAATTTTTTTTTTGATACTTAAGAAAATTAAAAGTTTATTACTATGCATTTTTGACATATAAGGAACATATAACTAATATTTATAAGGAACTTACAAGTTATGTTGTATAAATACAAACTTGATATAAGATACAAGTGTATAAAAAATTTTTTTTAATGTTATACCGAATATCTTTATTATCCAGTATGTTAATTTGAATTTAAAAGTAGTTATATTTGTGAATAATGATAAATATAATTCATATTGTTTATTATATTTATTTATAATTATTACACTTATCATTTTAAAACAATTTTTATCTCTTAATTTTTTTTTCTCCACTTGTATTAAGAATACAAATAATGCATATCTTGAAAGCAAGAAGTAATTATTCAACAGCTGAATATTTAGATATTCAACAAAACTATATAGTATTCAGCAAAATGAAATTCACAAGTATTTGGATAAACTAAATTTTCAGCATAGTAAATGAATAGGCTGAATATACTGTAAATCGACACTAACTACTCTGTGTATTTAACAGAAAGCACTTAAATTTGTATTGTCTTATGTTAAAAAGATTATTAAGAAGATTTAAAAGAATATTAAAAAGATTTTTCTTTAAAAGATGTCTAATGTACAAAACTGCTAATGTTTATCTTTAAAAATGTCTAATTTTTAGTATAATCTATACTATACACTAAATTTGGTTATAAATAAATTTCTTAATAATATCACTGCAGATTTTCAATAACACATGAAAATGAATACATAATATTACAAAAGATGTGAGCTTTCAAAAGTACAAGATTTTGGTTACTATTCAAAATATAAGTGTTTCTTCAAAATTTTAAATTTATTTTTTCTAGAACATATTTAGAAACACTATCCTTTATAAAAAATATATAAATTTTATGTATTAATTAAATTTCACATATGAATATAGGTTTTCGACATTTTTGACAGTGAGGTTTTTGACGTGACGGTTTAAACCGTCAAAAACTGTCACATGTCAAAAACCTGCCAACCCTGAAATGAATCAAAAAAATTTAATGGCCAGCATGAGATTTGCAATATTAATTATTGACAAATTAAACATTTTTACCATTAAAACAACCATAAAAATCAGAGCTAAATTATAACATAGATTACTAAAAAAAGCTTGTTTTAACATACCAATTTCAACTAATGAAGTACCATCACTTTCTATTTGATAGTTTCGAAACCATATACGATTGTCCAAAAATTTAAAATTGAATACATGATCAAAGAAAGGTTGACTTTTGGGATGATTTTTTGGTGTTCCAAAAACCTAGATATAGGGTAAAAAAAAACAAGAGTTTCATTTGAAAAGTATACACATGTTTAGATTTTCAAATCTTTTGAAAATTTTTACTTATAGTATCTAAAGGATTAAAAAAAAATATAGATAAAAGTGTGAAAGTATATTGTGTTTGAAAGAATAAATTTGGGAGAAAGAGAGAGAAATATAACAGTGCACTTGTTCTGGCTAGGACTAAGCTTGCAATAGGGAGCAAAATCATAAACTCAAATTTTTCAATAGCTTTAGCTTTTACTGGCAGTGATTTTATAATTGACTCAGGAAATAACAACAGCCAAAAACACTGACACTAATCTGGAATGTAGCAGACATCCTATATAAAATTCATATTTAAAGCTATTTTAATTTTAAAATGGACTGTCAATTTCTAGTCAAATAAGTAAAGTAAATTAACTAATTTGCATTGTATAATTGATTGTTTTTCAAGTAACTATAACTTAAACTTCTTGAAACAGTACTTTTAATGCAGTTAATCTTAAAAATCTTAATGCTATGACGTAATTACTAAGGCAAATATAAAATAAAACAAATTTAAAAAATAAGCAAACATCTATATGTAAAAAATGGTTAGTAAAATTAAATTTTGCCATTAAATTAAAGAAGGCACGGTTCAATGGTACTTAATCAAAAGCACATGATGTAGTATTTGAAGACACAAGAAATAAACTTTTTTTAAACAGAGAAACTTATGTAGCAAGTCATTTAATACTCATAAGACAACTATGTCATGAAAAGGCAAGAGTTAATTTATAGTGATAAATAAACATTAAACAGAGAGGAAGAGCTTTAAACTTAAATACCTGAGTAAAAAGTTCTTTCAAGAGCATTAAGTGAGGTTCAGTTTCAAAACTCTGAAAATAACAATAAACAATTAAACAAAACAGCATCATAAAGGATAAATCATTGCAGATATAAGCATTACTTTTAAACTACCTTTAGGTGAAATTGCAATAACTAAAATACAGTATTGAATTGAACTTATTTACTAATTGTGGAATAAAAGGCTTTATAAATTGCACATTCATTAAAACCTTTTATTACAAAACGTCTTTAAGAAAAATAGTAAAAAACATGCTAATGCAAATGTTTTGCAATGGCATGGATGCAATACTTACACTATCAAAAGATAAAATCGGACGTGATCCCTTTAAGCAATTCCCAGTAAGTTTAAGTTCTTCCATGGTATGAACTAAAAATAATAATTATTATTTTCCTTTGAAATATACAAAAAGCATTTTACATTTGTCAAAAGTTAAATAAAAAGTTAAATTAAGTACGTTAAATAAAAATTATTACTACACACTGAATTTTGAAATCAGGAAATAAAACTTTAATATAAGTAAAATCTAAATATTTATTTTCCTTTAAAGTAAAAAAATCATTAATATAATTTTTTTCCTTATCTCAGAAACTAATTTAATATGATACAAAATATATACTCATTCACCGCACTATTCTATGAGCTATATTAGAACTAAATTAGTTTTAACTGCTGGAAAAACTTAAAAGAAAATGAGGAACACATCAACATACAAAAAACAAACGCTATAGTAAATGAAATAGAACAGTATAGTTAAACAACCATCTTTAAAAATACCATATATTGCGCTTTAAGAGGTCGTCATTTTTCAAAAAACAAGCATAAGAAATAAAATTCCCCGTATTTTCCTAGTTTGTAAAGAAAAATTTAAAACTCACTGAATTTTCCATTATGTTAGATGAAATTTTAAATTCCTAGTATTTTCCACGTTTTCCCTGTGGAATAGCGTTAAAAACTATTGATACCTGTGACATTGCGTCACTTAATCTCAATTTTTCTGTTGGGATCAGGACCTAAAAATTAGACCGAACCCTGACCCCTCTCCTGTGACGCCTCACTGTCTGTCGACCTTCACGCCTGTGACCTTCGGCACCCTTTGATGTGAACACATGGAGAACGGGTAGCTGCAATCACAGTTTGTGAATAATTGTAATTTGATTTTTCGCAGTTAGTCTTTTCACTTCAAGTCCTTTTTTTAGGTACTTTAACTTCAATCTTCAACCTTTTATATAAATACCGCCCATTTTTGGGAGCGGGTAGCATTCAAAATTTGTATCAACAAAATCTACGATCCCTTAACAGGAATTTTTTCATTTTTACCCCCTCCTCTCTTCGAGAGACGGAGTTTTTGTTTAATTGCAAGGCGGTCATTATTCCACCCCCGTGGGTGCGTGAGCTGTCCGGCTCGGCTGTGCGAGAATTCTTTTTCGCCATGGATGAATCTTCGGAGGGCAGATTTTGAGAAGTATGACTCCAGCGGCATCCCACTCCTGTGTTAAAAAAGGGATTTATGTTACATTCTCTCGCCGTTCCTGTTCTTCTCGAAAGCCTGTTTTATGATACGCCAAAAATGTGATTTTAAGAAGCTGTCCATGTTACGATGTCTCCGCTAATGCATATCCCTTTTTCAATCATGTGCCAGAAATTAGTGTGCTGATGATATAGCGTTTTTTTGTGATAGTGCTCCTCGATGTGTTGTTCAAAATAATAATAAACAAGGAATTTATAGTGCCTCTCAAGTGTTTTCCCTTCATTTTGATGTCATTGACTCCTACTTTAGGTACCTGTTCTGCTTAAATTGATAAACTATCAATTATCCTGGTTGGTCGAAAAGGGGTATGTAAAGAAATAAGTCTTTGATGTGTTTTTTTAGAAAATTGTACCTCACCAGTGGTATTTTATGTTATTGCGGCACATCGTATAATTTAATAATATTTTATTTTCGGTCAATTTTAAGTATAACAACAGCAACCCATGCAACAATACCACAAAAGCAAATGTGAAATAAAATGTGGTCAACCCCACCGACGCCTAAAAAACACATAAATATCAGGGTTTATAATACATTCCTAAAACAATCTTTTTAAAAATAATTATTGACTTTTGCATTTAAATGGACTGGAAGTATAACCTTAGACTGTGTTAAAACTAACTGAGCGGTAGCAAAACAGGTTTCTGACGTATCATAACAATCTGATATCATTTCTATAAATTAAATATAATTTCAATGCTTAATGTCCAATTTTATCTCTGAAAAAAAATTAGCTACAAGGTTTATTTTCTTTAGAAAAATGCTTTTTATGATACTTTACTAACAGCTTTGAAATATACTAAACATAAATATTTATTTCTCATGCATGCTTTCCTTTTCAACTCAGGGACAACTTAACGAAGATCTAAGCAGGAAAATGTGTCAGTGTTAAGTATGTTAAATAAAGTAATCAATTTAAAGAACAAAAGTTTTTATAACTTTACCATCAATTATATTTAGAAGGTCGATTCATACAATGAATATTAAAACGGGATAAAAAACAAATAAACTAATTTTCAATTATATATCTAAAACTTTAACTATACTAACCATTTTCCACAAGAAATTTAGCAGATGGACCATTAGGTACTTTAGATATCCTAAAAAGAAAAACAAATAGTAAGATGAGATATCACATACATTTAACTCATAACTTTCAAATAAGGAAGTATCAACAAACCACATATAAAGATCAGAACGCTTCTTATTTTCAAAATAAATGCACTGATTGCAATTTTTCATTTCACATATCTGGAAAAGGAAACAGAATATTAAGAGTTTAAATATCTCATAATAGAAATACATGAGAAAAATAATTTAAACAAGATAAAAATTATATTTTAATAGCATTTAATTCTCCAACAAATTAACCAATGCTTTCTGTTGACTATAAAAGTATTCCTACAAATAATATGGTAGGACTCACCTGTACAAGGATGGAAATGCAGTCGTTATTTTGGTAAAATGTTATAAATTTACTATTTATTTTCGTTAACTTTTCTTTGGATTTAACAAGAGGATAATTTTGAATATTGAAGAATGAAAAATTTTATCAGAAATTATGAAAATTAAATAAATAAAAACATGTAAGGCACACAGAAACATCACTCAAATCACCATGTATCATCAGTAAATATTTTGGTACCTAGTTAAAATTTTTTATACAGTTAGTAGCTTTGTTTCTAAAACTTTCACACAGCATGCAGTTAGTAGAGAATGTGATTAAAATATATATTTTCTCTTTTTTAATGGATCTTGCTCACAATATGCTTTCAAAAATTAAAAAATGGCTGCCACACTCACATAAAAGTTTAATGGGAGAACACTTCAAGTTACATTTTAAAAACAGTTTGAATTTTCAGATTTCCAAATTCAATGTAAATGACCTCTCTTGCCTTCTAAGCCTTTTCTTTATATTTCTGATAAAAAAAACTGATTTATTTTTTAAAATTTAGTAGAAATATAACCTCTCTTGCTTACCCACAAAGCTTATTAACTATGAAATGTAAAGTATTACAAAAACATAATTATTAGAAAAGTTCTTCAGAGGACTAAAAGTTAAACAGAAATCTATTTTATTTAGTAAAAACTAATTTTTATCACCAAAATATCACAATAAAAGCATTTTAGTACAATCCGATCAAAAATAGCTGTTTAGGAGTATAATAAGTAAAAAAATAAGATAAACTGATTCTAAGGAAAAATAAATAATGCCAAAAAATAGTTAAAAACTTTGCTATAAGAACTCAGGTTACAAGTACTAATTTAAGACATAAAATCATGACATTACAATATCATCATAATTTGGATGATTCAATAAAAACAGATTCAATAACAAGGGCTATATATACTTCATTAATCATCAACAGTGAAGACTTTTTATCCATTTTTGAATCTGAAACAGAATAAAAAATGTAGAATTACATAAATATCAAAAATTAGCTTAAATATCTCAAAAATTAGTTTAGATTTGACATAAGTTAAACCTGGATTTCAAAATCAAAACCATTTCATAATTATAGAAAGTTTAAAAACACAAATTTTAGAATAATACAAGCAAAAGAACTTTAAAACAACTATACTGCTTTACAACATTTCTAAAAAAGATTACAATAAAAAAAAATTATACGAAACAAAGTATTAATAAAATTCAAGAGTAAAATTTTTCAATTTTTTTTCATGTCTATATCAGCTGAATTTACATGCTACACAATTAAAATGTTTAATGCAAATTTCAAACATTGTGAAACGTCAACACACTACTTTATTCCTCCAGTTTCATATTTTGAAGAAAGATAGTGCAACCACATATATTTTATGTAATGCATTCATGTTCTCACTTTGTTCATAAAAGCAGCAAATACTTTGTTTCAAATGTTAATTTTATCAGGGAAAATCTTTCTGACAGTATCATATATATGACAAACATAAAATTTTTAGTTACTGTTGTGTATCCTAGGACGTAGTCTTAGTTCTTGGGTGAATATTTTTAATAATCCCTAGGAATATTTGAGAATTGGGACTTTAATTTGAACGAAACTACTCCATTTTGAATCATGATAAATCCAACCACCAAGGTAATATGGCACAATAATGTATAAAAATTATAAGTAAATCATATATAGCGGCTTGTCGAGAAGCGCTAAGCTAATGAATTTCAAACATTGATCTTTTTTCCCCCTGTAGTTTTCTGAATTTCTCTCACTACTAGTTGTATTCAAATGCCTTCAACCTTCATAGATTTCAATACTTGGTACAAAATACAATTTATTTAATTAATTGAATATTTTCACTATTATTGATCATAATTAGGGTTGCAAGTTTGTCGCGGGAAAAAAAGACATAAATTCGAGGCTGATTCGCGCAAAAGTTTTAAAAATTCGCGGATAACATATGCACTGATATTTACACCGAAAATCAATTTAAAAATAATAAAAACATTAAAAAGTTACAAAATTTTATTTTTAAACAATATTAATGCCGTTACTTAAATGTACAGAATTTTGATACAAAATATTATGCATGGTTAGGTTATTTTCGCTAATGTTTCTACTTTCATCACTCAATACATTTTCGTATTTTGAAAAAGATCGTTCGGCATCCACGCTACTAGTTGGGACTGACAAACATCGAATTGCCACTTTAGACAGTTTTGGATAGCGTTCCATCTTCGATTTCCAAAACTGAATTAATTATCTACTTTCAACGTGTAGTTCATTAACTGTCGCTTTGTAAGCATTAAATTCATTCTTCAACTCTTCTTCATCCTCAAACATGGGGATAGAGTTAAAAATAAAAGAACTATAATCTTCTTGGAAAACATCTAAGTATTTGAATTGACTAGGATCAAAAGATCTGCATGCTTTAAAAAAGCTTGATGCTGGTTGACAAAATCTGTGTGTTGTAATATTGCCTTTAAAAAAAGCGTGCCTGAATTTTTTCCTGGCATAATTTTAAAGCTTTTTTAGATTTCAAGTGCTGGCAGGTTATAGATTTGCTTTTTAAATCTTCAGCAAGATCAGACATTTCATTAAAAATAACATGCGAACTTATTCTTCGTTTTTCATATAAATTTAATAGATTCAAAATTAAAGATGCATATTTTTCAATCTCTCTTAAATCTTCGCTCAATTTTGCGTTACAACATTCTCCGGAAATCGTGCTGATCAAAGAACTACTGCTATTTTGTTGCTCTTTATCGAAGAACTCTGCATATTCAGCTAAGTAATTTACGTGAAACAAAGCTGCCTTAAACCAGCTATTCCATCTGGTTTGTACGGGAACCGGTGGTAGAGCGGCGTTTTTACCCTTTTCAAGTAAAAAGGCTCGAAATCCACCCTTACGTGAAGGACATGCACGCTTTAAATGCAGAATAAAAGAATTCACTTTTTCAAATTGATTTTGCCATATTTCTCCTAGGAGATTTAAAAGATGTGCACTGCAAGTCACATGAACAGCATTCAAGAAAACTGCTTTCAAACTTGTCCTACTAATTCCAGCAATGAAATTCAATCCCCCAAATAATTTGTTAACTACAAATGTCTTGTGGTTGCCTTACACGGTGAGTGCTATAAGATGGGAGCTTATACAGTGAGAGGACTGTCCCTCTGGTCAATGGAGGGGGAGATAAGAATTGATAGATTTATGAAGAATTAGAATGTAGAAAATCTTATTTTTCAGTTTGTTCATGGTATTCAATTTCAATACAAAAGCGAGGAGCTTGTATAGAGCCTAACCCAATCCTAATGTCATTTTGCTAGATACTTTTGTGAATGCTTTGAAAAAATATAATCAATTTTTAAACTTCAGAAAAATAACAACTACAAATATATTTTTATTGATAAGATAAAACAGAAAAAAATAACTTCAAATTGTGAATAATTTTCACTTAAAGCGTGTGAATTGAATAACTTTCGTTCAAATCGCGCAATTTTAAAAAAATTCTCGAATTTTTGAAAAAAAACTTGAAATTTCGCGAAAATTCGCGCCGCGACAAACTTGCAACCCTAATCATAATTATAAGAAATGGGTGGCGGCATCTAAGCAATTGCCTCTGTTACAACTCTATATCAATATTGGTGTCAAAATCTCCCCCTGTTTTTGAGAAAGGGTGAGAAATTCTCACCCATTTTTTTTCTGCAATGAAAACACTGCCTTAACAAAATGCAAAATAATTTTTAGAGACTTTACATGATCATGATAAAATAACTAGTTTCTGACAAATAACTCTTTTACTGATTATATTGGCAATTATAAAATGGTCAGGAGATCTCTCGGTTCGACATCGGAAGGTGGAAAAAGAAGCCTGAAATTGAGAATGCAGCAGAGTTGCACATGAGAGTGCAATAATCTCACCGAACCCAGCTCAGTAGACACACAAGTACTTCATCAAACATGTAAAATGATTGGCACGTTCATAGTTCGATGGTACGACGAAATGGATTGTGAAAACGTTGAATAGAACAATGTGAAAAGCACGCTTTTGCATAATACATGGCAAAAATCGACATGGTAAAGAAAAAAATATCATTTTCGAAAAGGAAAGATTAAGCACTTTTTTAAAACACCCAATGAAAGAAGCATGTTTAAGGGCTTTTAAATAATGAAAATCGAAAATAAGCACCCTTAAGCACTTTTTAAAAATACTATGCACCAGGTACAGGAATTTTCTAGGTTTTCGTAAAAAATATAGCTTTCCCTGCTTATCAGAGTCAAAATAACTTTCCCTTACAATTCCAGGGTTCATTTCCCCCCCCCTGAATTGTACAAACCCTGTTTAAAGGTCAGAGTGATTAAATACTGATAGATTTCAAGCTTCATTAAACAAGAAAATATTAATTAAATCATAACTTACCTGGCTTAGAATGAGGCAAGAGGGTTCTTAAATTAGTCATAAGATGCCGATCTCTAAATGATATACCCCTAGATGCAAAAATTAAAATCCTCTGTTTATTTTTCCATTTTCCTTCCAACTGAAACAAAGAAATGTACTAATTAAAAATGCATCAATAAAACCAAAATATAAAAAACATAATTGACACTAATTGTATTTGGAAGGGAAGTAAGCAGCCTAGCAACAAAACCCAAAAGTAGACAAATTACTTTACGGTATGTTCTTTTTCACATGCTATTTCATACTGCATAAAAATAATTTTTTTTTACAATCTATTTCTTCTTATACATTTAGTATCATTTTCAATTCAATTTAGGGAAATTTCCATATTGTGATCTGTGGCAGAATAATTGCCAAGTCTTGGAAACTTCCGGACAGTGGCTCACAAAAGACTAAAGAAAAAAAAAAAAAACCATCACAGAAAGGGACTAACTCGGAAGGAATAACTCGCAGCCACCCACTGGAAACATCTAGATGCTTTTTTTTAAAAAAAATTTTTGCAAGTTTAAAATCTATTTGGCACCTTGACGATTGTAATTAGTGTGACAGATCACAATACGGAAATATCCCCTTCATTTTAACCAAGTCGATTTCTTTATGTTTAATAGTTTTTTTTGGTTTAGTAAGGCGTAAGTAAATTCAACTATTTTTTTTTTTCTTAACAGAAAACAAAATGGCAAACAACTAGATAACAAAAAATTGCTGAATTTTCAAAAAGCTTTAAATAATGTAAAGCTAGGACACCATAAAAAAAAAAATTTAACAAATGCTCCCTAACATCAGATTTTTCTCAAATTTCAAAAATAAATTTAAGGGCTAAATAAAAAAGAGGATACATTCTATAAGAAAAACTTTAAGAGCAACATTGTTTTTTCAATTTTGCCTTTAATTAATGAGAGTCATATATATATATAGGATTCAAATTTAAAAGGCATTCTGTATATCTTCAGCTTAATGAGTGATTTTTCTATTTTTTAAAATAAATCATGTTTTAGTAATAAGAATTTTTTTTAGATGCATCGTAGAAAATATTATCTAAAAATGGTTTTAATTTTTAAAGAAATTAAGCGTCAGAATATAATCTAACAAGAATGTTTGATCAAAACATTTATATATTAGTCAATAATAATTTATTACAAACCTTTTTAGAATCAGCATTTTCATTTGTTGCTTCCGTAGCGGGTTCATCGTCTATATTGAGTTTTCTTTTCCCCATTATTTAACGATCTTTTATATCTAGAAAAAAAAGAAATCTTAAAAAATCAAACTACAAATAAATTTATCCCTTAATAACTGCAATTAAATAAATTTTTTAAATTGTACACATATGTAACTAACCAAACAATAATTTAATCCAAAGAAATCAAACGACTGCTTTAGAGTTACTCGTTGTTCACGTTTATTTTCGTAAACAGTGACATGCTCAGTTACATTTCAATAACCGCTAACTCTCAACTCTTGCAAAGCATATGAGGCTTCATATCTAGCAAATTCACTATTTTGCAGCCCTCGAAATTAATAACTGTAACTGTTTAAAAAACAACACAAAACAGTTTTTTTAAAAATTTTTTATTCTAGTACAATGACTTAAAATTTCCTTTTTTATAAATCTTAAATATCAAAGAATATTTCAGAATTTTTCGCTCGAACTATCCGAAATTTTTTGAAATGAAAGAATTTTTGGCTTGATTTAACGTTATAACAACAATAATGGGTTCTTTTATAGAAAACAAATCGCTGCTTTCTGTGAGTATTCGTAAATTGAATTAATTTTACTGATTATTTTTTGCTGATATTACTTTTGTATCAACTTTTAAAATAAATAAATAAAATGACACTTATTAAAAACTTTTTTTAAATTGCATTAAAAATGTGTATTTCTGTTTATTAGATGCATCTTAAGGATGCTGTGGAGAAAAATAGCTTTGGAGAGTTTGTTAAAAATGCTCGACCGATTACGAATGGAATCAAGTAAGCAAACGCTGATTGTCATTTACAACTTGATTATGTTTATTTCCTTTCTTTAACTTCTGTTTTCAGTGTTTTCATCATAGAAAAAAAACAATGGGGAGAATTTTTCACCTTTTCTCAAAAACAGGATGAGATTTCAAAAAGTTAAGTGAGATTTCTAAAAATTAAAAAACACACAAATAGACTTAAGAAAAAATAATTTCTTTAATTATAATACATTTTTAACATCTTCTATTTTTTAAAGCATTGACTTTTTTTCCTGCATCATCATATGATTTTTGCTGCATCATAGAAGATTTTGCCTTTATAAGGTATTTGTCCATCTTACATTAGTGCATAATAAGTTTGAACGTCTCACATAAAGAAACCTTACCTACGGTAAACAGGTGATTGCAGAGAAATGTGTCCTGGAAGCGGTTCCGTGGTTCGGAGGGTAGTGTTCTATTCTTCAAAAAGGTTCTTAACAATACTGGTAAATAGGGAAGCTAGGTAATGGAGCAGATGTTGAAAATAATGAAAGATCCAGGAAGAAAAGTGAAACTGATTTTATTCTAAATTCGAAGCTTTTTCTAAAATGCGTGAATGTCGCGAATTTTGAAATTGGTTTATAGAATGTGCGAAACTCTCGCGGTAATTCTCACTTTCTCGCGCTGTAGTGAAAACAGTGGTTTTGGTTCGTGATTGCTTTTCAGAGCTACAGAACGCTTACTTTTTTACAAAGTTATAGCAAAATGGAAGAAATTTCAATGCATTCCCACATATCGTGATCTGTTGTGCCAACGACAATCTCTGAAGTACCAAATGGATTTTAAACTTACTAATTAAAAAAAAAAAGGGAGGAAATATGCTGGATCCCTTCTCAGATTTTTTTCCCTGTAATTTCTGGCTAGCCACTGCCTGGAAGTTGCAAAGACTTGGCAATTATTTTGGTGTAGATCACAATGCAAAAATCTTGCCTAAAATCCAAGGCTTTCTGAATTCACCAATTTTAATATTGGCCTTAAAGCTTTTTTTTGCAACATGGCATGTTAAAAATGTCAGAACATAATATTATATATTAGGGATGTAACGAATATTCGACCACTATTTGGTATTCGGCCCTTTTACTAAATATTCGGCCTAGCCGAATAATGAAGTTATTCGGCTGAATATGAATATTATTAGATATTTGGCTGAATAAATTCATAATAATAAAGAAAGATATTTTTTAAAATGTATTTTTAAATATATTTAATCATGAATATTGCAGAGTTACATTTCACTGCATTAATTATTAGAAAATCTTACATTTACTCAATTTAAGTTGTATAATACATAAGTGTATTTAATAATGTTACATAAATAAAAAAGAAAGTTAATACATTTAACAGTAGTAATGAGTTCTTATTTTAAATAAAATAGCATATAAATTACAAGTATAACATAATTGTAACTAAAATATGCTCTTATTAATTATTTAGATTTATAAAGCCATATTGCCATCAAGATATTTAAATTATTAAAAAAAAATTAATCAAGTTGTTAAAATTTTTTTAAATATACAAAGATTAAAAAAGCAATTTTGTTAATATTTATTTCATTTTTAATTTAAAATTTGAAAATTACTTTAATTACAAAATTACAATCAAAAGAGAAATTTTTAAGAGGTAAGTATTCGGTCTAAAATTTGGTAGAATATTTGGTATTCGGCCCCATCACTATTCGTTACATCACTATTATGTATCACCATTTCTTAACTGATATCAATCATGTGTAGTCTTTTAATAGAACGTGTAATGTAAGTTAAAAACTGTTTATTAGATTTTATAGATTATTAGTATGAAAATTTTGGCCAAAATAATCACCAAGTTTTCCCGACTTCTAGGCGTACCCACCAGATATGTGAAAATTAATAAAATCTTATTTTTTCAATACTTATTTTTTTAATGATAAAAATTTATGACAAGGCAAACTTACTACATCTTTTTATTGTAATAATAATTTACTTTTATTTATTTCATAAATGTTGTGTTATTAAGTTTATTATTTTCTGGTTTCTGACAATTTAACATTGTGATAATATTATTTAAAGTATTGTTCATTTGTAACCTGGTGTGTACCAGTGATGGAATGTCATTCTAGTACTTGTTTTTTAATGAGCCCTGTGGCGGAGTTCTTTCGGGCTTTCTGCGACATACCTCTCTAACACTAATATCTTTCAGCAAGATACTTAAAAATAACAAATGTACATGTTACTAATTTGAAGTAAGAGAAGCGTTAACTTCAATAAATAAATAAATCGAATAAAAAAATATTTTTAAAAAAAAAATTAATATGTAATTTTTGTGTAAATTCTAATATATGGGCAATATTCTCTCATTTTGTAGAAAGATAATTCACTATTTAATTCCTTTTTCTCATTTTGTAATTCATCATCACATTAAAAAAAAAAATTTTGAAATCTGTAGAGATTAACGGCAAAAGGGTTTACTAAATGTGTGTTTTCATTTCGAGATTTAGTTGTAATAAATAATATCATATAAGAATATCAGTAGTACTAACTGCATGGAAAAATAGAACGAAAATGTTGACAGAAAAGGAAACCAAGTTTTTTGCTTCATTATTTTTTATTTTTCATTATTCTAAAATAAGAATAGAAAAATCATTAGTATTTTTTTCCACTCCGATGCACGAAAAAGGCATCTTTTGAATATAATTCTGTAGAATAGATAAAATCTTTCAAAAATTTCAGCAGAAAAGAAAAGCAAAATATATTTTACTTCCCAAAGGAAAAATCTTTCTGCTCCATAATGTTCTGCGACAATGTCGCTGTGTCGCCGCGATTCTGACACGGGGTTAATAAGAAAGAAAAATTTGCTTAAATATCAATACTAAAATGCATTGAGTTGTTAATTAAAATCCATTGAGTTGCAATTGTTAAATGTCTTAACAAAAAACTTATTTAGTATTTCTTTTATTAGTATTCAGGGGTCTGTCTAGGTTTTTCTGAGAGGTACCTATTTTGTGAAAATTTAGACATAATTTGTGAAAAATTAAAAATTATATTTAAAAATCAACAAAAAAATATGGTAAAAATATGGATTTATCATTTCTAAAGGGATACAAAAATAAAATTGTAAGAAAAAGTATTTTTACTACCGTTTTTCCTAAAATTGAATTTGTGAAACTACCGTTTTTCCTAAAGTTGAATTTGTGAAGGTACCGCTAAACGGTAGTAAATTTGACCTGGATAGACCCCTGGTATTATATTTTTAAAATTCGATGTACTATACTTTTACCTTATATTGAATATTTTTATGACATTAAAATAGTCTCTATTCAATTAACATTTTGAAATGTTAAATTAGTTAAGTTATTAAGTTTTGTACGTTATTGATGTTTTGCATGTAAATACTATTTTGTTGGTTAAGTACTTTAAGTTTTGTCATTAGTAAGCCCAAAAGTTAGTACCAATATTATTATATGGTTTCAATTATTCATTTTCCAGCCCCACTGATTTGAAAAATTTGATGGAGTTGACTATGCGGGAAGTTCTAATATCTCTTATTGTAAGTACTTTGAATGTAATAACGTTCTTCGCTATTTGTCAGCTAATACTATGTATTTAGTACAATACAATTAAAGTATTACTTTTTTAATTCTCTAATTTTTTGAATATCTAATTGTTAAACATTAAATAGGAGTTTTTTTTGTTGTTGCTTCATCCTCCTAGTAGCATAGCGGAAAGTGACTGCTTTTTTTTTTAAACAGTTGAAACATTATTCAATAACTTATCTAATTTGAATTTACGCAAGTAAGAATATAGACATATTTAGTTTTTAAGACACATAATTATAAAATTTGTAACAGAACATAATTCTTTTTTTATTTTGTTGTCAAATAATTTGCTTTCTTTTCTAATTCTTTTTACTTAAGAATTCAGTTTTACCTTTGAATGTAATGTCAATATCTACCTATGTATGTATTTAGGATCCCTACATAAAATAAGGTTTATGGGTATAGAACGAAATTTTGAATTACATAGGAAATATCATTGAGAACATGTGGTGCTTAAATTCTGCTAAGTGCACTCCAAGACGTTTTGAGATAATCATTTCTTTAAAACATTTATTTTTAACATGTGAAGAATGTGCTTTTATAGTTATTTCAATGCTATCTTTGTAGCATAGAATTTATAAATTTTTTGTTCTAGATAAATTTGCATTACTTTTTTGAATAATTTTGTTAGAATTTGTTGTTGTATGTTGTATTTATTGATTACAATATTTTTCTTTAAAGGAGCGAAAGACAGATATTACTCTTTTAGAACGAATATTCCAGTTTTCGTTTGATGCAGCCTTATTAGGTAAATGCTATGTAGTTTTGTAACAAATTTGTAAAATTATAAATAGCTGCAATGCATTTATTTGTTATAATTATGTTATTTTAATTATATTTATTTTTAACATATTTTACTTTGCATTGTATAAAAAACACATTTTGTAGCATTTCTTAAAGAAATATAAATGTTTTAGATATTGCGTCTGGTAATCTTCCAGTCCTAGTTATTGGTGACTTGTTTGAAGCATCAACTATAGTGGATTGTGAGAAAACATTTTCTTTCATGGAAAATAGAGTTGATACTTTCAAAAAAGTAAGCATTTTTTTTTGTTTTAAACCCTTTTTTTTATTGTTCTGCAGATAATTAATCATTACTTTTATATTTTTAGGAAATATTTTTTAAGGCTTGTAAGAATCATCTTCTACGGTCTTGTAATGGTATGTGATGATTTTATTTTAATAGTGTTGCTTGTAATAAATTATTCAATTTAAGCTTAGGATTGAACTAAGTCATAAATTTTTATTTTTTTTAAATTTTTATTTTTGTGCAGTAACACTGTGCAAAATGATGAGCTAAGTGTAAAAACACTTTATAGCTGTTGTAACTGCCTGAAGATTCAGTGAATTAAGAAATTAAGCTGAGTTTTCTTTCTATTATTTGAATTTTAGAACATTAAAAATTTGTTTCTCATATTATAGATCTAGTACTTGAGCCATAGTTTTCTTAATAATAATATTTTTTCTGAAGTATATTTGTAACAAACTATAGTTTGTCACAATATATGAATGAGGCAGTGATATATAGAGACCAACCGCAGCATAAATTTATTAGGTAAAATTTTTCAAACCCTCTCAGCCACTCCATAAGGGACATTTGTTTCATTAAGATTATCCCACATTTATTGCAGTCTTGCACCAATTACTCTTAACTACCCTCTAAATTAAACATCATTCTAGTACAGTCTTCTTATAGAGTTTTTATTTAATGATAAATTATTTAAAGATTCAATTAAAAGAAAATCTATAATTAAGCTCTAGTTGGAGTGAGATTATTTCTTTAAACTGTTCTAAAAAGTTTAGGCATTTTTTCTGAAATTATTTTGCAATATTGAGAGATTTTTATAATTCCTTGAATTAATGATGCTAATAAATATTTAATAAATAATGTGTTTTGCATATATATTAGCTTTTTTGTTGTAATTCACAAAGTCTGCATCTGAAATTTTTTTTTTGTATCTTTCATATGGTAAAGCAAAAAAAATAGCTTCAATATGAAATTGTTTAAGAAAAAAATCATTTAAGTACATAACTTCTTCTGAACAATGAGTTACAATTAGTTATAAGTAGTTTTTTGTATAATTTGTAGCTCCAATTTGTATGGCATATTTAAATATACGTTATTTTATAACCTTATTTAAAATATAAATTTGATTTTACATCAGTTTAACAATATGTATCAAAAGGTTATCATTTTTTCTAAATGTATCTCATCAACATTTTATTTAGCTTTCTTTCTTATCTATGTTTAATTGTTTTTAGATCTGTTGAAAAGATTATCAAGGTCCCAAAATACTGTGTTCTGTGGTCGAATATTAATGTTTTTAGCTCACATATTTCCACTTTCAGAACGTTCAGGTAATTACAGAATAAGTTTTTAAATTTTGTAGTATATTTCTGTTTTTTTTTAATGTTAATATGTCTTTTGTGTAACCTTTTCTTTAAAATGGACTTAATAAGTTAAAATTAAGTAAATTTTAAACTAAAGAAAATTTTTATTGGAATCGTTTTAATACAAGAATAATTTAATTTAATACAATATAAGTGAATATCAAATGAAATTACTTTTGCATTTTTAAATAGCAGTTTCAAAAAGATAACCCTGCATTTAAAGAACAACCATTTCTAATTTAAAAACTTTTTTTGTGCAAGATGTTTTGTCATTGTAAATCATCGAATAATTAGTGATCAAATTTGAATGCTAAATGCATTTTCCAATCTCTCAAGTTTTTCTCTGAATGAATTCAGAATGGTGTTAATCGAAAATACATAAAACAGTTGGGTTTTTTATGGGCTGCTTACAAAAATAGTTTGTTTGAAAATTTTTAAATGGAAAGGTCATGAATTAAATGGGGAAGTCATGAATTAAATGTTTATTCAACTTATAAGTGTTTTGAGAATTCCATAGATGCTCAAGGTATGAAATGGAATATTACCAGGTTAGATTGATTAGACATTATGTAAACTTTTTTTTTTTTTCAATTCTAAAACATGGTTAGGTTTTGAAGCATTTAATTTTTTTAAAGTTGTCATTACATATCTTTTTTAGTAATTAAAATATAGTTAATTTTGTTCTGAAGTAGAATTGATATAATTTTTAGAAGTTTAAAATATGAAGTTTAGAATTTTGCTATAAACTTAATCCGTCTACTCAGTTTTTATTTTAATGTGAAAAATTATTTTTACCTAATAATAACATGTTATTTAAAAAAGGGAAACACTGATAAATAGTTTGCCAATTTCCATTTAGTATAACTATAGTGTTTCCTATTTTTAAATAGTTGGTATTTTAAAGATAAATGAAAATTTTTACTTTTGCTTTTTTATTTTTAATAATATTTTATTTTTTACTTATGATAAAAAATTTAAAAATTGCATATAATTGCAAACTTAATTTATTTATAGCATTAATTTGAAAAAATTATAAAATTTTTTAAATTTGTTGAGAAATTATTGAGAACTTATTTTGCTTAATACCCTTTAAATACAATAGCTACTATTATCTTTTTTCCACCTGAATGAAATAATTTTAATGTCCACACATTTAATCCATGTTTATTATTTTTTCAACTTTATCTATTTATGGTTTTAAGTCAATTTCAAACTCTAGTTTTTATTTATATTCTTTTTAATTTAATAAGCTTTTCTTTTTGAAATTAATTTTTTATCTTTATTTCCATGATAAACTTCTTTATTTCCGTTTTTATTACCTTCTTCTGGCCCACTTAAACTTTATGATGTTTCAAGTACTAAAGTAAAACTTTATTGAAAAATATTGATTTGATAATTTTAAACAACAGGTTTAAATGTTATAAGTGAATTTAATCTTGAGAACACTACCTCATATGCAACCAGTGATGATGCCTTTAGTGATTTGAATTCAGAAAAAGGGGATAACAATGAAGAAGGGGAAATATCATCTCAAAGGTAATTTCTGAATCTTTTTCTAATTAAATAAATAGCTCTTTTCATTTCTCTAAGTTTTGTTATATTATCTTATAAAGTTCATATTGGTAATGGTCATATTTTACATTCAATAAAAATAAACTCTATTAATCATCAGTACTGCAATATATTTTTACTACTTAATATGTAAATTTACTTAATATGTATGAAAAATTGAATCTGCTAAAGATATTCATTGTTAACTTTTAAAATGAGTGTTCTACATCAATTAAGAAATGTAGTAAGACCTTTACTTATTTTGTAACTTCATTTAATATGTTTACTTTTAAATAAACTTTTGATGTCATATGTTGAGAGTATAATTTAATACAGATGTGAATGAATTTAAGTGATATATATTTCTTTCATAATTAGTTGTGAAGAGTATTTAACGAATATAATTTAAAAATTTTAGTTCTAAACAAAATATGCTGCAACCAAAATATACATGGATAAAGAATTTATAAATTGCATGAGAGACTATGCTGGGCTAAGTTCAAAAATGATATTAAATGATTTATAGATTTTAACAATTTATAATGTACTTATATTATATTATTTACAAAGAAAATAATTGCAGTAGGCTTCAGTAAATCAGTGGTATTTGGTGGAAGGGATTACAATACAGGATAAAGTTCACTTCCTACCCCCCTCTCATGTAATTAAAAACAAATTTTAAGATGAATAATTAATGTAAAAATACTCAATATTTATTAATAAACTACACAAACCTAAAAAATTATATCTAGAAAGAGTTAAAAAGTGCAGACAACTGTTATAGCTTTCCTCTTTTTTCCCCCTCTCCTGCCACCCAAGACGAAGATTTACAAATGGTAGGTTAAATTATTTCCAATTTTTATTGGATCAGTTAGTTGTGAGCTGGCTAGTCGCAAACCTATTGTATTTAATTATGTTTTGAGTATTTAGTTTTTTAATTAAAGAAATGAAAAAAGTTTTTTTAATTGTACTGTGTTAACTATGAATAATAATTTTGATTAAAATGTGCACACAATCTGAATAAAATAAACACTATTTGAACCAAAAAGCTATTATTTATATTTTGTTAAGCTAAAATTTATTCTTTTTTATTTTTTAATCAATAATTTTTAATTTCTTTATATTTACGAAGTTTTACAAATTTATTTAGTTTAAGCATGAGTTTAGTTAAGCATATTGTTTTGTTAATTATATATGTTTTAAAGGAGTTTTCTATATTTTTACTAGTTTTTTTCATACTTTTATTCTAAAATAAGTATAATTTGATAAAATAAATATTATTGTTATGGATTATGATGAATTATAGAATCAGAAGGGATGTAATAATAATAATAAAGACAGTACACAATTATCAAAAATATTTCTTTCTTTTTGACAAGTCTTAATCTTATCAGGCTAATAATTAATCTAGTTTAATAGTCCTTGAAATATTTATAAAATTTGTATTTTTTCAGCAGTCCCATTGTTGCAGATAGAAATTTATATAAGAAATTTTGGTCACTTCAAGATTTTTTCCGAAATCCCAACAGCTGTTACAATAAAATGCAGTGGAGACATTTTGCTAGTGTAAGTATTTAATTTTCATGGAATAAGACTTTTTTTTCCTTGCAAAGTATAAGTTAAAATTTTTATCTAATTAAAAATTATGATGAAAAAAATTTATAAATTTTTATATAGTTGAAACTTTTTCAGCTTTATATAGTTTTTATTTGTTATTAATTTATACCAATTACATCTCATTTCTTTTAAAATAGTTGCTAAGAATATTGTATTAAATTATCACAAATACTTTATTTTAGTGTACTTCTGAAGTCCTGACAGTTTTTGGCAGTTTCAAATCTGACGATGCCAATTCTTCAAAATGGAAACAAGCCAAGTTACCATCTCCCAGTGGGGCTTCTGTCTATTTTGCTAAATACCTAACTAGTCCGAAGGTAAACTTGATTTTAGAATCTTAGGTGATATTTTCTGAGCTTCAATGTTTCCTATTCAAACGTAAATAAGAATGTAGACTATCAAAAGCTGCTGATTAGTTTTATTCTACAAATTGTCATAGTTAAATTTTTCAGTTGCATAAATATTTAATTTACTTTTGAGTCATTTTGTTGTTTAAGCTGTAATAATCAGTGTGTTATGTTAATGTTTAATAAGTTTGTGCCTATTTTTCTACTGAAGGGTTTTATAGTTTCATATTTTTTTGGTAGTTAGTAAGCTTTGTAAAATTTAACAGTACAACAGACTTGTTCAATACTATATTTGTATGATACATACTCTTGCCTAAATAAGATCGTTAGGCAAAGTAGTTGCTAGTAGATAGTTTGTCTAGTAGATTGTTTGTTATGGAAATGCCTGCAATTTTTTTAGATGCATTTTTATGCTTATGATCTTAAAAATCATGTGTTTATTTTATTATTGATATTTTGACCACAAATCAGTCAAAGGTAAATTTGACCAATTTGTAAAGGTAATTTATTAAGAGTATGATTTGGTTAAAAAAAAGTACATTGTTTTATTAAATGACAATAATTCCCCCCACCCCCAGTGTGGCACTTTTCTCATCACTGCACATTTGACATTTATTGTCTGTTTAAAGTGTTAAGTTTTAATTAAATTTTCTGCCATATTTGTTTTTATAACATTTTATATATATGTATCTCACATTATATAGTTCTTTTTGTGTTGAATTGTTACTCCTTTGAAATTCTTTATATTATCAAGTTTTGTTTTATAGCTTTTGGAACTTGAGCTAAGTGACAGCCACTTTCGGCGTTATGTTTTGGTGCAGTTTCTTATTCTGTTTCAATACTTGACATCTCCTGTAAGGTTTAAATTGTAAGTGACATTTTATTTCTTTTACGAAACTTTTTTAAATTATGAAGTACAACATGCTTCAGTTAAAGCATACTTTTTTCAAGCTATACTTTTTCCTTAGGGATTCTTTTGTTTTAACTGAAGATCAACAAAACTGGATCAAAGAAGTTACTAAGCGTATCTATAAAGTAAGGTTTTTAGAAAAATATTTTATCATTGATAATGTCAGCTTAACAAATTTTGATCTTGTTATTTTATTTAAAAGTTTTATGTGTACTGATAATAATTTTCCATAGATTATCTACATATATTTAATATGTTATTGAGCGAAGGTATTCACTGCAAGTGTAACTCACAAGATGATGAAAGAGGTTTTAGCTTGTCCAACAGCCATTATTGCATTATCTCCTACCCTATGCAAATTAGAAAGATGCTGGATGGCACTTCAACTGTTAGTTAAAATTCAAATGCTACCTGAACTAGGAAATGAAAGTACTTAGCTGAGACCTGTATCACTAGAAATCAATTCCCTGCAATTTCTGGATTTTTCAATTTGATATGACAGGAATTGTTTTGGGACCTAATGTATATACTACTACCACATACCCTCCAACTGCTACGGAATTTCCGTAGTTTCAGAAATCTTCTTTTCAGACGGTAGCAAAATTAATGTCTTAATATTTAAGAAAAATTAATTTTAGCGTAACTTGTCCACTATTACTTATAAAAGTGCAGGCCATATGGCTAGATTCTTAAGTTCTGATAAAAGTTTTATGAGAGATCCATTTGCTTTAAAAATTTCTACTTTGGTTCGCTACCACTAGAAAGAATTATTTTCAAAATCCTCATAAGTTGGAGGGTATGCTACCATAACAAGGCTTTTCATTCCTTCCACCATCCGTATAGCATCTTCTGGGATATTAATTAATTCAAGAGCAAGTTACTCATGATATTCAGGAGGATCTGATGTCTTTTTAACACCCAATGCAGATGGCAAATGCGAAATGCAGATGGGAACATTCTCCGAAAAGATTCTCAGATTTATCAATGCGAGATTTCAAATGATGCCACTCAATAGAATTAAAAGTCAAATCATCATTGATTGCTCGGCTATAGGGGTTATTTTCCTGCAGTATTTGATTGTTGCTCCAATGCTTGAGAAATACGAACGTTTGATTACCAGAATTATAATTAAGAAGTTTGTTATAATATTTGAATTTCTCAAACCTAAACAGCTGCTGCTCAGTCTCAAAATGAATAATATTGCCAGGACAGCTGTTTCAAAGACCTGTTTCTGTAAGTTGGCCAATCACACCAACGTTGCTTCCATCCAGATCAGGAGACTTGCGAAAGTTAGTACATGAAAAACAGCCTCAGTTTCACTTACTAAACTCAGAGAACTATGGTGTCAATGTACTATATTACTAGTTCTTCTTTTGACAGATCTAGTCCATACAAGGAAGCGTAAAATGCTGCTTTTTCGGTAGTGTGTGACTGGTATATTTTCTGCCTATCTATCAATTTGAGGAATTTCACTGTCAAAGTCTTGAATCGTGTTACATGCTTGAGGCTGTTCCCTGCTATTGCATTTCACTAGATTTCTCAGTTTAGTGTTTGTGACTTTCAGCAAAATATAATTTCATTTGTTTAACTTAATTCAAGCAAAGCTGCACTTAATGTCAGCATTTATATTTTGAAACTTGGTTTTACTCAAGGAATCAGCAGGTTCGTCTAAAGTGCCTGCAGATTGTTTTCTCTCCTCCAATAAGTTTTGGAGTGGTTGAGATAAAACATTTTTTGATTTTCCAGCCGTTACCTGTAATAATTTTTCTAGTTAACTGATTGATTTTTATTAAAATATTTTTATTAAGTTTCAAATATTTTATTATGCATTCTTTGCTTTTGTTTGATTTTATATGAATACATGGTTGATAATTTGCTTTATCTAAAGTGTGCAATTGCGAGTAAATTTTGTTTTCTTATTATTTACTACATGGTTTGTTTTTGTTTTATTGTAACCTGGTTTATAATTATAGTTTTATTCTAAATGAATTTTTCTGTTTTAATTTAGTACTTTTTATGAAGAGGAGTTTTTAAAAAAAATTGAGATAGGATAGGGGTTAGTTACTTTTTAATTAATCAAATGTGGGAAAGGCTTGTTTTGGCAATAATTATTTCAGACTTGTTCATCTCTCTAGATTTTTTTCATGCAATTTTTTTTATAATATCAAATAATTCATCTTTAATTAAATATTTAATTGCAACAAAACAAAAATGCGACTAATTTTTGCATTTTGATTTCTTTTTATTGCATAACATACCATTTTTAAATTCTTTGTTTTTTAAAAATCTGATTCTTCAGAGTTATAGTAATACAACAATGTTTAACAATATTTAATGAGTAGTCCACTTTAATTTCCTTTTAAAAGGTCTTGGGGGAAATGAAATTATCTTGATGATTGGAGAATACTTTGTAGAGAAAGATGGATTGTTAGGGTTCATTTAATGGCATTGATATTTTTATTGGAGAAAAATTTTTAAACTGGTGCGAGTTCTGATGTATAAATTAAAATGCACAAAAATAGAAAGATTAAATTTTCTTTTCATATATTATGTCATAATATGCCTGCAATTTAGGACATGAAAATTTAAATTTTCAGTTAGTAGCCAGTAGCCAATGAACTATGTAACCACTTTTTCTTAAACCTTAAAGAGTTAGTGATTGATATCAATAATCTTTTTAATTTAATAGCTACTTTTTGCAAACTTTTTTTTGTTTGGATTAAATTATATATATAAAAAGAAATCATATTAGAAATAATCTACAGTTATAAAAAGTTAATTCTACAATAAAAATAATATAAATATGTGAAAAATTTAGTTAAAAGTACTTATTTGAACTTTATTTAAAAATATTTGGGGCGAGAAAATACAAAAAATTGAATGGAAAAATAAACAAGTATAAAATAAATTTAATGTATGCATTACAACTTTGTATGTGAATTGTTAAAGTTGTAAATTGTTGATTCTCCTTCCACATAAATCATTCTATCACAAAATGATGGATTCTGAAGGATCAAAATTTTGAATGAAGATATTGGACATTTTAATGAAAATTCTGTTTTCCGAAGTCTTTCTCATTGACATACTCTTATCATCAAACAATTAAAAAAAACTGATGGGAAAAGTGTTTATTTAATTTAAGTTGTCAATTTTTTTTATTGACTCGTCACATGGCAAATGTTTTTTTTTTTTTCATGTCTACATGCTTATAACTTTGTATAATGATGTAATTTTATTTGATTTTTGTTTGACTTAAATTATTTTATTGGATTATTAAAAGTAATGGACATAAATGTTTCTTTAAAATGCTGATTTTGGAATTTTTCTTTTTTATAGTTATTGGAGGAAACACCACCAAATGGTGAAAGATTTGCTCAAGATACAGAAGTAATTGCTATTTCCAGTAGTTTTATCATAATTTTTCTGTTTCATTTGTTCATTGCATTTATCATCTTTTTTTATCGATATGATCAGTTATTTTAATTTTGTTTTTAAAATCATTTATATTATTATTTGCTTGTTTGTGTTCCTTTTTATCCCTCATCTGATCATAATTATCATTTATTTCACAAGATGATTTATTTATATTAAGTAAATTTTCAAGTATTCAGCTGAAAAAGACTATATAAATACATATATCTGTTTAAAAAGTTAAATTCATTGTTTTGAAAAAAAAAAATTCATTTATAATGTTTTTTGCTTGTGCTTCTTTTTATTTTCATCTGATTAAAATTATCATTTAACTAGATGATTTATGCAATTAATTTTCAAGTATTCAGCTAAGAAAGTCTATCTATCTACCTATATATATATATGTTTTAAAAAATGTTTTAATTCTGAATAAAAAAAAATTCTTATTAAAATACATTTTTTTAAAAGAGAATTCTTCAGCGAGAAGAATATTGGAATGCTTGGAAAAATGAAGGATGCCCAGATTTTAAGCATGTGACAGAGAAAACACAACTGGATAACAGGTATTGATTCAAAAGTATATATTTATTATATATATTTTTTTTACAATTATGTTATCAGATAACTATTGCGAGGTGTATATATTTTTACAAATGAATCACAAAAATTAATCTATTTATTTTAATTAAATCATGACTATTTGCGTTTTTTTCCCCCTCCATATACTTTTAAACAAATAGTGGAAAGTTATCAACATATTCTTATTAAGATTATTTGCATTTCTTGCTTTAAGCTTGATTTCTATGTGTGTTTTGGAGATTTTTTTTAAGGATTCATTTAGGATAATTTTGTTTGTAATTATATTATATACATTACTTATTTTATATTATACAAAGATGAATTTTACAGTTAGTAGATTTTGTATGTTTTACGGGTGCAAAACTTGTGTCAGATAATGAAGTGATTATAGAATGATGAAGTGAAAATAGTTATCAAGAACATATTTATAAAATTTAGTTTAATGTTTGTTTTGAACAGGGTAACTATTTGTGGGATGTACCAAGAAGGAACAGTGATGTTTGATTTGTTTTTTTAATCTTAAAAGTTTAATAGGTGGCTAAAATTATTGGAGACTCTTCAGGTGGGCGGTGTTCTATCAGAGTGAAGTTATTTTAAGCAGATTCAGGGGTCCGTCCTGGCCGAATTTACTACCGTTTAGCGGTACCTTCACAAATTCAATTTTAGGTAAAACGGTAGTGTCACAAATTCAACTTTAGGAAAAACGGTAGTTTCACAAAATACTTTTTCTTAAAATTTTATTTTTGTATCCCTTAAGAAACGATAAATCTATANAATCATATTAGAAATAATATAAATATGTGAAAAGTTTAGTTCAAAGTACTGACTTTAACTTTATTTAAAAAAATACAAAAAAATTAGGTGGAAAAAAGATAAGTATAATAAAATAAATTTAATTTATACATTATAATTTTGTATATGAATTGAAGTTGTAAATTGTTAATTCTCCTTCCACGTGAATCTATCTATCACAAATTGATGAATTCTGAAGGATCAAAATTTTGAATAAAGATATTGGACATTTTAATTAAAATTCTGTTTTCCGGAGTCTTTCTCATCGACATACTTTTATCATCAAACAATTTAAAAAAGCTGATGGGAAAAGTGGCCGGTTGTTTATTTAATTTAAGTCACTTTTTTTTATTAACTCGCCACATGGCAAATGGTTATTTTCATGTCTACATGCAATGCATAACTTTGTATAATAATGCAATTTTATTTTATTTTTGTTTGACTTAAATTATTTTATTGGATTATTAAAAGTTAAATAGATGCATAAATGTTTCTTTAAAATGCTGATTTTGGAATTGTTCTTTTTTATAGTTATTGGAAGAAACACCACCAAATGGTGAAAGATTTGCTCAAGATACAGAAGTAATTGCTATTTCCTGTAGTTTTATTAATTTTATCATAATTTTTCTCTAATTTATTTGTTCATTGCATTTATCATATTTTATCGATATGATCAGTTATTTTAATTTTGTTTTTAAAATCATTTATATTATTATTTGCTTGTTTGTGTTCCTTTTTATCCTTCATCTGATCATAATTATCATTTATTTCACAAGATGATTTATTTATATTAAATTAATTTTCAAGTATTCAGCTGATAAAAACTATATAAATACATATATTTGTTTAAAAAGTTAAATTGATTGTTTTGAAGAAGAAAAAAAATTCATTTATAATGTTTTTTGCTTGTTTCTTTTTATTTCCATCGAATAGAAATTATTATTTAACTAGATGATTTATGCAATTAATTTTCAAGTATTTGGCTAAAAAAGTCTATATATATATATATATATATATATATTTGTTTTAAAAAGTGTTTTAATTCTGAATACAATAATTCTGAATAAAAAGCATTCTTATTAAAATACATTTTTTTAAAGAGAATTCTTCAGAGAGAAGAATATTGGAATGCTTGGAAAAATGAAGGATGTCCAGATTTTAAGCATGTGACAGAGAAAACACAACTGGATAACAGGTATTGATTCAAAAGTATATTTTTATTATATTTTTTTTACAATTATGTTATCAGATAACTATTGAGAGGTGTATATATTTTTACAAATGAATCACATATTTTAATTAAGTCATGACTATTTGCGTTTTTTTTCTCCAGATATTTTTAAACAAGTAGTGGAAAGTTATCAACATATTCAAGATTGTTTGCATTTCTTGCTTTAAGCTTGATTTCTATGTGTTTTTTGGAGATTTTTTTTACTTATACTTTTTATTCATTTAGGATTATTTTGTTTGTAATTATATATTATATTATTGCTTATTTTATATTATACAAGTATATTTTATATATATTTTTGCAGTTAGTAGATTTTGTATATTTTACGGATGCAAAACTTGTGTCAAATAATGGAGTGATTATAGAATGATGAAGTGAAAATAGTTATCAAGATCATATTATTAAAATTTAGTTTAATATTTGTTTTGAACCGGGTAACTATTTGTGGGATGTAACAAGAAGGAACAGTGATATTTAATTTTTTTTTTAAATCTTAGAAGTTTAATATGTGGCTAAAATTATTTGCGACTCTTCAGGTGGTCGGTGTTCTATTAGAGTGAAGTTATTTTAAGTAGATTGTTTTGTTCCGAAATTACTTTACTAAGCAATTGAATTATACTTGCTTGCATAAATTTTTTCAACAGTTTAATCTCAATATGCAAATTAGGTTAATTAATGCACTATTTTAAAAAAGATCTATTTAAGTATTTTGTCCTGTCAGTTGTCAAATACTAAAAACAAAAAGTTGAACAAATGAAGTAATAAAACTGCTTACATTTTTGTGTAAAGTGCTGTAAATTTATGAATACATTTACCACATTGGCTGTGATACCAAAAATAACTTTTACTTATTCCGTTTGACATGCAATTGCAACACGCATTAACAGAAAAATTCTGTTGCTGGCAAATATGTGTTACTAGATTATATGTTTTTTTATAGACTTATTTGTTGATAAACTTATGTTTTTTTATTTATTGAATATGGGTGTCTTTGGGTTAGGCAGTTGTTTTGGTATATATTCCTCTCAATAATTAGAAATCTCTAAAAATCCTTTTCAATAATTCAGACAAATTTAGAGAATTTTTATAAATTATCATTAATTTAAATTCAGCAAATTAAATAAGTTAAACAATGAAAATAATTAACCTTTTTGCAGATGTTTAGGATATTGACAGATTTTTATTCTATTCTGTGTGAAATGTTGAAAATTGTAGTAAATTTGATGAGAACTGCATTAACTTCAATATAAAATTTTTATATACTTATCAGTCATGTAACTGGAATTTCCCTATAAAATCCTATGATGTATTTAATTTGACTTAAGTTGTGACGCAAAAAGGCAAATTGTTTTCACTCTGAACTTTGATAGATTATTTTTTTTCTCTAAATCATTCAAATGTCATCTTTTAGGTTTAGTAAACGTCTAGCTGAAGATTTACAGTCATATCCTATTAAGAAGGCAAAGTGAGTTTTGTTCATATTACTTTTTTTATTGTAAGAAAATAAAATTTTTTTAAAAATGGTTTGCCTATTCTCAATTTTACAAACATATCACGATAAAATGTAAGAGAAATATTTTTGGGTTTTATTTTATGCATCCTACCATATTATTTTTCTTTAAAATACATTTTTAAAGTTATTTGTCTCTTGGTGTGTTTGTGTGGTTTTTTGACCTTTTTATTAAATCCATAAACTTTTCTGTAACTAGAATAGTGTGCTTTTACTTTTTTTATAACTGAAAATATCTTTTCTGTATTGAATAATGTAGTTTTTTGCATGATAAAAATATATGAAACAAATCAAGTTTTTATTTTATGGTAAAAATGAATTTATTTAGTATTTTAATATTTTGTCTTCGACTTAAAAATAATTACTTTCAAAAAATATTTACTATCTTAAGTGTTGTTTGCTCACAGATTCTATGAAATGTTAAGTTTGTTAGAAACTTATTTATTATTTTCTTCACTCTTAAATGTATTATTTTGAAATGCTGTTAGCCAGGATTCTGTGTAACATGTGGTAGATTATTTTAAAGCATCCGTTTTCAGAACTTTAAGTCAACAAATATAACATAAAAATAATTGACTACCTAACCGTGTATAGATAATTTTTTTTCTTCATTTCCAGTTCTGATTTACCGAAGTTGTGGTGTAATAATACAAACAATTGGGATGCTTGCAAATCTGCTAAAAGGTAATCCTTTTATTTTTTAAAAAATCCTATTTTAATCAAAGTTAAATTATTTGTCCGCTTTTGAATGGAATATATATAATTAAAAAACTAAATAAAGGGAAATAATAGAGAAAACAAAAAGAGAGATTATTAAACTCAGTTGTAATTGTTTTAAAAATTTGTTGGAATTTGAACAAGTGTGAATTATTGAAGTTTGATATAGTGTACATAGTATGGATCTGTAATAAATTCTTTGCTTGTTATGCTGTTTTAAGTATAAAATGAAACAATATTTGAAACATATATAGCTACCAAGTTAGCATTAAGGAGTCAGAGAAAACTCTAACTAAAGAATGTCACATTTTATGTTTAATTTATGAATTATAAAATTCTATACAAAATATTTGAGTAAAGAAAGTATCAGGGGCATTAAAAGGGACGTCTTATGATATCCCTTTGACATAGAATATATTTAGCATTTCAATAATTTATAATTATGAAATACAGCATGAAACGCTAGTGTTCTTTTCTGTGTTAAAGGAAATTACATGGTATCTGAATCTTATTGATATTTGAAAATTTATACTTATAATTTTTAATTTATGACTTTAAAATTTGTAAGTATGAAGATTGTCATACAGTTTTGCCACCACTAAGATAAGATATTTTCTCACATGTGCTGAAAAAATTTTATTCTTGGAATTAAATGTTTTAAGAACTGTATATTGTATAATTATATTTATTGACTGATTATTTTAGATGTTTAGTTTGTGAGATATTTTTACGTTTATAGTTTTTGTNGATTATTTTAGATGTTTAGTTTGTGAGATATTTTTACGTTTATAGTGTCAATTTACTGTTTTTTTAGAAACTTTGTTCCCTCTTTGGAGTCATTCTTTCATTTATCTAGTGGAAAAGCTGACACCTCATCTTTTAAAAAGTAAAATTTTAACCTTTTTATTATTATGTTAATAAAAATGTTCATGATATATTTTTCATTATTAAACAATGTGGTCAAGCTGTGTATGGATATATTTTTTTAATATATAAAAAATATTGTTAGAAGAAAAATCTGCTCACAAAGTGTTAACTATTCTGTGAACTTCCTATAAAATGCACAGTAGACTTTCTAATTAAAAGATATATATATATACAGTAGGGAACCGATTATCCGGAACGATCGGGACCATCGCTATTCCGGATAACTGATTTTTCCGGTTTTCTGAATCGCTGCAAAAACCCGTTTTTTTTTATTGTTAAACCCAACTAAAAAAATTTCTTTTTGAAATAATCTTAAAAAGAAGAAAAAACAATAAAGTAATACACTAATAATTATTTCCAAAATGATGGTAAGGTAAACATCTTTCAAAAAAGAAAGAAAAATCCTAAAATCTCATGAGGAAAAAAAAAATTCTTTAAAAAAATGGCGGGAAAATTTATTGAATTTCATTCCGCAGGTTCAGAAGGCGTAGTCAGAAAGTAAAAAAGAGGAAATCCAAGAATGAAAGAATATATATATATATATATACACACAAAAATCAGACATAAAAAGTGCGATTTTTAAACTTGTATACCATGTGATTATAAATCCCGATGATTAATTTTAAAATTGTATGAATATGAATCCCGATATGAGGCTTTTAAATCACGTGAATATTAAACTCTATATCGAATTTTAAAAAATGCGAAAATACAAATCATGATGCGTTATTTTTAGATCACGTAAATACGAATCACGATGTATAATTTTTAAATTGCGTGAATACAAATCACAATGTTTAATTTTTAAAGCACGTATCATTATGAAAATCGATATTTGATATATCAACTGCAAAAACGAATCATTACATTGGATTTTAAGCTCGCGTGAATACGAATACAAATTAAAAGACGATATAAAATATACGAATATAAAAATAGAAGATATAAAAGATACGAATATAAAAATAGAAGATATAAAAATACGAATTAAAATAGCGTAAATACGAAGCGTGATATTGGATTTTTAAATCTCGTGAATAAGAATCGCAATGTACGATATTGAAATCGCCTGTATAAGAATCGCAACGTTCAACTATTAAATCATGTAAATACGAAAATCGATGTTTGATAATAAAATCGCGATTTTAAAAATGTATAAATCCAAAAAGCGACATTGGATTTTTAAATCTCGTAAATAAGAATCATATGTACGATGTTTATATAGAGTAAATAAGAATCGCAATGCACAACTTTTAAATCACGTAAATACGAAAATCGATGATTGATATTAAAATCGCATGAATAAGAATCGAGATATTTGCAGAGTCTGGACTTGGGATTTCTAAAAGGCTTGTTTGTATTGTTTTTGTTTAAACATAATAAATAAAAATTTGCAAGATTAATTGAATGAGCAAATAAATATTTTCACCGCAAATCCACGTCTATTTGTTTTTTTCTTTTCCCGTTTGCTTTCACGCCAGACAACAGGGTAACGACGTCTGAATTGCGAAAATACGAGCTATCCGGCGACGAATAAAAATGCGGAAGATCTTATTTTCTGTGTGTAAAAGCAGAGAAAATAGCTAAAATAAGTAAAAATACGTAGTTTGAATTTTCTGTTTATCATTGAAAATAAATATAATTATTTTATTTCAAAGACTGAATTTTTTTAAAAAAAAAACGAAACTTTTAGAGAATCGGAGTTTTTGATAAAAAGGCTGAAATTCGAGAGGCAAAAGCGAAAAATCTCATCCCTGTATAAGGGTCAACCAGTTTTATCCCAAGGAAATGATTTTTAGAGAAACTTTAGAGGGAGGAATGAGGACTTCAATACTTTCGCTCCGCGGAAAATTAAATTCCTCATAAAATATTTTAACTTGTTAAAAAAAAATTTTTCGCGGAAATTAGCGGGAAAAATCTGAAGAAAAGCGGAAATCCGCGAATCCGAGAAAGAATCACATCCCTGATTCCGGTTTTTTGGTTTTCCGGATAACGGGTTCTGTACTGTATATATAAAAAAAGAAATCAACAAGCTTATTATTTGTTATTTCACACATTAAAATATATCTAGGCTTAACATCTGTGAATCTGAGTAATTTCAGAAATAAGTATTTACTTTTACATTTTTGTAGTTTTTTGTTTTCGAAAATTTTAGTTATCTTTTAGATATTCAATGTCATCCATTATTTTAAGTCATTATTTTTATACATAATACATTTTGCTTAAAACCAATCAGTAAATTTAATATTTTCTTCCTTACTACATTGATAGAATTATTGGTAAAAGAGTTTAAAGATTAATTAGAACATGACTCTAATAAGTTGGTGTTCCTCACTAAAAAAATTAATTTTTGATGTTTTAGAGATATTCATGACAGCAGATACACTTGGAAAGCTTTGCGTCTTTTATGCATGAAATCCCCTCATATTTTTACTGCAAATCTCCAGCAAACAAAAGGTGCTTCTGACTACCTGGAATCAGTAATTCAGAAAGTGATAAAAGAAAAACCTCAAAGTGTAAGCTGATTCTTATGACTTATTTAGAATTGAAATAAATATTAATTTGTCATATGCTCTTTATTTTCTCTTTTGAATTTTAAAATAACAGCTTATGTGCTAATAAGTAACAAGAATTGAATTTAAAAACTATGATCAAATAGTTCTATGATAATTGAAGTATTAAAATTATTAGACAATAAAAACATTCATCATCTTATCCAGATATTCTAAAATGTGTTGTTACATAGAAACTGTAAATTTTTTTTTCATTGGTTGTCTTTTAGTGAAAAATATTAGAATTCAAACTTTCGCAGTTCACAAGACATAGGATACACTATAGAATACTTTATTGATTTTAAACTTTCTTTTTCGTTAAAAAAAGAATGTATTTATAAAAAATATGTCCTCAAATAAGTTATATTTTCAATGATTGAAAAAATAATAACAAGCCTTATATTATTATTTTCAGCAACAGGATGTTATGACAGTTGACACTGCGGTGGCTGAAGATTCAATTGAGGATGGCAACGAAGAATTTTTTCAAACAGATGAAGAACCAAAAGAAGAAGGTATTTAAGTAATAATTTAAAAGGGATGAGATGTTTAAGTAAATGTTTTGTAATATCTTTAATAATCTCTATTTTATATTTTTTTTAAGCAATACGAGTAAGTTTTTTTTACTGTTATCTTTATAGAGTTTAAAAACTATGCACAATATAGAAAATTTTATTTGCAATTGAGATTATTTTGAATGCAAGAGAATCCTATGTGGTATCGTAGGGTTACCATTACCCTAAAGTCCTTCAGTGATTTTTTCTCATTTAATACCAGTTTAATTGCATCATATTTAGTTTCAAAAAAAGAAAGGAGAAACTAAACAAAATGGATTAAGTAATAATCTGTTTTTTTTTGTAAATAGGGGTTTCTTTCACATGGGATAGAAGAAACCTACTTCTTTCAGGATGTTTTTTTTCCACTGTGGGAGGATTTTCCACATTTATAACACTAATAATTTTTTTAGAATACATGTTGTGGTTTGTGTTTTGCTCACTAGTTAGTTCTGGCTTTTATGCCAATAACTAAATATTACTTTTGTTGCTAATTATTTTCTAGTCACCCAAAAGGAAAGATATATAATTTAAATATGGAAACTTCAAGCAAATTGTTCTTTGCAAAGTATATTCAACATTAACACTTAAATTAGAATCAATTTCTGTCTTAGAATAAGTGTTTAATGCAAAACCTATTATTTCATAATTTTTTATATGTTTATTTTGAAATAGTGTTTTTTTTTCTTCACTATCTTACTTGAATAATAACTGAATAAAATATTGACTTAGTCAAAATGTAGAGTGAACAATGTTTGCGATATTTTAAAATAAACCGTATATAACTATTTAGGCTAATGCAATTAAATTTCTAGAGTTTACAGTTATTTTGATTTTTCTTGATGGAAAGTATTTTATCCTTATTTGTCCTAATTTGAGTTTCCAACCTTGATATTCCTGATTTTTGTGCATGTTCAAAATGTTCCATTTTCTACCAAAACAAATTTCAAAATAATAGATTTGAAGCATTGAAAGTTTCAGATTTATGATTCAACATCTTTTTATTTTAATTAATAATGTTAGTAAAAACGGCAAAAGTTGATAGCTCAAATTAAGAAATCCTGCACTAATTATATACATGGTTTAGACGCATAACACTGCCTTACCTGCAAAATTCATTATTTCAAACTTTTTGGGAAATCAGTCTTTTTATGGAGAAAAAAAAAACTTTAATTAGAAATTTTACATTATGTTCTTAATTTTTTTTGGTGAGGAATTCAAGGATCGTATGTTTATACATTATTCACAGCAGTAACAAATTTTATTGGATGGTGTTTTGTTGTTTTATAATTATTGATTTGTTCCTTTCATTTGATTTTAAAACTGATTTATTCGAATCAACACTACAGTAATCATATGTTCTTTTAATTGTGAATTACAAGATCATCCACTTAATTACTTTGTACAAAAATGTTTAAAATTTAAGGTAATTGAAACCATACTTGATTACACATTTTAATTAAGTATTAGTTCAAATTAATTCTATATTTTTTTAATGCTACAGTATAAAAGTTTTATATATATATTTATTTCAAACAAACTATTATGAATTGTTCAGTGCTATATGATTAAAATAGTGTTTAAGACCGTTAAAACCTTCTGTTATAAGTATAATGAAAACAAATTTTATCACAAAAGAATAATAGAATATATTAATTTCAATTTCAGAATGAGTAGTGGAAAGTATACTTTTTTTAGTTTGCTGTTTTCCTATTTTAACAGTTGTTTGATATGTATCCCATTCCCGAATTCATTTAAAAATGTTGTTCTAATTTCTATGGGGCTTGCATTTCTTGTCCTTTTAATTACTAGGATTTGAAAATGGCACCATCAATTAGTTCACAAGCTGTTTATAATTTGTATGCTGTAATTTTTATGTACTATATATACAAATATATATACTGTCTTTTGATATTATATATTAAAATGCCTTTATATATTAATTTTTCAGAAAAACCCAAGAAAGAAAAGGTGTTAACCAAAGCATTAATAGAAGCTATAAGTGGAAAACTGCAAGATGTTTGGCAAATCTTAGCCATTCATTTAGGGTTTAAAGAAGATGAAATAGAATATTTTGCAAGTGAGAAACCTACAAATAAAGCTCAAACCGAAAATATGTTGACTATATGGATGGAGCAATATGGGAGCTTATTTGCTTTTGTAAAAGCTCTTAAAGGTGCCGGTTGTTTAAATACAGTGCAGCATTTATTACCTTCATTAGATTAGAGGTGCTGTGAACATATACCTTCTTTATAAATAAAATAATTGTAACTTTTTTTGTATATTATTTCTGTTTGTAACTTTATTTTTGTTGTTCTGAATCTTTTTTTAATAAAATCATGTGAGTATGATAAATGTAATGCTGACATTTCGGAATACAAAACATTAAATTAAGAGCATTGCAGATATTTTGTATTTGGACAAAACCTGGGTCTTTTATGATTTAAACACAAAATCTAAAATAACTATAAATAAGAGTACAACAATAAATCAGGTATAAGCCCATTATCGTTTTTAAAAATCATTTAAAAAAAGGACAACAATTACTTAAATTTTTACGAGCCAGCTAGTATTTTAAATTATAAATGAAGAAAAATTAAACAACTATAATTTTTTAATACTATTTTAAAAATTCAATATGATGACATTTCCAATATCGCAAATATAGCTACAATGTAAGACCTACAAAATATAAACAAACTGGGTGAAAAATTTCAAAATTTGGAAGAACAGGAATATGCACGAGTGATCATTCTGTTATTTAATTCTCAAACTGGAAATTTACTCAGAATGCTTTTTTTTAGAGAGTTATAATTTGAAAATTTATAACATCAAAAGGAAAACTATTGACAATATTTATAAAAAAGAAAGCAGCTTTGTATATATAATATTTTTTTTTATATTGGATGAATTATTTGAGTGATAACTATTATGTATTAAGTTTTCCCTTTTTATAATAAAATAGTTATTATATGCCTAAGCCTTTTATGTAATATATTCTAACAGATACATTACTTTTTTTTTTTTTGTTCCTTATCTTTTAACTCTAAAACATGTTTGAGGTATTAAAAATATATATATTTTCCTATTTTAATAAAGCAGAAAAACTTCTGTTTTATTTTTTGCTGTTCAATATTTTTGTGGCCACTTGACATATTTACAATTTTTACGTACTAAAACCTGAAATATAATCGTAAATATTAGTTAAAAACAAAATTTTAATAATGTCCAATATATATATAATGCGAAACAATTCAAAAATATTTTTTTTTCCAAATGTAAGTAAAATAAATGATGTAAGTATATACAAGAATGAATGAAAGCTGGACCAGTTCAATTTTAAGTTTCATCTATTTCTTCTTCATCGCTAAAATAATCGCTTTTCTTGATTATCTTTTTCTTTACTGAATTGCTTGTTTCGCCGTATTCGCCAGTGATAACTTTCATTCTATACTCTTCTTCTTCGACTTTTTCTTGCTGAAAATTTAAAAGATTTACTAAAAATACAAGCTATGCAACAAATTAAATAAATCTACTTTTATTTCAAAACAAAAGCATAACCCAACTGTATAATCCTAAAGAAAAAGCTAAAATTTTTCTTTTACTCATATTAGTAGTACATTTCATTAATGCATTGCAATGGCTTTTTTAGAATCAATATTATTGTATAACTTTATTATTGCATCACTTTATGATTATTGTATCACTCTTATTTCTAATATTAAGGCAAGTTATGATAAATCATACTTATTTAAACTATTGAAATTTAAGTGGAATGAAAAAAATATTAATTAAGGCTACGCTATCTGCATAAAGCAATATTTTAGTTCTATTAATATGGCATAATAAAATCAAAATAGTTCCTTTAAAAAATCCACCACGAAGGCAAATTTCTCAAAATACTTGATCCAGGAGTTCCCTTTTTTTTTCTGGATTGGGTTTAAAATTACAAGGTTACAGAGTTGAACATCATAAAATATAAAAATCATCATACTCATATTAAATTTGTAATTCTTCATGAAATTTAAGGCACTTTGTCTTAAAGCCAGTTTGGTAAATTTTTAAAACAAACTTTTCATAAATTTATTTTTGTATTATTTAAACAAAAACAAACAGCCTTTAATCTTTTAGTATAGAGAATGTTTTAACCTGAAATCGAATAGCAGCACTGAGACTCTCTGCTTGAGGATCTTCGCCTTCTTCCTCTTCTTGTTCTGATTCATCTTCGCTCTCACTAATAATAATAAATAAATAAAAGCATTAAAGAAAAATTCAAATAAATAAAAGTTTGAGGGAAAAACATATAAAGAAAAATATCGTAAAAATTAAGTCCAGAGGGACATTTTTAGATTGTTATAAAAAAAACTTTAGCATGTTAAAAATACTTTAAGTTGATTTGCCTGTCACTAAATGAAACCAAAACTAGTGTCAAAATACAGTATAATCTGATCTGTCAAGTCAAATGGTAATAAATAATAGTGTGTGACAAGGGGATGCATTGGCATGCCTACTCTTAGCATTCGAAAAAGTAATAAGAGATTCCAACATTAACACCAGGGGAAATATTTTTAATAAATCTGTACAACTGTTGGCCTTTGCGGATGACATAGACGTTATTCCAAGAACACCTATAGTACTAAGGCAGGATTTTATTGCTTTAGAGAAAGCTCTCAAGCTGGGCCTGAGAATAAAGGAGAACAAAACTAAATATTTGCCATGTACTAAAAAAAGCTCAATAACACCCAACGCCAGTGGCTGTTAACAAGCATATGCCCTGCTCTTAATTTTTTCACCCGGAAGGATAATCTCAAAAACCCGGGATTCCCTCGGAGTACAATCACCCCATACATACTAAGAAATTTAAGAATATAAATTTACAATGGAAATACAAAAGAGAATCACTATAGCTAATAGATGTTTAAATGGAATTTTTATTATCTAAATCTCTTTTAAGATCAATTTTAACATATGCTTGTGAAACCAGGACAATATTTTGTACGGATGATTTTATGATGGGTACCTTTGAGAGAAAGGTCTGGTGAAGTATTTTTGGAAGAATTAAAAAAAAATGATGTGTGGTTTAGAAAAATAAATTTAGAGCTTTATAACTCATATAACCTGACATTATAAACTTCATTAAACGACAAAGAATAAAATGAGCAGGCCACATTATCAGAATGGACAAAGACCATACAACAAAAAGAGTTTTCAATGCCAGATCAGTTGGCAAATGAAAAAGAGGCAGGCCGAATTAGAGATTGATAGATGGCCTAGAAAAAGACTTTGGTTTTGAAAACGCAAGTAGGAAAAAGGATAGACTCATAAAACTGTTTGAGAAGGTCAAGGCCTACCCTGGGGCTGCTGAGACATTGATGATGAAAAAAGAATTTTAATACCATAAATATTAATTCATATTAAGGAATTCTTTTCTTTTTATTTAGATTGGTTTAGTGATGCAATAAAATGAAATTTTGCTTTCTATTCCGTGAAGAAAGAGGAAGACTAGCCTATCATTTTTGGAACAATCAAACCAAAATATTTTGTTGGTTCAGTTTTATTAATTCAATGTGCTAAATTTCAAAACTGAGGCAATAAATAAAAGAAATCACAGTACATAAAAACGAAAATTTTTAAAAATATATAGCAGCAGATTGGAAATCAAATAATGTGGAGTATTAAGCTTTTAGTAAAACAAAAATAATTGAAATTGAATTTAGAAATAAAATTCAATTTCAAAGAACATAAAAAACTTTTATAAAAAGGGCAACTAATGTAATACTTAATACAGAAAATCCTGACTAGGACATGAAATAAAAATGATGTCGAACTGAAAACAGCATAATGGTCACAAGTAAAATTAAATTTTATGAAATTTACTCCAAATCTTTATCTTATCAAAGCGTACAAAATAAAATTTTAAACAAGAATTAGCAAGATTCACTAACATGAAATGTTCATATTTCTATTTGTATACTTTTAAAATTTGTGAGAAAATTTCAATAACTGAAAAGGATTATTAGGTTAGAGTGGAATATGAATTGTAAATAATTCATAATCATAGCTCAATGAATATTTTAGACAGGTTCACAAATTTTTGTGATCGAAAAGAATAAGTCATCGATACTAAATGGAACAGACATTTAATTTATTTGAAATGCATATTGTTTTAATAAACCTATGTTTATAAAATAATAGTAAACAAATAACATTTGTGGATGATTTTTTATTTAAGAGTACAGAAACTATACATACCCATATTCTTGAAATCTTTTCTTTTTCTTCTTTTTCACAACTTCTCTATCCCCTAACATGTTTTTTGGGCAACCGTAACTTAGATGTCCATATTCCTACATTAATAAGGATAACAATAATAATTAATAACAATAATAATAATGATAACAATTATAATGAATTATTTCATAATCAGGGGTCTGTCTAGGGTTTTCTGAGAGGTACATATTTTGTGAAAATTTAGACATAATTTGTGAAAATTAAATTTTATATTATAAAATCAACACAAAAATATCATAAAAATATGGATTTATCGTTTTTTACAGGATACAAAAAGAAAATTTTTAGAAAATGTATTTTGGGAAACTACCGTTTTTCCTAAGTTGAATTTGTGAAGGGACCGCTAAACGGTAGTAAATTTGGCCTGGACAGACTCCTGATAATTCAATATTTTAAAAGTTAGATACACATTTTTGAAAGATGAATTACTATAGACTAAATTAGACTAATTACTATAAAATTATTTAAAATTTTTTCACTGAGCTTTGCCATAAAATTTTTATGTAACAAATATCATCATTATATTTAATGTTAATTAAAAAAATATTAATTGGAAACAGTTTTCAATTAGAGAATGAATTTTAACTGTATTTTGCTTATTTAAAATATACTTTTTTTTTCAACAAATTTTCAAATTTTTTACACTGAGTCTTGCTTTTTAGGAAATCACAAAGCATAATTTGGGAATCAATACTTATTGAGCAAAAATCAATCAATGACAAAACTTTGAATGCTTCCCCTTCAACATTAACTAATCTATGTTAATCTTATTTAGTAAAAAACTATTGTATACAAACAAGTTCTGGTTAAAATAAAAGATAAGAGGCATAAGACAAGGGTTTCCCAAAGTAATGAAGCAACTTAAATTTAAACAATCAATTGAGTAGAAAATTAATTAGCAAATAAATAATTTATACACATTTTCTTTCTGATTATGTACAAATTAGAAATTAAACATTGCACTTATGCAAATTATGTTTCATATTAGTTATTTGAGATGGGTACCAAGTAAATGTTTAGATTTGATTCAAAAATAAATTAAACAGGCATAATTAATTTGAATGAAATTTATCAAAATGATAGCACTTTGAAGAAAAAGTTTTATTCCATTAAAAGAGATCTGATGACAGAATACAGATTCTGTGTGAAAAATATTGATATGATTCATAAAACTTTTTAACTAGTAAATTTATTTTTACCACCAAATTGAAAAAAATTATTTTAACTAAGATGAGTGATAATTTTTTTTTGCTACAAATTTTATAAATATAGAGCTTTGAAATTTCATGGAACAAAATAAAATTTATATTTTTAAACCAACAAATTAAAGCAGGCCTTTAAAATGAAATATTATTATAACACTTCAACTTTATAGAATAAGACTAAATTATGCATAATTTTTTTAAATATCTTTATCCATCTCTTAATGTAAATTTTTAGAGTGCATAAAACAAAGTTTAAAATGAATTTCACACTTAATTGTTCACTATACACATTCACAAAATCATTGTATATAAAAAATCACAGTTGGTTTTATTATCAAAATGAGACGCTTTTTTAAATTAAGCATACAATTGGAATTATGTGATAATTTATGTTAAATGTAAAATAGAATGCTAGTTTTTCAGTAGTATTTTATAAATTTAGTTTTATGTATTTAGTATTTCAGATTTTGAATACACGTGAACCATGAAGCCAAATTTAAAAATAATGTGAAAATTAACTAATTAAGTTGTACACATTTGCTTTGTGGCAGAAAATTTAGACCTCTTCAATAACAAGATTATATTAACTCCCAACTGGTCACACAAATAGTAGTAAGTAGAATCTAGAGCTGCATTTTTCTTTGTGTATCCAAATCTGGTTTTGACACGCTATTATTGAAATAGAAGTATTGCATAAAAAAGTAATATTCTGTCTAATTTGAATGGCTGCACTAAATTTGAAAAATTTTTTAGGGTAAAAAATCAACAAACATAAGTCTTAAAGTGTGAATCTGTTTTAAATTAAGTCTTGGCTACGACCTAGGACTAATCAGTCACAGATATTTACTATAGCTTTTTCAGCAATGTATTGTAGTTAATATTCAAGTACTTTACGAATTTCCATTAGAATGATAACTTTTTCTACACTTTATATATAAATGCAAACAATTGGTTTTTAATTAAATTACTTTTACTATTAATCAGTATTTAAGATAAATGGCATTCAGATTAGCTTGGTTTTTATGAATGTTCATTGTGCAACACAAGAAAAGGTTTTATATTATATTTTAAAAAGCAGATACCAAATATTTGTAATTATCAGTTTTTTATAAAAATATATATTTGTAACCCAGGTGAATACTTACACCACATTCATAACACTGTGTCTTGTCTTTATAGAATTTTCTTCGAATAAATTCAGTTGTTCTGCCATTGTCTTTAGCTATGCTACATTTTAGAGTTCTTCCAAAAAATTGTTGACAATTTAAAGCACGCACACATTTATAAGCCGATTCTTTATCCAAGAAGAGAACAAAAGCAACACCTTTGCTTTTATGAGTTTCTTTATCCTTTACGATCGTTACTCTGTGATAAAATACAATGAAATTTGAAATATTCCTTTATATCCATATATTACAATTACAGTATCATATGTAACAAAAGAAAACAACTATCTGAACTAGCTGATGAACCCAGCTTCGATCTTGTAATATTATTTTTATTTCCATATATTGCAATTACAGTAGATGTTATACATGCTAATTTGGGCGGGGGTGACAAGATATACACTCTATAACAAAAAAAATCGACCCACCAAGAAGGAGTTGTCCGATTTAAACGAAAATTAGTGGATAGGAAGACAATGTACAGAATAGCAAATGATTAAAATTTCAGAACAATTGAATAATTTATTGCAGAGTTACAGTAACAAGTTCAATAAGGTGTTGATCTGCCTCTAGCCTGGATACAAGCTGCAGTGTTTTCATTACAGATAAAAAATGGGAGAGAATTTCTCACCCTTCTTCAAAAACAGGGTGAGATTTCAAAAAGTTAAGTGAGATTTCTTAAAATTGAAAAAAACACGAATAGACTTGGAAAAAAATTATTTCTTTAATTATAATACATTTTTAACATCTTCTAATTGAATATTTTTGCAGCATCATCATATGTAAAATGTTCTATATCTACTTTTTCATCAGCTATTATATTTCCGTATTTGTTTCGTTTTGACCGTTTCTACCGACATTTGCTTCATTTTCATTTGTCCGTTACGGAGTAGAAGATGTCCATCTTACATTCATGCACAAGANCGTGGCATAGACCGATAAAGCTCCCGGATGGTCTCTTGCGGTATTTCCTGCCAAATTCGATCCAGTTGTCGAACGAGGTCATCAACATTCCGTGCCAGATGCAATCGCCTTCCCATCATATCCCAGACATGCTCGATAGGAGAGAGATCTGGTGATCTGGCAGGCCAAGGAAGAGTTGTGGTCTGGCATTGTTCTGCTGAAAAACCAGCCCAGGGCGCTGCAAAAGGAACAGTAGCAAAACAGGTCTTAGGATGTTGTCGACGTACCGCTGTGCAGTAAGTGTACCCCTAATGACGACCAAAGGGGTCCGGCTGTCAAAGGAAATGGCACCCCAGACCATAATACCTTGTTAAGGGCCGGTGTGATGTGCAACAGTGAAGGCAGGATCTCCCCTCTGCCCTGTGCGTCTCCAAACACGTCTTCGATGATTGTCAGGATACGGTTGGAAGCGGGATTCGTCGTTAAAGACTATACATCCCCAGTTAACATCATTCCAGCCATATCTGTTCAAAACATTCATGCATAAGAAATTTCAAAGCAATCGGATGATTGCTTCTTGGTGCGTTAATTTTTTTGTTATAGAGTGCAATCCTGTCTCATAACAAAAAAATGTCTTAAATCTGCAAAACATTAGTAAAAAAATTAATTCATTTCCTAAATTGTTTTTAACTTTGCTGAATTTAAATCAATGTTGATTTAGGAAAATTATTTTCAATTGTTTAAAATATTGACAGATAAATCACTACCTAATGTTATAAAAAATGACATATACTCATTGCCCTTTCCTAATGACCCTTATTATTTTGCATAAAATATATTTTTCATTCAAAATAAATCATTGTTATTATAATGATGAAATTGAAATTAGGTGTGGTTGGAGTTGTATGGTATAATTAACTAATTGAATATTGTGATGTAAACAGGATAATTAAAAATGACAGTTGAAGATGATAACTGGATCATCATTACAATAAAACCTTTATGTAGTATTTGTAGAGCTCTAGACACAAAATTAAAAGNTTAACTGATAGGGGAACTGTGTGTAGGGGAGAAACATTCTCCCAATTTTGCCCATTTCCTTAACCGCCAGTGGGTTAAAAATGACAGTTGAAGATGATAACTGGATCATCATTACAATAACACCTTTATGTAGTATTTGTAGAGCTCTAGACACAAAATTAAAAGTATATTTTATCCACAAGACTTTCTAAGTTAATAATAATATCAATAAGTTAATAATATTATCAATAAGGACAGGCCATGGGAGAAAAATTCCTTTATGACCACCCTAATCAAAAGTCAAATTGAAAAGTGATTGAATTGTTCCCGACAAACAGTTAGGAGCTTGGAAAGAGATCTATAAGTGGTGATTTATCGAAAAACAACATAGCCATAAATAAAGCCAACCCTCCATAATCAATATTAAATTTGAAAAATAATTTGGCGAAAGCAAATTGCCAAAAAGACTGTTAGGATTAGTACAACCATGTAACTGAAACATTTTTGTGTTAGAAAATAAAGAATTATGAATAGATCTTGTTTTCGATTTAGTCACGACAGTGAATTAATGAGTCTTACATTAGTATTGAAATAAAAAGTTAGCTATTACATTGATTGTTAAGAAAATTATATTTTTATTCGCTTTTTATAAAACGTAATAAAAATTAAATAATTGGTTAAATTTATTAAAATTTGATTAAGAATGATTAAAAAAAATAAGTTTAAGAAATTAAAGAAATTTTAAAAGCTAGGAAATATGCAATGCGTATTGTGGCATCACAGTTATAAGCTTTAGGTCATTAACAATAATAGTAATATATTACTATTATTGTTACATTACCAGTATATTACTAGTATAGTCACCAATTTACGGTGATAACCAGGTGGGGTAACGAGAAAAAAATAAAAATCTTGACAATTTTCTAGTTTTTCATATAAACTACAGGTCTTCATTATTCTTTACACTATTACAGGATTCTTATTCTAAGGACAAGAATTCCGTGGTTGCCTAGATATTTTCAGTTGTAATCCCTATGTTATGATCAATTGTGATTACTTTATTTTGTGATATCTTTGAATGTTTTGCTTATACGTGTTATAAAAATATAAGACAAAATGCATCCCATATTAGTAGCCTCACAGAGACTTGTTTGATTTCTACACAATAACCAATTGAAAATGTGTAACCAGAGAGAGCTAATTTAAATTATAATAAACAATTTTTCTATGTCAAGGATGTATTTATAATAGAACAAATAACTGGTGACACCAACATATTACGAAGAATAATGTACTAGAAACAACAGACCAAATGTAATCAAACTTTAAGTTGAAACTTCGTAATTTTTTCTTATAAGTTGCTTTTGATATTTTTTATATCAAAACAGAAGGGGAAACATTACTTACTTCACAACTGTTCCGTATTTCTGTAATATTTTGTGCAAATCATTATTGGTTAAGGAGAATGGCAAGTTGCTAAGATAAACTGTACTTTTGCTAGGACACAAACCTCCACTCATTATAAAAGATTATATCTGGAAGATAAATATATTTTAAATAATCATTAGTTTCCATTCATTTTTTAAAAATTCTTTCTCAACAATAAAATTTAGAATGTTAAATAAAGGTAAAGCTTTACGAAATAGTAATCATAAACTAATCTACTCCTTCTGCTTTTTTAAAAGTAGATGATATGTAATTTTAGAGCGAAAGGATAAAGTAGGAAAAATTAAGAAACTCACCATTTCAGATAAGCAAATTTTAACAGTTTAATATCAGTAAAATATTCTCAAATTTGGTATACATAGCAATGAAACAACTTTTGTTTATTTACTTTATTTACCACAACAGTAAAGTAAAGTTACAGTTAAAACATATTCGCTAATCAGCAAAACAGTTGAAGTGGAAGTAGAAGAAATGTTATATGACGTCAATTCGCGATCATAGCACTTGAATACGCCATCTAGGGAGAAGACTTAATCCATGTCTTGCCCCACCCCTTTCCCTCTCCTCCTCTACTCAGTAGTATAGGAATGTACTAGGTATTTTTCCTTTTTCTTAATATTTTTCGTATTTAATTTTTAAAATTTCCATGATGCTTTCTTTTGGAGCCATATTCAATGAAGTTTTCAAATCCATAATTCATCGCAAATTCGTGGACATGATCATGATCAGGGCCATATGCGGTTCACACACTTTCTACCACTGTTGACAAAAATGGAGAACCAGATTGATGAGTTTTTAGCTGAAAAATGTTTCTCATTCACCCACGACAGCGATCAGAAGCATTCCCGCGTACATAGAGATTGCTCCTGGACGTTCGAACGAGTACTTGATTGGAGATTTTTACGTGTGTAAAAATATTTTTTTCAATCAAATTCTTATTTGCAATAGTCAATTTTTCGCATGCATTGAGAGCCATCCCTCAGGTTCATGCCTTGTCTGCATTTATTAATAATAGAGGAAAGTTTAAACAATTGAGAAAAATAATAAAGCTTTAATTTATTTTACTTAAGTTGATATTTTACGGTGGTTTGGTTTCAAGCGAATGGAAAGAAAATGAGGATTTTATTATTTTTGTCTTCATTTATAAATGCTTGTTCTATAGTTTTATAGATAAAGTTTCTACAACTTCGTTTCGTGATAGAAACTCTAATTATCATTATTTTATCAAAAATTTTTATCCATTGTGAACAGGGTATCGGAATGGACGATTGCGAATGGAAATTTGAATTTTTTTGCTATTTAAACTTCAAAAAAGTGAAAGCTTAACAATCAATTTTAGTGAAAACATTAGAAAATTGTGAAAGTACGCATAAACAAACTTTTTTTTTTACAAAAAATTGCTCCTTTCCACTGCTCTCAAAGACTAGTGTTCAAATAATAGTTTTAAAAAATTGTAATTCTACTAGGCATTAATGCTAATTTAAGGCGCAATACTTATCATGATTTGGTAAAATTGCAATCTCATTCTGCGAAAGGCGAATTTTTCTGTATAATGCGAACAATGGGAAAGCTTAATTTTTAATATTACTATTGAATTTCAAATATTTTGTCTTCATTATTTTAAAAAAATAGAATTACTGTACACGTTTTTACATAAAATTTATTATAAAAGTAAACATAACTTATTTATCGTAAAATAATTGTTAAGTGTATGGTTATTTTACTTACGATTATTTTACAAAATCATATAGTTATTTCACTATATAATAAAGGAAAAACTCTTTTTGCTTTAAGATTTTATTTTAAAAAAATGATCAGAATCAATATCTCGATAAAAACAGAGATTATATTATGAATATATTAAATAATATTATTGAAAATTAACGTTAAATAAATGATAAACTAATTTACAGATAAACATCTTTAATTTCATTATTATTCTATGTTCATTAGCGATAATATCATGTGAGCTTTTTTAATTTCTTTAAAATGTTGAATTGACTTAAAAATCTAAGACCATAATACAGAAATCTAATAAAATATTTATTTATCCATTATGTGGATATATACCCTCAGACGACGACAAATCAAATTGATGAAGAATATTCAAACGTATTTATTTGATTCATTGTGCTATCAAGGGTTTCCAATTTACGTGTGGCTGGGGGCCGTATTAAAAACATCAGTCAAATGGCGGGCCGCAACTTTATCAAAATTTTATACAAGACTCTTTTATGTTTGAAGGAACATTAAATATTACTCTAAGATTTTTATCAAAGTTTTTTTAACATTAAAAAGCAAAATAACCAGTATTACAAAGAATGCTTGTTATGTATCATTTTGAATCTTCTTTTAATCAGAAGCTTAGTGACAAGATTTTTTTTCTTTAAATTTAAATCTGCGATAATTTAAAATTTTTTTCGACTTTTTAGGAAGTATAGCAAAAAGAAATTCTCGAGTATCTGAAATTAATTCTTTTTTTCTTTTCCGTTCATGCGATAATCAATTCAAGGAATTTTAATAAAACATGATATTCATTCCTCATTTTATGGGTTTCAAAATTTACAAATGTAAATAATTTTGTTCAAAATGAGTGGTTTCAAAAAGTTAAATGGGAGAATTTCTTCGAGAAAATTTCTGATACGCACATGCTAAATTATATTCACAAAATACAAAAATACAAAAAAAAAAAAAAAAAAAAAAAAAAAAAAAAAAAAAAAAAAAAAAAATGAAATAAAAAGAGCAACATACACGATTATTTTTATATCTGAATGAATATTTTCTTCGATGCAAAACCTGAGAAATAAATTTTTTTGCACCTTTGGTACGTGAAATTTCACAGAAACGAAGAAATTAGGTTTTTCTAAACGAAAGAAAATTATTTTAAACCCATATAAGATTTTTTACTAAAATTGTCCGCAAAAACACGACAACTAATATATTTTAGTTCATGGGCCACAAAAAAGGCTTCGCTGGCCGGATACGGCCCGCAGGCTGCCAGTTAGTAATCATTCTGCTATACCTTGTACCCTTTTAAAGTACGTACTCTTATTTTTCGTACTTTCTGGACTAGAAAGTAACGTCGTTTTTAGATCCATTTAGATAATATTTGTATATCCTCTTAATAGTATAGTGTATATTTCAAGGTTATTTGCGGTTAATGTGATTTGTTTATTTTTAGCCAATCTTCCGATTTCAGTGATTTGTTTGTTAAAAACCTCCTTTCTTCCAATTTTGAGCAGAATGGCTATCCAAATATAGGAAGAGACATACAGGTCCACAACAAAATAATGCGAACACTTCTATACTAATTTTATGTAAACACTCTTTCTCTTGCTTACAAATGCTTGGAAGATTTTGTAATGAAAAAATGTTTTAATAATTTGAAATATCATGCTTGAAGCTCTTGGAAATCGTGTCCTTTTTAATTTGCATCGACTTAAATAGGTGCAGGAATATAAAAGCTTACTTCCTTTTTAAACCAATTTTAGCACTGGATAAATTATAAAAAAAAATTAACGATATTGAAGAACGATGTCTTAATCAGGGAATTCAATTAAATGCACAAAAAATTCGTAATTTTGTGGAAAGTTGTTATTATTTAATTAAAAAAAAATAGATCAAGGAGAAATATACTACATTGTCAATAGCCAGTTTTATTCACCGAAATAGTCCTAACTGTAAAGAAAGCATTACATCTTGAGCTTATTTTTAAGACAAGGCTCACTTAGAATCATCAAGTCGATCACATTCTAAGTTGAGCTGCTGACGCGTTCAACAGCATCAATGCTCTTCTTGGATCTAAATCAAGACTTTAACTTAATCTAAAACTCTTGCTTTCCATTTCTATGATTCGGTGAATTCTTTCATATGCATCCCTCTCATGGTGTAACATCTCAGAAACTCAATTGAAAAGAATAACAAAATGTAAAAAATATTAGGAGCACCCAGAAACAACAGCAAGATAATAGTTATACAGACTTAAAAATTGATTTTTTCCATCATCATTTTGCTAAAATTAATAAGCGCTTTTTGTTGAAGCTATAAAGTGCAATACGGGTAATTTCAATAAATTATTTGAATATGAAAATCTTTCGAGTTAAAAAACTTCATGGCCATTAGCATCATTCTTTTGTAGTGACGCAATTTCTTGAAATTCGAATAGAAATTAAAAGAAAATTAATGATTATAAATATCCGAATATCTTTTCAGCACAGTGTTTATGCTTCATATTATAATTTTAAACTTTTTATGGTAAGTCTCAGATGAAGCGCACTTATAAACCTTGTAGGGGGTGCACTTAATTCTATGTTTGCTGCTGTTAGCTTCTCCAAGAAGATGATGATTTGAGAATAGCTGGGATTAAATCTAGAAAGAAGCTATTGTAGTTAGAAATACTCTTCTCATTTTAGAGGATGCAAATTTTACATGGCTAAAAAAGGTGCCATTTCCATATTCTTCAAGCATGATCTTTCAAACTCTGTCATTAGTTTCGATATGTAAAATCTTCTAAGACTTTTGTTGCTGAAAGAAAAATTGTTTACATGGAGTTAGTATAGACATGTTCACATTATTTTTCCTGTAATTATATCCGACATTGGGTTTCATATGGAAATAACACAACATTTGCTACCGAAAACATTTGCAATGTTTGCCCATTAGACATTCGTATATACCAATGGTTAGCTTATCCGATAATTGCCCATTAGTCATTCCAAAAATTGCCCATTAGACATTCGTATATACCAATGGTTAGCTTATCAGATAATTCAGGTCGGTTAGACTGACTAAAATAAAGTTAAAAAAATAAAAATAAAGATTACGCTGTCAGGTTATTTAGTTCTTTCCGCCTTCTATCTACCAGGGAGGCGAATCCTAATTCCATATAAAAAAAACTACGAATCGAAGTGGAAGATAATGATTACTCCTCTATGCTTATCTGACATTGCACCATCAGATTACGACTTATTCTTATCGCTACAACACATTTTATATGACAAATATTTGAAATCATGAATGATTTGAAAAATACGATTTGAAGATATTTCGCTAAAAAATCAGTTTATTTATGGATGCGGGTGATCGTGTAAAGCTAAGGGTGGTGGCGCTAGTGGTTAAATTGCTCTCGCAAGACTTCCGGGTTACTGTTTCCGATATATTTTTACGCCGCAGATTGAAAAAACGCGCCATAATATTATTGCATCNTTTCAATTGTAAGGTTCGCATTAGCATACATTTATAAGAGTGGAGAAAAGTATCTATAGCCATTATGGCGAACTAATAAAGTTTGAAAATATCCTATCTGTAACTCCGAACTGCTCGACCGTAGCGCTTCAAAACCGGCGCCAATCGATTCCTCGTGGCCAAAAACCCCAGACCCCCAAGTTTACCGGAGTTTATTAATTCTGGGGCGATTTTCGACTTGGCAACCATTCCTCGTATTAT